AAGAAAACCACACAAATTGTTTTTAATTCACCCTCAATTCACTAATAATTATGTCCAATCCATGCCACAAAGAACAATATATTTTAATATAATATGAAGTTTTGCAAGTAAAGAAAAAACTCAAATATTATTTTTACACTAAATTTCTCTAAACTTAAACTTCAAATATATTTTTATACAAGTATCTTGATGTTATTCAAAAATATAAAGAGAAGACTAAAATATCTTTTGATATAACTATAAATAATGCAATCAAAGTGTTCAATATGTTTCAAAAGAAGAAACAAAAAAAAAGTTTTGAGGCAGGATTTTAACTTAAAAAAAATGAAAGGAATTGTTTATCTTCTTCATCACAATTCTCTCTCTCTCTCTCTCTCTCTCTCTATATATATATATATATATATATATATATATATAATTTCATGGATGTAAACATTTTGATTTGGCATGTTGACTATTTACTATACATTAAATGCACGAAGTCTTTGTATCATATCGTTTGAAAAATATATTTATTTTTACATCCTATATTTGTTACTTTGAAGTTCGCTTTTTCCTCAATACAAAGCATTTATGTTTTGTTTCTTTAGAACAAAGCTATCATTGCTTTGTACATCAACTTTACAGATATCTTAGGTAGAGATTTTTAACAGGGTTAATTTTATATATATATATATATATATATATATATATATATATATATATATATATATATATATATATAATTATTTATTTTATCAAATGCAGGTGTAAACATTATTTTATGATGATTTAGATGATCTTTTCAATTGTTCTTTAAACAATTCTTTAGATAATTTCTTCGTACGATTTTTCAAACAGTCTTTTGATCCAAACTAAAATACATGAAAATGTTTACTTTGATATATTCACGGTATTTTTTAGCCTTTTCTTATAAAAAATACTCAATTAAAAAATATTTATATTTAAATATTATATTATCATTAAAATTTTAAAAAACAATAAACTCCAAACATTGTTTTCAATATATATATCACCTGGTATATATTTCTTTCACCTAGTCAGCACAAACTATCACTACATTATAACATCATCACGCTAAAAGCTTGGAGTGAATACGAGAAATTAATTATCCAGTTAATTTATTTAATTTTGTATTTTGTATTTAGGCTAGATTTAAATAAATTTTTAAGAAATTTTTATAAGAAAAATAAATAAATAAAACTTCTCTTATAAATTAAAAATAACTTTTTTTTTATTTTTTTAAAAATATTTCTCATTTAACTTCTTTAATGAGAGAAATTTATTTATTTATCACAGCGATCTTTTTCTCCTATAAAGACTTTTTGAAAAATTTATCCAAAGTAAACTTTAATATAAAAAAAATTAAATTCTCCTTGAATTCTCTCTAATAATATATATTTTGTTTATAAAAAAATAAAAAAAACAAATTAAAATAATTGCACCTATTCAATAAATATTTAGAAGGTGTTTAAAAGAATTTGTGGAACTTCTCTGAACCTATTTAAGATTAAACGATGACTAATAAATTCTTTTAAATTTATTTTGTTAAATTATATATAAAGTATTATTATGTAAGATAATTGGACTATATAATTATTAAATAAAAATATCATTTTTCATGATTTTAGAAATATACTTGAATTAATTTATTTCACGTTGAAACAACTTTTAATGTTCTACTTAAAATTTTAAAAGCAATGTGTTAATTCTAAAAACATAATACATATTTGTTTATGGAGATTTATGAAGTAAACTACTGATCTTATTAATAATTAAGATTTTTTACAGTAATTATCCTAATAAAATTCTATTTTTTTTCTGAGACTAGTTATTAAAATAGTTATACAATTACTTATCTGCATATTAAAGAAACATTTTATATTAATTGAAGTTTTCAAAGCTTGCATATAGTATGTGACCACAAAGAAGATAATGGGTGAGAATTCTTAGGTGAATTGTACTATGCAGACATTTCCACGAAAGGGACTTCTGTGTTTGGTAATTGGCATCATTCTTTGTTTCTTTATGCAAATTTAACTTACTTGAAAGAAAAAGAATATGGATCCAGTTGCCTAAGGTTCTTATCCACTTCCACATGTGCAAACGCGGCAAATAAACATTGAATGGCCATAAAGTTGATGGAATGAGATGTGGGGAAACAAGACAAAATGAATAATTCAACTATTAAATTTTTTAGATTCGTTTATCCAAAAGAAAAAAATAATAATAACATTCTATGTGAAATCAAAGATAATACTACTAATGCAAAAATAATATTTTTTTAATATAAAAAGTACTAATAAAAAATATGCGCTCAAACTCAATGTATCATGTGATATACATAATTACAAAAATAACATAAGATAATTTAATAATTAAATTTTTTATTTTTATATTTTATCAAAAATTATTAAATTTTAACACTAAGGAATGTGAATATATATACTTCTGGAAAAAGGCATTCAGAATAAACCTTAAAAACAGAGAAATTCGGGAAGTATAAACTGAAGAACAAGTTGCAGATAATCGAAGAACCCTTTTGTTGGGGATATGATGATTTGTGAAATTATCATTCAATTGTTATGACGAGAATATGCAATTACATTGGAAATATATGCATCGAATTGGAAAAGTTACACGTGATGTTCGTCTTATTCGTTACGTATATTATCATAACTACATGAAAATAACAGTCTCCGCATACATTTCCCTTTATCAGCAATTAATCAATTTGAATTTAAATTTTTGAGCTTTTATAAATTTATAGTATTTTTTTTTCAAATTATTAAATAAAATCTTAAAAAACTTAATTTAAATCATTAAAATTTATAAAAATAAAATGTAATTTTTAAAAATAAAACGATTTAAATTAAAGAGACTGAAATTATGTATAAATTAAATTTATTATTAAAATATTAAAAAAACCGAATAATAAGCTAAACAGCATTGCATAAACTCTCATGTGTGATGGCATGTAATGGTATACCCACTTGACCAAAAACATAAACTATTCAAAGCCACGTCGATTGCACGTAAGGGATTAAAAGGTGTCGCACAAGTTACTGCCACGTGGATTTGTTGAAAATATGCACTTGCAGCGAATCATTTTGACTTTTTTTTTTTTTTATCTTCCACTCAATTCCCATTTTCTAACTTATAACTAAAGTTATTAGATTTTTTTTATTACAAAACATATAACTTAGTCGAAGAAAACTACACAGATAAAAAAAAAAAGAAAAAGACAAGAGTGAAATATGAGATTTTTTATACAAAAAATGAAAAAATTATCAAAATACAGGTTTTTAAGAAAAATTACAAAAATATAAAAATCATAAAAAACGTGAATAAATTTTTTTTATTTTTTAAAAATCATCATTAACTAATTTTAATTTTCTAATATTTTTTATAAATTTTCATTAGCAAGTTTTAAAACTGTATAATTTTTTTTATTGTTTTAACACCTATTTTTAGATTTCATATTTTTATTATTTTTTCAAAAATTCCATAGTTTGATATATATAATTTTCAAATTTTATATAAAAAATAAATCGAATTTTGATCGTTAGTTATTTTTCTTAAGTAACTTGATCCATTAGAAATAAAATAATTCGTCGTACTTAAACTTTTTTCATCAAATTTAAATTTTAGTAATCTTATTGTCCTGGAATATTGAACTAGGTTTTTATTTATTTAATTAATAGTATTTCTATTAAATTTCGTTTTAAAAAAAAGAGAGAAATTGGTTATTCAAATATTACTGGTTAATTGTGTTGGTAAATAGTAATATGCCTAAAATTTCGAAACACAGGTAGATGTTTTTTCTAAATAAAAAAAGAAAAAAAGAAAACGATTTCTAAGTTTTGAGATTATTGACATTGTCTTACGGGAAATTTGAAATTGCATCATTTAAAATTATTGTAGTAGAAGAAACAATCTTATAGTAAAAAAAAATGTGTATAATCTAAAAAAAGGGTTTTGATATTTTTTTAATATAATTTTTTAAATATGTGTTTAAAGATATATAATAAGAATTTATGTATCATAATTTTTTTATAAAAAATAATATAATACATAAATTATATTAATTTTTATAACTTTTTATTATGTATATTTTTTTTGCTATTTTTATTATGTATATTTAGATCTTCGTTAAAAATTTATTTTTAATGATACGATATTTTTTAAAGTGAAAGTAAAAAGTTAATAATAATAATAATAATAATAATAATAACAGTTTGAATAAAATATATATTTAAGACAAATTTTACAAAATTTATTTGACCCTGTAAAAATAATTTATAATCTTTATAAAAGTATTTTTTTTCAATCATTTTATTCAACTCTAATCATGATATTGGACTTTTTTGGAATATATAATATATAATATAGAAATAGATACTTTACTTAAAATGTGTGTGTCATTATTAATTCAACTTATCTCTTTTATATCTTACTCTTTTTATTGATAAATAATGGTTATAACATAATTAAAGTATCGACAAAACAACTTAATCAAAATCCGATTCCGAAATCAAGTAATATTGTAAGAATCTTAACACTTGGGTTAACTAAAATAATATTTACATTAAAAAAATTTAGACATTTTTCAATTATTTAATTACTACGTCTGAAAAAATAGAAACAAGCTGACGTAACAGTTGATTGATTCGTATAAACTCCGAAAGAACTTAAAAAAAGAAAAGTATTAAGGATTAATATTTCCCCCTTTAAAAAAAATATAAATATTTCTGTGTTATATGTGGAGACCAAATGAGAAGCAGAAAAATAAAAATAAAAAAATTAAATGAAGTGACAAAAATATCCCATAGCAAATTACGTCATGGCACGTGGCAGGACGCAAGACGAAAGAGGCGGTGGTCCCCGTGTTGAGTTACGGGGACCACCCGGTAGCCGGTAAACCAAGCGACGTGAGATGAAACGACACCGTTTAACCTCCACCCTCCGCGTATAAATACGTGTACGTTGATGAGTGGAGTACTGAACTCTTTCAACTTAGAACCGTTCTACGTGTTGTTCTTTCCCTCTCTTTGCTCCTTAATCTTCGTTTTTCTTTCTTTCTTTCTTTATCTTCTTCTCAATTTTCATTACACTTTCTTTTCTCTCAGTTTTTCTCTCAAAAGCTATTTTCTCTTTATCATAGTTTACATATTATATCATCATATCATATCATAATATCCTGTCATAGAATATCACAATGTGTGGTATACTTGCTGTTCTTGGTTGCTCTGATTCCTCTCAAACCAAAAGGGTTCGCGTGCTTGAGCTTTCTCGCAGGCAATGATTCTATCTTTGTTCTCTGACACACCCCGTAGAGAAGAAAGAAAAAATATTTTTCTTTCTTTCTTTTCCAATACCCTTTACTTAACTTTGATGTTTCAATTCAAAGTTTCTTGTTTTGCTTCATTTCATTGCTCAAATTCTTCCCTACCTAGAGTTTTCTTTTGTTAATATTGAGAATTGAGTAGTGAAAAGTGGAAATTTTAGTATATTTTGCTTTTAAGATGATAACAACATTTTTAGCAAGAACTTGCTAAAATTATTAAAACTAGCTATAAATGGCGGTGCTTATGATACCACGGTGGTGTCTACTGTCTAGTACGTTCAATATTTTAAAGGAAATGAGTTTAATATAAATATAAGAACTGAAATTATAATTGTTGCTTCATATTGGGGCCCGGTACCCATCTTTTAGATATAACAAGTACAAGTATTTTAGGATAAACATGTGTGGGTTTTGACAAGAAAAGTGGACAACGAGTGTTTTAGAATAAACTTTATAGACTCAAAAAACCTGTTAGATCACTGGCTTATTGAGATAAAACATACTTGGATGTGGGGTCCAGGTTGTTATGCAATTATTGGTAACTTTATAGTATAAAAGTCCAACAAAAGAATGACAATTGGAAAGAAAGTATGTGACGAAAAGGAGTTTATTGGTCTAGGAAGTGCATGAGGAATTTTTCAAGAGTCCCTTGAGAAAGTTTAGTTTGAATGAGTCCTTATAATTGGTTTGTTGATGTCACAGGTTGAAGCATCGTGGCCCTGACTGGAGTGGGCTTCACCAACATGGTGATTGCTATTTGGCTCATCAACGGTTAGCCATAGTTGATCCTGCTTCTGGTGATCAACCCCTCTTCAATGAAGACAAATCTGTCATTGTTACGGTAAGCCTTGTGATATTCAATGATTTTGACTTACTCATACCATACCATGGTAGTGCATAAATTGCTGTGTTTAATTTTGATGCACTTTTAGTCAAAAAAAATTTACACTACTGTCAATTAATTAAAAAATATTATTGCAACGATTTTAAAATAATTTTTAAAAAAGTTTATTATTGATAATATGACAATTTATAATTGGATGATAGTGTAAAAATTTAGTATATTTTAATTGAATTCTAAATTGTGTTGTCTTTATTTGTTAATCTCTTAGTCCTTATTTCACCATTTTAACTGCAATAAATTATGACTGATGTTAAATATCATCCCCTGAAAACAAGGTGAATGGAGAGATCTACAATCATGAAGAGCTCAGGAAACAATTGCCTGATCACAAGTTCCGTACAGGAAGTGACTGTGATGTTATTGCCCATCTGGTTAGTCATCTTTATGTATATTTTACAAGTTACAGCAATTTTTAACATGGTCACCTACACATAAAAATCAAAAGAAATATTATAAACTTTTTTTTCATCAATTATTCTTATTCACTTTCTTGATAAAAAATTTCCATCCTTATTGTCATATAGAATATGGTTGTTAACCATGACTGGACTTGTTCTTATCACCTGCTTGTTGGTGTTGATTTTTCTAGTATGAGGAGTACGGAGAAAACTTTGTGGACATGCTGGATGGTATATTTTCATTTGTTCTGCTGGACACCCGCGACAACAGTTTTATAGTGGCACGGGACGCTATAGGGGTCACTTCCTTGTACATTGGTTGGGGACTAGATGGTAAGGTTATAAATTATAATATCCCTGCTATTGAATTGAGTTCAGGAATTCTAGCAACTTAAACAACAGATTTGAATTGAATAAATTGTGACAAGTTTGACATACTTGTGTTTAGGTTCTGTTTGGATTTCATCAGAAATGAAGGGGCTGAATGATGATTGTGAACATTTTGAGTCTTTTCCACCTGGTCACTTATACTCTAGCAAAGAAAGAGGGTTCCGTAGATGGTACAATCCTCCATGGTTCTCTGAGGCTATTCCATCTGCTCCTTATGATCCTCTTGCTTTGAGGCATGCCTTTGAGAAGGTAGGATTCACAAAGGCTCAACATATCATCGTAATTGGAAGTTTTTTGTTTGAAAACTTTTACACAGTATAACCTAAACAGTGAATGAATAAGTCCATGATAAAATAATCATAATAGAACATTATAGTGTTGTTTGGTCCATCTAACCAACTTTACTGGTGATCGTGATTGCAGGCTGTCATAAAGAGGTTGATGACTGATGTGCCCTTTGGTGTTTTACTCTCGGGAGGTTTGGACTCTTCCTTGGTTGCATCTGTCACTGCCCGCTACTTGGCAGGAACAAAGGCTGCCAAGCAATGGGGAGCAAAACTACACTCATTCTGTGTAGGTCTTGAGGTGTGTACCTATTCTAAATTATGAATGAATTGCAAATTAATTTAGATGATATTTTTAATCTTTATATATGAAAAAAGTAGTTTTTTTTTTTAATCTTGTCATCTTGGCATTTAATAGGGTGCACCAGACCTGAAGGCTGCAAAAGAAGTGGCAGACTATATAGGAACTGTTCATCATGAGTTTCACTATACTGTTCAGGTATATCTGAGTGAAATAGCATTTTTCTGCTTGATATTTGTGGGTCTTTCAATTAACAAGAATCATAATTAGTAAATCTTTTGTATATGGTGTATGCAGGATGGGTTAGATGCCATTGAGGATGTCATCTATCACATTGAAACATACGATGTTACGACCATAAGGGCAAGCATCCCAATGTTCCTTATGTCTCGTAAGATCAAGTCTCTAGGAGTCAAAATGGTTCTCTCTGGAGAAGGATCTGATGAGGTTTTTGGAGGGTATTTGTATTTCCACAAGGCACCAAACAAAGAAGAGTTCCACCAAGAAACATGCCGCAAGGTCATAAAGTTACCATATTCCTTATCAGAACAATGTACTTGATTGAAGTAGAGGGTTAATAAACATTTTCCTTTCTTTTTTGTTTTATGCAGATTAAGGCTCTCCACAAATATGATTGCTTGAGAGCCAACAAATCAACCTATGCTTGGGGTCTAGAAGCTCGAGTACCATTTTTGGACAAGGAGTTTATCAGTGTTGCCATGAACATTGATCCTGAGTATAAAATGGTATGAATACAGTATGATGCAATGCTTCATTACTCAAAAATGTCACATTTTATTAGTTGGTTCACTATCTAATCTGTTTACTGTGTTCAGATAAAACGAGATGAAGGACGAATTGAGAAATGGGTGCTAAGGAGGGCCTTTGATGATGAAGAGCATCCTTACCTGCCAAAGGTACACTTATTTGTTTTAATGTCTGTATACTGCACAATGTAGATGCAAAATTAATTTGTTAACTAACATCTAATAATTTAATATCATGCAGCACATTTTATATAGACAGAAAGAACAATTCAGTGATGGAGTTGGCTATGGTTGGATTGATGGCCTTAAAGCCCATGCTGCAAAACATGTAAACATGAATTCAACCTTCATGCACAATATTTCATTAAAACTTCACACCATTTCATTATAAGAAAACATGACAATTGGTTCTTATCGTTTTCTCGTAGGTTACTGACAAAATGATGCTCAATGCTGCTCACATTTTCCCCTTTAACACTCCCACGACCAAGGAAGCATACTACTACAGAATGATCTTTGAGAGGTTCTTCCCTCAGGTAACTTAATCAAATCAACTATAGATTTGGAACCAGGAGACATCATAATTCCTCTTTATTCAACAAGGGCTAATTCAAATCTCTTGTTCCTTAATTTGGTTTTGTAGAACTCAGCCAGGCTCACTGTTCCTGGAGGACCGAGTGTCGCATGTAGCACAGCGAAAGCAGTTGAATGGGATGCTGCCTGGTCCGGCAACCTTGATCCTTCTGGTAGAGCAGCACTTGGAGTGCATGCATCAGCTTATGATAACCAGGTCAACTCAGTGACCAAAGCTGTAGAACCAGAGAAGATAATACCCAAGATGGAAGTTTCTCCGCTAGGACTTGCCATCCAAAGCTAATATGAGCCATAGCAAGGACTAGTTGCATAGAACCTAGAAATATTACACACTAGTCCAACATAAATGAAAATTTTGCCTGATGTGTATTTTATCCAGGCAATGCAATATATAGATAAGGCTCTGTACCAAGCTGTTTTAAGTGTTGTGCTATCCACATCTTGCCTTTATTTTGAATTTCTGTGACTTGAGCACTATCATAATGTATTGTGTTTACACAAAAAAGTTGTTGCCTTGTGTTTCTTTTATCAGTTAACTTTTAATGCAAGCTCCACCAAGTAAATGCTGTATTGGTATCACCAAAATTTACTACCTGAACTGAAGCATATTCTTCATCCCATAGAAAACAAAAATAAAAAGGAAAATGGTAGATTTCGTATGGAGATTTATATTTTCAAGTTTCATGATACTAATGGAGCACTAAAAGGAACTAGTTTCTGCAAAGACACAAAAGTTACCTGCAAATCTTCATAAGTAGAGGTTTACTAGCTACAACCATGAAACAACAGACAACACTCTAATTATGAGCTAAAATCGGCTAAGGCTAGAAGTATCCCTTCAAGACGTTTGGGATGTAAAGCACGACTTTGCAAGTGATTGTAGAACACATCAACAACATTTGGATGTCTCAAATCCTCCTATCGCATCTATATATTCTCTTCTATTCCTATTTCTACCAAATATCTTTTTTTACAAATGATTATTTTTGTTCTTTTTTAAGATTTTTTTTTATCCTGAACTGAAACAGATTGTAGAACGTCGTAGTTTACTATGTGCATCCTTACAACAAAGCCCACACGTATGTCCAAATCTAATAATTTTTAATTTTTGCACTTTTTTTAATAATTACACTACCCTATCTTTTATCTTTCGAAATTTTTAATAAAAGATATTAATCACTTCTGACAAAAAGATGGTGCTAAAGTAAAGGTACAGGTCCAAATCTAACCTTCCCAAGCCCATTGAATAGTATGGACCGGTTAAACTTTTGGGTAGCCCAGTCATAGCTATACCGTTTAAGACTATGAAGCTTAGTTGTCATGAGCCCAAAGAAAGAACAAAGTATCTACTGTGATGATTGGGCAATTGAAAATAAAAATAAGAAGTTATTTCTATTTTTTATTGAAAAATAAAAATATGAAAGATCAATCGATGAATCAAATCAAATTTAAGATTCAGTTATATGCAAGAAAATGAAAATTTAATTTAATTACACCCTCCCAAATCGTTTTCCGCCTGAATTAAATGGTATCAAAATATATTTTTTGAAAAAAAAAAAAGTTACATTTAACTTGATAGTCCGATTGTTTTTATGATTCTTATTTTTACTTTGACCCATCTATATGTTTCAGCCGAAGCTAACTTTCCAAATTAAAGAAGCTTAACAAAAAAAACACATAATTATTATAAAGGAAGGATACATTAGTTCAAGAATTAAAAGCTAAAAAAATATATAAAAATCACATAAAGAATTACATTAATATTTTTTAATAAAAAAAATCCCCTCTTATTTTTAAGAAGACGGGACCTTGGTTTTGATGGAAAAAGCAGGTACTGAATGCAAGTATATTTTATGTAATGGATCAAAGGAATCCCATGGTTTTGGTTTGATAGCTTATGAGGAGTTTGATTTTGCTGATTTCAAGGATTATTGGGAAGCATTTCTCAAGCCAAACGAATTAGAAGAATAATTCAAATTTTGCAGAAATAATGAATCAAATGCCATGAATAAGCTACAACGAAAATGAAACCACAAGTTGAAGCCTTACTTCTTTCCCTCATTGAATTATTTTTCCTTTTAATATATCCCTTTTAATTTTTCACTATTTCTATAGAAATAATCCCCTTCATTCTTTATCAAATGTATTTGTCTTATATAACCAAAAAAGTATCGTTTCATATAAAAGAAAGCATTTCAAAAGATATTTCCTTATTCATAGTTTTGAAGTAATGAATAGAACTACAAACTATTCGCTACTTCTCTTCATAGATTGATAAGCCTTTCTCAATTTGTAAATCTGATTACACTTTGTTCATATTTTTTTATATAAAAAAAACACTAAGAGATCAATGGTTAGAACTTACAAACATTTTTTAAAGTATAGATTCCTGAAATTAATTCCTCTAATCCCAAGGAGTTACATGTTGCATTTGACAAGGCATACTTTCCTCCTAGATATTTTACAATAGAAAAAAAAATATTTTTCCATTTCATTAGCACATCTTTACAAATTAAACAGTTGTTGCTATCATGCAACCCTCTCAAATGCATTACTTGCTAAGAATTATAAAAATTAGAAACATATTGAAGCTGAACTGTGTTAATTAGAATTATGACAAAAAAAAAAAAAAAACAGTGAAGATGAAGTGTGCTACTTTACTTAGCTAATAAAACACAAAATTAGTAGAATAAAGCAGTATAGAATAGTTCATTCCAAGTATCTGGCAATCCAGGAAGGCACCAATGGCTGCAATCAGAGTGATCAGGGTTAGCTCTTTGTTCAGGACTCAAATCACCACTATAAATGGAAGGATGTGCATCCTTCCTATATGCTGATAGCATTGTGATGTCAAGAAGATATGCAGGGTTGTTCATTTCTCTTATCACCATATCCGCAACCCTCATTTGCTCAGGGAATGCACCAGGGTATGCTGTGCCAGTGCCACTTATTGGTGCAGTTTCACCATAGCAATTCTTCGTAGTCATTGTTGTCACTCCAGAATTCCATTCATTTGGACTGCATATCAGTGCAACTGTTTTAGCATAGCTTATAATGAAACTATTAATGAAGCTTGTACATGTTAAATGTGACATTTGTAAAACACAAATCACTGTTTACTTGGTAGTGCCATATATCAATGTCACACTTCTATAGTTGCATACCCATGTTAAAAAATGGGGCAAAGGACAATACTAGCCACATGGGTTGAAAAGTTGTGTTAAAAAAAAATTAACATTTTTTGGTATGTAATCATAAGGCATCTAAATATATGTCATATGAGGTGAACAAAACTTATACATCTGTTATATGAAAAGTTATAAAAAATGTGGCATGAAATGGGTGGGTCGAAATGTCCACCCACAAATAAATTGCAGTCTCAATATTTTGTAAAAAAAGTGTATAGTAAATAATTAAAAAAATATGATGGATGCGTTTTTACTTCACCGACACATTAAAAAATATTTTTTTTTAGGACATGCATGAGAACAACTTTCTCCAAATTGAGTCGGAATATCGAATCGAAAGAAAGACTATAAATGTGCCAAATGCACCTCATGTTCACATGAGTGGCCATGAAAGCGATAAAAAGGTGCCTTTGCAGTTTGTACAAATTGTATAGCTCCAAGTTTTTATTTTTATTATTTTAAAATATGTAAACACATACACATAACGGTGCAAACTAAAAGTAAAGTTTTTTATTTTTTTTGTGTGTTAGAAGCAAAAGTAAAGTTAAAACAATAGTAATCACACGCTAGAAATCTTTAGTCTTGAGAGTGTTTTTTTTTTCTTTTGGGTGACAAAAGATGCATACTTATTCATAACAATTGGAAAATTATTGGTTAGCTTATGAAATGACTAGTCACATAATACGGGGCACCACCATCCTAAGGCAATCATCAAAGAATCCAAGTGTCTAACAAATTGATAGAGATGGGGCAAAGGACTAACACAAACCATGAATTTCAGCCCTAAGATTGAAAACTCACATGACTCTAATTGTGAGTCGTGACAGGTCAAAAAAAGGGGTCTCCTAGTCCTATCCCTTAACTCACCATTATACGTTTTGGATATGCTATTCCAATTGAACAAACACGATCATGAAGCCTAGACATCTCACACTATGTTATAGTACAATAATGTAAGAAAGAGAAAGCAATTCAGGACAATAGAGAGAGAGAATCAGAGTCCTTACTTCTCGTGTGTAGGAGAAATTCCCAGGAAGAAAACTTTGGTTCTGCTTCTATCAATATTGGACTCCACCCAATTAGCCCATGTTTTCAGACCCCTTTCCAAAGCTGCTAAACGATCCATATCTGGGTAGTATTTGCCTCCTAATTCTACGTAATCCCACCTGCACTCAATAACCCAAATACCAAATTACTTCAAACTTTAGAATACGTATATAAATATAAAAGACTAAAAAGAGAAAAAAAAATCATTTTTTTGGAGGGGATATTTTGTTTATGGGTATAACTGTATAAGGAATTGAAAAAAGTAAATTTTTATTGAACATTAAGTTAGACTACATTAGAAATCACCGGAGGAGATATATTTATTATGTTTTCTGACAAAAAAGTTTGACTTTTGATTCCTTAGCAGGTACCCTTGAGGGAAGAGATAGTTGCATACCCTTGAAGAGATCCTTGATGACTCCACCAATGTCCAGTGTTGAAAGAAAGCACATCGGCACTCCTCCATGCGTCACCATTCCCATCTACCACTTCCAGCCTCAAAATTCTCTTCCCTTGGACCACATCAACCTCTACCAAATAAGGAGCCTTGTAAAATGAAATGGTCACACCGTAGTCCTGGACATACCATATCAAAACCCAGTTAGGACCTCTTTTGCAGCTGTAAAATGGTGCTTTTATGTAAGATAAGTCTACTTTATACGGATAAAAGCATGGACATAATTTAGAGATCCAGTTTGCATCAACTAGACCAACTATAATGACCGAATAGTACATTTGGGTCCACCTCACAAACACCTCCTTTTTCTAACAGATACTTTGTCCTATTAAAAATATCTTGAACCTACTCTTTATGATTTTGAATGAAGCTTAACATAAAGGGACACAAACTGTTCTGCTGCTGAAAAACCACACACTGCGCTTACTTTCCTTTTCCCTGTGAAATGAACAAAATCTGAATTTTTTTTCCCAGGAAATAATACATGGGTAATTAATTGACAACACCATCGCCTAAATCTCAATAAAAAATGAAACTTTAGCGAAAATGCCGAGTGGGTCATATATTATGAAGGAAAAAAATTAATAAAAAAAAGTGTGAAGCTTGACTCACCAAGAATCTGAAGGTGGAGAGTGGCATTCCTCTGACCATTTGTGTTTGTGTCTGAGGAACTTGAGCATATATCATACAAATCAATGACTCCCATTGGTTACGCCCCAGTGAATCACCCACAAACATCAAAGTCTTGCCTTTCATTTGCATCAGAAACTCAACTCCATTGAACCTACCAAGAACATGCTACAAAACCACTCAGAGGACTAATAGATACTATTAAGTACTAGCACCACAGTTCCTGAACAAATTTGCATTGAAAATAAGTGCACATTTAAAATAACATCTTTTTATATATAAAAAAAAAATCACTAATTTTTTAAAACTGTCTAGTAAAACTATCAAATATAAACAATTATTTGTTGATGCAAAAATACTATCTTTATAACAAAAATGGTATCTTCAGGACACAAAAATTGTTGTTTTGAGCTTTGGTGTACCTTGGGAGCTCACAGTTGAGGGGTCTCCATCTATATTTAAGGTAATCAGAATCAGGGCGACCAAACATTTTGCAGTTGAACTGTGGATCTATGATGGGGCAGTTAGAGGATTGGTAAAGAGGGTATGTGTCATCAAGGACCCAAGTTCCCACAAACAAGGCACAGTTGGTTTGGTTGGCATGGATCATTGGTCTCTGATGGTGGAGGAAATTGTGGTGATGTTTCAAGCTTAGTAGCAAAGCTGAAGAAGCTATGTGTTGTCGAAGAAAAACAAGGAAAAGGAGAGCAAAGAGTGGTGGTAGGAGAACACATTGAGGTTGAGAATGAAGAAGTGCCATTGCAGAGTGAAACGATGGGAGAGAAAGAGAGAAAAGGTATAAGGAAAGATGGGAGAGGGAAGAAGGATGTTTGGACTGTTTTGAATTATATATATAATTCTTTTGGTGTCTGAAAGTAAAGATTAGAAAAATGGTGGGTTTTGTTTGGTTAAGTTGTGTGCATGTGAATAAGGTAAATAAAATATGATTTTTGTCTAAGTATTTTATTTATTTATAATGTATTTTTAGAATATATATAAAATAAAAAATTTGTAGTTGATATTATATGTATTATCAATTTTGAAGAACACAATTTATGTATACTTTTTTTAAAAAATTAGTATTATTTTGTAATTAAAATTAAAATTTTATCTTAATTATTTGCAACAATCATAAATGTCAACTTGTTATTAAAATAAAATATCAATTTTAAATGAAATATAAAAAACATTTAAAGAAGTATAATTAAACTTTATCTAATTCTAATTGTTTAAATAATAAAATTAATAGATTAAAAAAATTATTGACCAATATGATAGAGTCTCGTGTTAAAAAGAAATCACAATTTTTATCAATCGAAAAGCCATTATAGTTAATTATAAATTAAATGAAATTAAAAAATCTCTTTCTTCCTTAAGATAATTGTTATTTTTTTTCAACTGTATGTTAAAAATGGATCTTCGAGTTTGAGAATTTATTTGAAAATATATTAAAAAATTATAACCATAAATCTAATAAAAATAATGTAAGTCCAATAAGAAATTGAAACAATGATTCTTCCAAGGAATGGGCAGAAGGAGAGTGTCTTTTGCATTTGTCTACATAATATGAACCATCTTTTATTATTATTATTATTTTGTCAAAAAGTTATTTATTTTTTATGTCAGATATGTTGAGTCAAGGAAAGGCCACTTGAGGTTTGGGGTGGGTCCCGCAAATTTGTGATTTTCTTGAGACATTGGAGAGATAGAAAAGTGAGTTCTCCAAGCAAGGAACTCCACCTTTTATTTATCGAAGGTAATTGTTCAACATAAATTTTAAAATTTTCTAAACAATTCATACAATAAGTTCATTGATTATTGATTTTTTGAACATGTATAATATTATATATAATAAATAATAATTTTTTATTAAAATAATAATAAATATAAATTTAACTATAAGAAAATAGTTTTAAGTTAAAAATGTTTTTTATTATAAGAATAGTTTTATTTAAAATACATTTCTTAAAAATTAAAATTAAATAAAAATAAACTCATAATAATAAAAAATATATAATTTTTAAGTAACTATAATTAACAAAAAATAATTATATATATACATTATTCATGAACTTTTAATATCAAGCTTACAAAATTTAAATTTATTTATTTAATTAAATAAACGAGTCCAGTTGAAAAATTAAAATTAAATAATTAATATTTCAACTCATTTACGATATTAGATACAACTCATAATAATAATAATAATAATAATAATAATAATAATAATAAATAGTAAAAAATTCTCACAAGTATAGCAAAGTTATTTAAATATATTTTATTATATTTTCATTTATAATTATATTAATAGTATAGATATTTTAGACAAAAATCAAATAAACACTTTCGTAATAAAGACTACGAAACACATAAATGAATATCATATAAATGTTTGTCACAAAGAAATTTAAAATAAAACTTTGAAAATAGAGGTCAACATTCTTGAATGTTGTAAGATTTTTTTTTCTTTTTGTTAATAGATCAAGGGGGAAAAAAACAAAAAATCGTGACCATTGTGTTGTAAGTGGGAATATATTCTTTAAAAATATACAGTACTCTTTAGTTTTTATGTTATGAATTTTACTAATCGATTTCCTTATAAAGTAAAAGAGTTTTTATTAAAAATGCTATTGAAAATACCAATGCCCCCCCTCTATACCTAATATCTTTTAGCAATGAAATTTCTTGATTTTTTTAAATTAAAATTTTATTCTCTTCCATAAATTCTTCATCTAATTACTGAATTAATGACTTTGACAATTTATATGTATAAGATGACATTTTATTAAATATAACATAACATATTTAAATATAAGAAAATATTATTTAAAAAAAATTAAAGTCACTAATAATCATTTAAAATTATTTATTTATTAAAATATCATACCCTTTAAAGTAAGAAAAAGTGTAAAGTAAAAAAAAATACTATTAACTTCAAGTTTGTTATATTTAAAAATATTTTAATTTAAATTAAAGATAGATATATACTCTTTTTTTTAATTTACATACTCTCACTTTTAGAATAATTTAATTCACATTATAGAGTTAATAAATTTATTAATTTCTATTCATGACTAAGTGATAGACTAGTAGAATATTTTATTTTTTAATTAAACTAGAATCAAGTAGGAATACTTAACATTGATGCAAACATAAATTCAACATAAGGCCAATAACATTAAAATAACCATGAAATTATGTTTTTTGAACCATAAAACCTAATAAACTATTAGTTTATTATCATTAAATAGTATTGGATAAACAATAGAGTATCATCTCAAGCAACCTTGGAAGTAAAAATTCTCATAGGTAATGTAGGTGGATGAAAGGGTGAGGTTTGTAGATGCTTCCTTTCCCAATTAGAATTTGGTAGGGTCATATAAGGATCAGTTTGGAAAAGGAGATGTGAGAATAAGTGTTAAATAAGAGCATATTTGGGCCAAAAGTTTGCTTTGCCCCTTTCTATGAAAGATGAACCTTTTGCTCAATCGCATGAAAGAAGACAATTTTGATAAAGCATATGTTCTTTGCTTTCCTTAGCTCATTTTATGATTAGCATGTTCTCTAGTTAATTGAAAAAATTAAGGGTGTTCACAATTAGGTTTGGATGAGTTTTACGAAGAAGAAAAAAAAAACTAATTTAAATAAAATTTGTAGTTTAATTTGAATTGATTTGAAATTAATGTAAAAAATAAACTTTTGTGAAATGGATTGGATTAATTTTTGCCATATTTAAAAAAAAATTATCTTTTTGATTAATTAATAGATATAATTTTATTAATGAAAGTTTGAATAGAGTATCAATTACATAAATTCTTCCAGTAATAAATTTTTTATTTAAGCAACTGTGCTTATTAAATAAAAATTCAAATATACAATAACTATGAAAAAAACCAATTAAAAATATTGAATCTTATTATAAATCACAAGGACATAAATTATAATAACCTCAATTTTAGTATTAGTTGGGTTCAATTTTAAAGATAAGAACTGAAAACTAAATTAAACTGTAGAAGAAAACAATTTTTATTAACAATTTATTTAATTTTTTATTTTTATAAAATCAATTTTGATCACGTTTAAAAGAAAGAACCTTTAAAAATATTATTTTATATCAATTTAAGTTGAGTTCAAAGGTAGAGTAAATTTATTATCATTCTAAAATGTTTATTGTCACTCTTAAAATATTTTTTTATATATTTTTACTAATTAATTAAATTGATAGTTATTATATTTTAAAAAAAATCTTAATAAAAAGTGATAATAGAGATTTTAATAAAATACACTCTTCAAAGCCTTAAAAAAATATTATAATTTAATTTATGTTAACATCTCATGAAAAGTATCGTTCTACAGGACGATAAATATTTAAAAGTATGTTTATTTTTTAAAAAATATTTTTTATTTTTAAAAATAAAATACAATATATACAAGATAATAAATAGAGATTTTAAGAACCTGTTTTTTTTATTTTATATTTTATTTTTAAAAATAATAAACTACTTTTAAAAAGAAAAATAAACATACTCTGACCGCAAAAAATTCTGCGATTTATGATTTATTGAATATATGCAATGTTGAAAATGAATACAAATCTTTGTTCATGTGAAATTGATATGTCGAATAAATGTAAAGCTACGGACACCAAACCCAAAGTGATTTGGTTAAATAAGTCTTATTTATTAAAATAATATTATTTAGAAAACTATTTACTAAAATAATTTTTTCAAATTTTTTTTTTCTGGATTTCTTATTACTTATTTTAAGTTTCTAATACTTTTCAATTAATCTCATATACGTTATGTGCAGTGATAATTGTGAGTTTTAAACTGTCACTAATTTTGTATAGATTTTAAACCTAAAGTAAATTTATCTTCATATCTAGATTCGGCCCTATACACAGCAAGAGTAGTTATTACCTTTATTAAAAAGTTTAAAATAGGAAATTATTTTTAAAAATTATTATTTTAATAAAAAGACCTAAACAATATATCTAGACTGTCATGAAAATAAATTTTAATAAATAAAATGTAAGCATCTGACAAGTTTTTACTCACTTTAAGCCCTAACTTTCGAAATACATATTTAAAAAATGATTTTTTTTTTATCTTAGAAAATGATGTCCAACGTGTGATTGTCTCTTCTACGCTTTGCTTAAATGAATGAGTGAGATTTTAGAGAAAAATATATATATAAAAGAGAAAAGAATAAGTAAGAAATAGAGTAAAAATAAAATGAAAAATATATATCATTTAGATGAATAAGAACAAGAGAGATAGAAATGAAAAAATCTTTTCTGCTTATTTGGATGGATAAAAATGAGAGAGTAAAAAGAAATAAATATAATATATATAAAATATTTTTATATGAATTTAAAAATTGAATTTGATCCCAAAAGTAATACTTTTTACAATATGCTTTTTTATTAAGTTAAATTTATTAATTATTTTCTTTTGCCATAAAATATTTTATCAACCTTCTAAAGAAAGAAGAACATAGACCTCCTTTTTTTTCACATTAAGAAATAAGATGAGTTAAAAGATATGAACAATGCAAGCGAGCAAAATTTGCATGACACTCCATGTTCAATCAAATATTAATCTCTCCAAAACCATTAAAAAACAACTTTTCACAACTAATCAAATTCACAAGCAGACACAGTCACCGTATATGTGCCTCCATCACAGTACAATTGACCTAAGTAAAATCTACCTTTTCTGTTTTACAAACTAAATGAAAACAAAATGTGAAATCGTGTTGTAAAATTATGCATAGCATGAACGCCAAACAAGTCACCCCTTTATGCTACTATTCTTCCTTTGTACACAAAAACTGATGAAGAATTAATCATCTTCCCTGTGCTTACTAATTTACTTCCCTCCAATAATGACATTCTAAACCCTTCACATGTTTTTCTCACTTTCCTTCTGTTGTAATATTTATACAAGCCATTATACCTGTTACCTGCTTGGTTTACAAGAGAGTACTGTGAGCTGGTTCCATTCTGGCACTGTTGATCTCTAGGACTTGGTTGCTCCTCCTAAGAACCAATAAAAGTATTAGTGTTAACTGAAACAAGAAACCATGCAATAAAAGAAATAAAAGGGGAACAAAATGTTACACATAAAAACAATTAAGAGAAGTACCATGGTGATGGGGTCAATAGCACCATAAACATGATGACCACTGCTGCCAGCACAAGCACAGGAAAAATATCACACCCATTAGATACAATATTGCCATCACTTCCCAACAAAATCTCTGAACAACATATCAACACTGACAAGTAGCATATCAATAACGTTCTGCTATGAAATTGATATATATAGGATATTAGGACCATACTGGCACACAAGTTTGACTCTTGGGTATGAGGAGAATGTTACAAGAAGGAAAACAAAACATACCATACCAAGTTACTAACACTACCTAATTGGATATGTAGAATTTTTTTACTTCTTACTTGCATGAAATTGCAACTATGAAACACATACATACCCCCTAAACTCCAAATAGTTCAATCATAATTTGTTTTAAAAAAATGGTTAGGATTAAATGGACAAAAATAATAGACAGATGTGAGACATACCTTCCCATTTGTTGGTCCAGCATGCCTCCTTTGTTTATCTCCTCTTCCTGGTATACTTCGGACATTTGACTAGACTTATCGGGGTAAGCACTGCAACTTCCGGAGAAAACAACACATTTTTGTTGTGAATCTGCACAGGAAACATTGAAGTTTTAATAACTTTGTGTGGCACAAACTTATATACTTCTCTCCTTTACAAAAACAAGAATCATAAAAATTTACAAACCTATTAAACAAACGGAATCTGGAGATTGAATCTTCATCAACAGCTTCTGGCACATGATGGTACCCTGAAAATCTAAGAAAGTGTAGTCCAGAAATCGAGATCTCTCAAAACTTGTCATCTTTGCAAAGCCAAAAGATCTGGTACATGTTTCTAGCACGCTAGGAATAGCAGGCAAAACAAGCCTCTCCACACCTAATTGCATGAGCTTCTGAAGAAAGAAAAATACAAGGTAGAAAATGATAACATAAAAAATGAGTGTAATTGTAGGTCTTTATCTTAAGAAAAAAAAAAACTATGATTTGGAATTATTTAAAACTTTTTATCTACCCTTATCACTTACACACAAATTCAACATCAGAACTGAACAGTCTCCGAAATCATTGTGTTACATACAGCTTGCCATATCAGTTAATTTGGTAAACTTTATAAAAGTAGTCAAATGAGTTTCCAGAAACGATAAAGTGAAACAAAGGACCATAGAAAACAAACAAGAAAAATTAACTAATCCATTTCCTTATCAGACATGTAAAGTTTGAAGAAACAATCAATGTTCAATTATGTCATAAATGTAGCTCTAGATAGGAACTAAAGCTAAAATTTGGATCATTCATCAACATGGGATATCTTTGATCATGATAACAAAATATTATAAGTAGGAATTTCTTTTATTATAATGTCAAAACAAGTAGTCATCGTTGGAAGTGATTAAGATGTAAAGTAAGAATATAAGTTTTCTCGGCTAATATACATATTACATAATATATTATTATGCTAAAGACGTACTTACTAATATTGCTTAAAGCCAAAGTTGAGGATTGTGTTTTCACACCATTACCTTTTCAAGCTCATTCATTAAAATGCGACACATTCCATGTCGACGATACTGTAATCTGGTACCAACAAGGGGTACTTCTGCTACCTTCCTCCCATAGACCCTAAAAAATTGACAAAGGAAATGAATATGACCATAACACAACACTGTACAAAAGTCCTTAGAACATGCAATCATAGAATCAAACAAATCCTAGTACTTGATGGTGACAAATCCTATACTCACCTAATAATTGCCACACTAATTAGTTCTTCATTTCTCTCAAGTAACACAGTATAGAAACCCTGGAAATTTAATCGGTTAAGCTCTGACCTACAAAGTTCCAAAGCACAGATATCAGGTATAGACCAAGAGATATAACAAGAATGCAGCACAGTAGATAGCATGATCATTGTCAAAGTAAATATAGCATATATTAAATGGTAAAGATATGTATAACATAAATATAATAAGCAACATAAAACATTATGGCTATATCTTGAAGGATAACAATTTCTGACCAACTGCTGAGCATAACATCTTCCATGAGATCTTTGCTAGAGAAAGGTTCCTTTAGGGGCTCAAAACATTCATGCATCAGAGATAGAGCAAGATTGAGTTTGCTAAAACTTTCTGCCGCTAAGTCATGTTCAGTACCACCAAGATCACAACTCTCAGAGTTGATGAACTTCACCAATGTCCATGTTAGATTGTCCACACCCACTGAAACTGGAGCTCCTAGTAGTTTATGAAGGCCTTCATATATCTGCAAAAAATAAACACAATAATGTAGGGTAAAACCAGTGTCCTTAAAGACCCTCAATGAAGACACCGCCTAAAATGCTTCTCTGGCACTAAACTCAAATCTCGATTGCTTGTCAAGTCATAACAAGTAACATCACCAGAATAAAACAATATATAATTCTATGAAATCTCATGATGAGTAACTGTTGACCAGAAACACATGTTAAAGAGTTGACAATAAATATAATTTTTATATATTATTAAAGTTATTTCGCTATTCAAGGCAAACAAATAGGAACAAGCAATTTTTCAAGCAAATTATGGCTCTATTTCCCAAAGAGATGAAAAAAAAGGGTGATAAATATATTGTACCTTTTCACAATCTTTTCCACAGAACCAAGTTTTCCAATATCTTGATATATCTGCAGCTCCATTATTAAGGCACCTAACATGATCTACAAAGTTTGACAAAGATGACACCAAATTTAAATATGTAGACAAATACACTCTAATATATCAAGACATGGATGAAATATTAAAGAAAAACAAATAATAGATTACATTTATGTTCACACTGAGCACAAGTAAGGAAATGTTCATCCTCATCTTTATGGATTTTGTTTTGGCCACAAATCCCACAACAACATGATGGACAAAACCAATCACCATCAGGGACATCCTATACAGAAACAATAAGACAAGGCAAAGGAAACAACTGAGATTCAAGACCAATTATTGGTTTGAAAGTACTGAATTGAAGTTTTTATAATGAGATAAAACAAGATAGTAGTAGCACTAAATAAGCATGATTGAGAAGGAAAATGGTAATACCTTCAAACCAAGGCACATCTTATGGAATGAAGATGGACATTGATCACATAAAATAAGTTCACCACCATTGTGGCAAACAGAACAAATGTAGTCATTGTCTCCTTGACACAACTCACTGAATGGTTTTTCACTAGTTTGGCTTGTTTTATGATCTTGCATTATTTGCATTTGACAATGCAAGAGTGATCTACCATCTTCCAAAAAGATACTAGAAGAGGGCCTGCAAGTACTAATGCCACTAGCATGATGTTCAAAGCCAACAAGACTGTATATTTTCATGCAACAGTTACACTTGATTCCATCGCGAGTTATTTTCCCTACAGCCATAGTACGAATAGTACGTTGCCTTCCTTTTGCCTTGTAATAAACCTTAGACCTTGGTAAGACCATGTTGCAGTCTATCAACCAAGACATAACATTTAGAGGTTTATGTTGTGATGAACAAGGGGCAGACATATTTTGAACCCTCTTATTTGATCTTAGCATCCTTAGAGGCAATCCATTGCTTTGACAATTAGGTAGATTGGATTCTGAATTCCTCAAGTATTTCCTCTTTCGATTTGAAGTTGATCTATTTGCAGCAGCACCATCCATAGCATGTAACTCAGGGTCTTTTGGAAGAAATTGGGATACTCTATGTGATAATTCCCCGCTCCAAACCTGATCAACATTTTCCTCATTAGTGCTAGAGACATTTGAAGGCTGCATATCAGATATAGCCCATTCAGGAATACCCTCTTCAATACAAAATCTACATGCTGCATGGAGTGTTGTGAATCTCTTATTTTGTGGAGACATGTATCTTATTCCCCTTTTCTTATTAGTTGGAGGTGGATAGTCGAAACTCCATCCTTCTGCTAACAGGTGATTCTTTGCTTTCAGTATCCACTTTTTTTTATCAGCCTTATTCTTGTTGGATTGATGTGCATGATAATATTCTACAATAGCTTGAGGATAAAACTCTGGTTTGACATCATCAGGAGGAAGGATATTAAGATCCTGATTTTTTTGGGATGGATTAGGAACTACATTTGAAAGATGAGAGTCAATTGTAAGATGCATTCTACTCTTTTGAGACTGCAAAGAGTTGTTCTTGTTGGGGTCCTCTAGCATACTTTTACAAACTTCAACTAGTGACAAGTAAACCTTTTGGCCCAGTTCATCAGGCAATTTATACCTGTAACGTTTGATATTAAATCTATTTGACCACTCAATTTCCCATCCAAGATATGCAAGATGCTTTTGTAGTCTTTCCTTCCAAAGTTTCCTACTTGTCCTACTTGAACCAAGTGCATATTGCCTAACAGCGTCAGGACATAATTCAACTTCAGAAAACTCCAGAGGTGTCCAGTATGTGGACCTTAAATGGGTTGGGGATCTAGGTTTTCTTTTTCTTCCAAAACAACTAGCACCTGAATTAGGAGGAGCAGGTTCCTTCTGCACAACAATTTCCTCATCTGTCAAGGTCATGTTGAAGTCAACATTAGCCATAGCTTCATCTGAATTCAGCTCTTGTGAACTCCCTGGAAGATTTAAGACTGAGATAGCATCTTTTACTGTGAGTTTTAAGTAATCATTTACTACCTCCCTCACCAAGTTTTTCCACAAGTACTTCACATTATATGTCCAATCTCCAATCATACAAAATTCCTCTTTCCCCTGTACATCATACCAAATTTGTTTAGCTGAAATTGCAACAAGAGATTCCCTCTCACACTCCTCAATCAATTCAAGAAGCACCCAGTTCCCTCGTTGCTCCCACTCTCCTGTAACTTCATCCCAGTCCTGAGTAATCCGCAATTGATGAATTTCAATTTGCAATTCATCTCCCAAATCAGGGAAAAACACACTCCTTGTTTCCATTCCATCGCAGTGATCAAATATGACACCTTCCCACCAAGCTTCCCGCTGGATCACATCAACACACAGACCAAATTTAAGATCCAATCTCCCAAAATCAACCAAAGGAGGCATTGGCCTAATGAAGCTACGCTTGTAGCAATATGAAGATTCAATTTCTCCGTCCAAAGCTTTTGGAACATTCACCACGTCCACAAGATAATTTAACCTATTATTCTCCAAAATATTCGTATATCTGATATAGCGTTTCAGCTTCCCACAATGGATAACTGTCCCTGCGTGCCATGATCCAAGCAAGCCCTCCTCTTCACTCCTCACCTGAAAATTTTCCAAAACCTCTTCAATTTCTATAGATGACAATTTCAGATAAACAAAAAAAATCAGCAATGTACCTGAAAACATTAGACACATAGTAATATGAACACCCGATCATAGATACTAATAAAAGCCAAAACTAATGACAACTTAAAAAAACACAAGAAGGTTGAAAAAAATAGATTAATCTACTTTGTCTTTCTCATTTTTTGAAAGACATCAGACATTCAAATAACAAAAAATCACATCTTTATTATAAAAAAAAATTAAAATTAACATTACCTCCACGTTTTCATTGACTTGAAGCTTTACGGGAAACACTCGTTTATGCTTTCTACTCTTACAATTACCAATGCCCTCCATTAACATTGGAGGAAAGGTTCAAGAATTACTATTTCTAAAAACAGAATTTCAAAACTTGAGAAAAGGGAATAAAAAGGGTTAAAAAGAAATATTTGCCATCGTGAAGAAATCAAGGGATGAAACTCAAATCATATCTAATAAAATCATATCTTTGACTCCAAGTCAATGCTTTTCACACACTAAATGTGAACTCTCTAATTTTTATTTTCTAAAATATCTAATTTTACTGCTCTACATCATCAACTTTTGCGAAGATATTAATGGCCCCACTCTCATTTAACACTACTTTTTAATTTAATCTTGATATAAAAATTATATATTTTAATTTTTATTAAAAGAATAAAATTCATTATCACTATTTTTAAAAATATAATAGTATTATAATATTTTATAGAAATTAAATAAAAATATTATTAATATAAAAATTATAATGAAGGTTTTTTTAGGTAAGAACTTAAAGAAGGTGTAAATTTATTTTATATAAAAACTAAAACAAAAATGTTATCTTTACTTATTTTTTTTATACAAAACAAATCAATGGAGATAGCTACTTATTTAATCGCACACTATTTATACAACTGTAAAATAAGCTAATCTAGTTAAGTTTATTAAAATATTAACAATACGAGAATTTGTTTATAATTTTTAAAATTATTTTATTTAAAATTAATTAACATAATATATAAATATAAAAATATATTTTAAAAATAATATATTTATTATTTATTAAATTATCATAAAATTATATCAAATATATATATTGAAAAAGATTATAAAATACACTATTATACTATTATATTGTTAATTTAGTCTTGACATTTGTTTAACTTTTAATTAAATTTAATGCAGTATATTAATTATTTATTATTTTAATTAATAATAATTAATAAAATTTTAACTATACAACAATTAAATGATAAGATAACACATTACGAAATAAGCAATAACAATTAATTTAAGTACAAATAAAAGAATAACAATTAAACTTTAAATATAATTAGCATAAATATATTATTTTATTATTTTCATCAAATTTATAATAGATATAACTATATTATAAATACCTAAAATTTATATGCTATTAGGGTACAAATTTGATATAAACTATTTCTCAATTAAATGAGATATATTATAATAGATGTATATATAAAATTTATTGAAATAAGTTTATCTTAATGAAGCTTATTTTTTGTTTTTTAATCAAATAGATGTGACTATTAATATATGTATTTATTTAATAATTTATATATAGATTTTATTGACATAATTTTAAAAAGATATATTTAACATTCAATTTAAAATTTATAGTGTGATAAATTATCTTGTATTAACTATTTTAGGGAAAAAAAATATTATCAAAATCCTTTATTTATAAAAGTGATTAGAATGATCTTATTATTATAAATACGATTGTGCCACATAAATTATACAGAGTTGGTGCAATTTATGTTCTGCTTTTGTGCGATTTCGTTCAAATATGTTCAACTACAAATTGTTCAAAACTCGTGGATAAATTATAATTCATTTCACCTTATACAATTTATGAATCAAGTACACTTAGAATATATTTTAATTTTTTTAAAAGATAATTTTTATTTTAATTAAAATACATTGTATATAATATTTTAAAAATTTACCATTATGTAACTTTTAATTTTTAGTTTATTATTTAAAATAAATTATAAAATATATATATATATATATATATATATTGATAAATTATGCTTTAAATTAGTGTAAATTTAAACATTTTATTATGACAAGTTTTTATTGAATATGTCATTTTTAATAATTTTATTGAATGATACTAGTCAAATTTCTCTCTTGTAATTAACATTAAATAATAAAAAATAATTTTCTTCATTAAAGTCAATTTCTATCTCATAATTAAAATTTAATTTTTTTCTTTATTAAAACAAATGTTCCCTATTTTATTTTTAATTAAAATTTATAATTTATAATTTATTATCTAAATAAAACACTAACTACTAAAGTAAAATGTAAAGGTTAGTAATTTTTGTATTATTATAATTATTTTAATAAAAGACTGTAAATACCTTGAATTTCTATTAATTCAAACCCATAAAGACAAACTTAATTGTATTTTTTATGAATTTTAAAATTTAAAAATGAATTATAATTTATTTTTATACATGATAAAATTATTTTAATATAAATATAAATATAAATATAAATATGTGAAACATTAAATGATGATTTTTAGTAAATTTTATAAACTTATATAGATATAAATAAATTATTTGTTCCAAATAGTTTTATAAAAAAATAATTATAAATATCAATAGTTATGAAATATATATATTAATTTGAACTTTTATTATTTATTTGTCACTTTTTATAAATCTTAATAATTATTAATTTTATTATAAATTCATAAAATATTAAAAAGATAAAGTCAATTTTACACACATATCAAATTCAAACTAATTTTAAATTTTTTATTTAATTTATTCAATTTTTAATTATATTTGGACTAGTATGATTTATTTAAATATAAAAATATGAATTCAAAATTTTCTTGAACTTCTATTTTATTTATGACTTAAATAATTTAATTTTTTTACATTGATTTAATGAAATTTAAAGTTTAAATTAATTTAAGTCGGATTAGATTAATTTTCTATTTGATAAAATTAGGTAAAATTAATATTTTATAATTTATACTTGATAAATTAATTTATAATTTATAACATTATAACTTAAAGTAACTAATTAAATGAAGTTGTATTTAGTAATGCAAACTTATAATTTATTTAGGATTTTATAATTTATTATTTTAAAAAATAAGCTAATAGAATCATTTGATGATCGCATAATAAAGCTAACTTATATTAATATAAAACTGATAATTTATAATTTATATTAGTATATTATTAAAATTAAATAAGAATAAAGTGATTTAAGATTAATTTGTACTTATGTATAATTAACAAAATAATAAAGGTAAAAGTAAGATGAAGTTATTGATAGTTTATGAAGTATAAAGTTAATTCTACTTCAACTAAATTTTAAAAGTAACAAAAAATTTTATTTTGTAATTATTAAATAACCATTATTTATATAAAAAAATCTAAATTTTTTTAACTAAGTTATAATAAAAACCTATTTTGACTTTAAATTAAAAAAAAAAATAGTCACTTTTCTTAATTCAACTTTAAAAAACCTGAAAGAATAATTTCTCTTAAAGTAATAATATCAAGCAAACACTTAGTACTTTGGTCTTAGTTTTCTGCAAATCAAACAATGATCCAATTTCAAACTCAGAATAACAAGAGTGAACTCAAATTTGTGAGTGAAACCAATAAAGCTTTAACAGTTCTCAATCTGCTGAAACCTTGCAAGTCCCACTTTATGGCCTATGGCCTTGATATCTTGTTGCACCTGTGCTCTGAACTCATTGTAAGTAAAGGGCTTGTACTTTGAGCTTTCAATCACAAGTTCTTCACCAGGAAAAACAAAGTAGCAAATTGAAATCCTCTCTCTATGTTTGTTTATCTTCACCCTGTGTGTCACACTCTTGTATCTGTCGTCGCTTATTGCCTAAACCACAACACCCATTATGAAGAATAACATTTTTTGAGCTTAACTCTCTTTGATTGATTTATTTTCAATCTTAAAAAAAAGAAATATGTATTTTTAATTTTTAGTAAGAAACTGAAAAATATTTTTCATAACATAAGAATTACAAATAAATAATAAATTTTAATTAAAAACTGAAATAATTTAGATGTAATTGTAATTTTGATCATAGTTTGGACTGAGCACAATTCTAGTGGCAGATTTTTTTTTTCAAGCAATTTAAGTCTTTCTATTTTTAAGTTTATGCAAATTTGATCTTCTATTGATTCTCTTTCACATAAAATTTTCAATTAAAATTTTGGGGAATTTTTAATGGAAATAGAGTATAACATAATATTAAAGTCATAAATAAGAAATTTAGTATAAAATTGATTAAAATTTTTAAGATGTGATATATCATTAGTAAAGATTTTGAGTAGAAAGTGAAAATTTAGAAGTTTTAAGCCAAAGAAAATCTATTTGGAATTAAATTTGCTAAATTTTAAAAGTAAAAAAAAAAAAAATCAATACTTAAGAGATTAAAATTACTTAGTAAATTCGTGGAACTAAAAATATAACTAATCCATTAATAAATAAAACATATTTTCCGATATCAAAATTAAAAGTATATTTCAGCCTATAATTTGTTATATACTTGTATAAATCTACCTACATAAAAATGGATAGAATTTGGACCTGCATCATGTCTCCAAGGTTGACAATGAATGTGTCGGAAATGGGTTTTATAGTAAGCCATTGATCATCTTTGAGCACTTGAAGTCCACTCACTTCATCGTTTTGATTCAATATAGACAAGATTGAACTATCTGTATGTGCTTCCATGCCCCAACCAACATTTGTATCAGTGCAATGTGGGTAGCGGTAGACACGCACCATTCCAGTGTTTTCTGATAAATATGGCTTTGGGGGTTTCAAATTCAATTCAAGGTTCTTCGCCATAGCTTCAAATAAGGTTGTAGCAATTCTTGATAAATGGTTTTCATAATCCATTAGCAGAAGCCTTGCAAACCAAACATGCATGCCTTGTGTTACTTAACTCTAAACACAAATTAGTGGCTTCAAATAGAAAAATCATATAAATAATTTGCTTCCATGATTCTTAAGGCTCATAATTAACTTTATTTATGGCTTTAATTTTATTTTAATAAGACAAAACTTACATAAAATTCTCCACAAATAATGACGTGTTTTTTTTAACTTAATATTATGTTTGAATTAATTTGGAACGTAGTCAATTCAAAGTCCGATTGATTCAGTCAGCGAGAGTCATGTTATTTGGTTTTTGTAATGTTAGATTCAATAATCATACTTTGAAGTCAACAACAATTTGTCTAATCCATATAAATCAGGTTTGAATCTTATACGAATGAAAGTTTCAAATCGTATTATTGATGTTTGTGAATAGACGATCAATAATTACCTTTAAATAATGATGACACCTATAAATATTTAGATACCACACTGTAAAACTAATACTCATTTCTATATACCTGTGTAGATAATAATTTTAATCTTCATCTCTGGGCCTTATTGACTCACTCAAATTAAATAAAAATTCAACTTTAACAAAAATAAAATAAATAAATACTTCACAAACTTACAATTTTTATGCTTGCACTTTCTGAAATTTACATAAAACATGGTTATATATATAAATTAATAAATATAATTTTATGAGGACCCCTTTAGTCTAATCATAGGTGTGAAAACCTAATGTGAGGTTTGATTGATATTCGAATATGTCTTTTATGATTATCATGTACATCAAGGCCATATGCAATCATGCCCTAACTGGCAAATTACATTTTTCGTTATCTTGTTAGATGTTTTCCTTAAATAACATCCTCAGTTAATTTTTTATGTTATGATCCAAAAGGAAGCAGTAAACATTTGCTTACAAGATAAATATAGAGACACGTACTAAACTTTACATAAACATATTTTGTACTCGATCTAAATATATGTATTTATCTGAATTATATATCACCACCATCTTTTATAATTTTTTTTTTCATATAAAATAAACATTCACAATTTTAACGGAAGACGAAATGAAAATTTTGGGAATACAAGTCAAAGATACACATGAAAAATTCCTAAACATACACCTGAGAAATGATTACTTTATATCGACGTAATTCTCAATCATTTTTATATCATTTAAATGATTTAATATATATTCAAAACAATTACTATATAACGTAAGAATGTCAGCTAGAATGGATCTCATATATGTGTGTTTAAGTGAACATAAATAGTTATACGTTATATATAAATTAATATAATGTAATAAGAATAACCAATTTTATAACAGTGAAAATGTTATAAATCATGTTGATAATCAATGAAAAATATAATACTAGAAAAAATACTTGTTATTCCCTAGGTGATTTTTTTTTTCTAATATTTACAATTATGGCGGTACATGACACATACTAATTAATTTTAACTAGGGATGGGCATAGGTAGTACGTAAAAAGTTGAAAACATAATTTTATTATGGATAAACAGAATTAAATATAAATTATATCATTTGTTTAATTGATTATGTAAATTTATTATTATTATTATTATTATGACTCGCTTGGGGTGATCTATCTTTCTTGGTACTCAAGTATTAACTTAGATTAAGAGAAGAAACATATTAAAAGAACTGAACCTTATCCTATCATTTTATATAGAAAAAATAAAGCACCCAACAACTACCCACTCTAAACATTTCCCCACTTTAATAGTTCCCTCGTAATTAATTAGGTTTGGACCAATCAGATAAGCACAATCACTAGCAAATTATCTCGAAAAGTTTTTGCAATGTGTCACTCTCTTCTATCTAAACATGTGGTGACATATTTGTGCATTCGTTTTAAGGTAGGTGATAAGATCAATAGTTCAATCATGCATGCTTTCAATTGCGAATAAGTAAACAGATGTGATTGCTGGTAATTTTCATATATCGATGTTGCTCTCTTCATTTTGTTGATTATGATTTCGAATTTTGATGGTATTCCAAATCTAATCAAGAGGAAACTATATACTTTCAACACATCTATCAAATCTGACAATCTTTCTAAAAGGTGTCTTAATCTCAAAAGAATAATATACCTTCACATCCATATTTGATGTATAGTTTGAATGGAAAAAAGAAAGAGATAAGCGAGAGAAGAACAATAAAAAATTAATGTAAGTATAAAGTAAAGTAGAAAAATTGTAAGTATTGATTTCAAAAAGGTGACAAGTCTAATGTCCACAACAAAACCCATAAGGCATCAAATTTTTTATTTTTTTTTATAATACATTTTTAATGTCTTGAAAATATAAAAGAAGCGTTTTTTAACTATCTTTGTTCACACACACATACATACATACATACATATATATATATATATATATATATATATATATATAACGATACATATTTATTAATTAAGTTGAAAAAAAAGAAAAAATAATTCTCTAAAAATTTAATTTTTAAAAATAAAAAGTATATTTATTCTTCTTGTTTTTCTTTGATTTTAAATTTTTTCTTATTTTTTTTCTCTAAAACAGATTAGAGACTAACAAAATTAGTTAAAAAAATTGTCATGTAAGGGTTTAAAATTTTGCAGTTTCCTCACTCAGTAAAATTATCTTTTTAAAACATAGACAGCACAGCAGACAAACTAAAAGAAAATGTTATCATGTTAGTCTAGAAGGTGAACTTTAAACCTTTAAAAACAACAAAGTTTTATTAAAAAAGAAATATTTATTACTTTTATATGTTTAAAATGAAATTAAAATGCTGACAATAACAAAAACAAAAAAGAAAGACAGAAGCTAGGCCCGACATGCATGAAAGAAACAGGAAACAATAAAGAAAGTAAAAGAAAGAAATAGAAAAATATTGAAGAAGACAAAGAATAAATAATAATAATAATGCAAGTTGGCTTTGTTCTTACCTTATGGACTGAAGCGTGGGAATTTGAGGGTTGAAGTGTGAGAGTTGACTCAATGGCACATCGAAGCCTTCAACCCAATTGATATTTTGGGGGCCTCCTGTGAGTGCTGCCCCAGATGGAGTTAGGGCAGGGGTGCCCCAAAAATATGTGACAGGTGTACCACTGCATGCACCTTCTTTGCACTCAAAGGACATAGAAAAGAGCTCTTTAGCCACTTCTTGAAGATCCTTCAAAAGGGTCAACGGAACCCCATGATTGACCAAACGAAATATCCCCCAATTCTTGCATGCTTCCTCCAACTTCTTCTGCTCATGCTCTAAACACTCTAGATCTATCACTGCAACCGGATCCGGATCTTGGATCGGATCACCCTCCTCATCCGTGTCTGCCTTTGCTCGGTGCTGCTGATCCAGGTGGCGGAGAACGGGAGGGTAGGACTCCAAGTTGTTCATTTCAGTCCCTAACTTTGATATATAATGTGTCATATGCTTTTCACTTCTTCATCTCCAATATGGTTTAGGAATGAGGATAGCTTATAATCGCAGACGATGGACCAGATTGGTCACCATTCCCTCAAACCATATAATTAAATAAAAACCATGATAGAGATATGACAGTGATACGTTATTTTAACACGCACTTTATTTTTTATACACACACGTAAAAGAGAGAGCTAAGATTTTTTTATAATAAAAATACAAAAGTTAGTAAATATTATTATTTTTAATATTAAGAAAATAAAAATAATGTAACACGGTAAAAAGTAAAGAAAAAGATGAATAGAATTAATTGATGATTATAATATTAGTTAATTTATAAAAAAAATCTAAAAATAGTAAATTATGAAGAGTGTTTTGTTTTTTGTCGAAATATTATATGATTCTACACGATTCTACAAGGGTTGGTTAGGGGACCAAAAAAACATGGAACTCGACAAGTGTCTAAGAGGCCCCTCTATGCAAAGGCCCAAACAAATCCTTTGAAAAGTGGATTTGTCCAGTGTTGGTGATGGGGCCCACTCTACGCCTTGTGCATAGGTCCCCTTCACCCTCTTCTCACTGTACTCTCAGAAGTATTCAAAAGGAATGGTGAACAATTACAATTCAGCAAATCAGATTCTATCCTATCGATTATAACACATCACCACCGACCCATGTGTTTCGATACCTTCTCTTACCTCCCTCTTCTTGGTTATGCTCCATGGATGGGTAAAAGCTAGCTTGAGTCATAAATTTTATATTCACTTTGTTACAACATATGAAGCCTTAACTTTTGAAGAATTAAATATACTTCAATGAGTTACAAGTACAATGAGATTGAATTTCATATTTAATTCAAATTTTAATATATTATTTCCACTCACATTTGTTACATAATTGTAAATGTGTTCATAAAGTGAAGAAAATTAACTATTGAAAAGTTTGAAGAAATGTATATCTTTAGTGAGGATAAAGATGGAAAAAACTGAGAAGAAAAAATATATTATATTTCTTTTTTGCATATATTTAATATTAATGTATATATCTTTAAGAAATATTTAGTTTTATTAGTATTATGATAAAATATTTATGTTAAAAGTGTTAGAACATATATTATTAATTATTTCATTTTTCCATTGCATTGATTAGTTGGTAAAAATAATTTAAATAAACATATTGTTAAAAAATCAATAAAATGAGACAAAAAAACAACAAAGAGTATGATGTGATATAGAAAATAAATAAATAACCGTATTATTGTACGAATATTATTGTTAGTGTGAAAAGAAAATTTACAGGCTATTAAATCCAAAGGTGTAACGGATGTAATAGGTCATGGGGGCCAATGTAAACGTACTCTGTGAATTGGTCCCTCTGCCATTCCTCTTGCTGTACTGTGGAAAGGTGTTAAAAAGGGATGGTGATTAGTGAACAAATGAACAAATCAGATGCTATATATCATATCAATGCCAACCCCATGTGTTTGGATATTGGCTCTAACATGCATGCACCTTCTTAGTTAAGGTGCATGGATTCTGAAAATAAATTTTATGGCCAATTCAATCCAAAGGTGTAAATCACCTCTTGAAAAGATGTATTGTATAAGTGAGTTTAAGGACTAATGAAAAAAGTGGGAGTGAGTTTGGGGTGGATTAGTTGAGGTTAGGAAAATAGTGCCCATCCAAGTATTTTTTTTCTTGTAATTAGTTGATATTTATTTTTTTAAAGTATTGGTTGATTTTCTTATTTGGTTACTTCTAATTAAGTAAATGTTTATTATTAAATATTTTAAATATTAAAATAAATCAAAGCTAGCAACATAATAATTGTTATTAATGTTGTTTCGCTATTACCCAATATTACTTATGAAATATGGTCAACATAAATAATTCATGTTATTTTAATATGAATGATATTTTAAAAAAAAAAAATATTGTTGGTGGTTAATAATGTACTCAGTAAAGATTAAATGGATTGATTTTAGTATTAATTAAAAAAAATACAAAAATTCAAATGTATTGAAATAACTTGCTTTATATATGATTTTAAAATACTTTTAAGTAGATATTTAGATTCACATTTAAATGAGTATATATATATATATATATATTAATTAGATTTAATTGAAATTTGATTTAAATTGCACACTTTGATATAGTAGGTAAGTCTATTACTAAAGATTTTTTGCATATAAAAAATTTAAATTCAAAAATTTGTTTAAAAAATACTAAACCGCTTGTCACTCGAATAAACTTCCGTTATTTATTTTAAAAGTACTAAATATAAATTTTACATTAGATTTATATTTATATATTTTTTAACATATTTTCAAATACATACATAGTCATTAGTAAAATAAATTTGAATTTTTTTATAATATTAAGTGATATAATCATATTAAAAAGAGAAAGATATAATATTTATCGAATGAATATCCATTATAATTAGTTGTAATGGGTAAGATTGAGTAATTAAATTTGATGCTTTCTTTTATTTAACATAATAATATCATGTTACTCAATAGTATAAAATAATCTAAATCCATGAGATTGACTAAGGCCTCTTATTATATTTGAAGTTATTTATCTCAAAACATTTTAAATGTGTAACATTTTATCTATACAACACGAACTTTTACTAAGGCCTTGGCATTTTTAGACACGTTATTAAGTTTGAGTAATAGGCACTCTGAACTGAGTATTAATGTTAGGAATTAAATTACTTTGGTGGTTTATAATTTTTTTTCCCCCACTAATGAATACTACTCCAAATGCGACATGATATGGGATTATTTGAACCTAAAAGACCAAATCTGACAAGTCAAATTGTAGAGAAAGATTTGATAAATACTACTCAACAAACTAAACATCACTTAGCATTAACTACTTTTTTTCTTTCATTCAAACTCTTTTTTATGGTTCTTTGAGTTGCTTTGGTAGGTGTAATTACTGGGGCCAATAAGAAACTTTTTAAAACATAAAAAATACTTTAAAAACATAAAAAATGGTAAAAATCTAGAAAAAAAAATGAAAGTTAAAATGACACAAAAAATTCTATATAAAAATTGTTATAAATTACAAGTAGAAAAAAAAAATACTATCAAAAGATTTTCAAGACTCGTTTCCAAATAATTGAGATAAAAGGTCCACAAGAATTTTCAGATCTATTATTCTAATAAGAATGGCAATGCAAATCATATTCCAAACCATTCTAATAAGAGTTTTCAGATCTATTATAATAATTCCCAACTCATCTAATCTTTCTGTATGATAATACATTTATTATATTTTATTAGTTAAACAAATATTGGAAATATGATTAAAAAAAAAGTTATGTTAATATATTATATATAAACTTATTGTTTGTTATATTATACAATTAAAAAAACATGTATTTAAATATGTCATATTTGATTATGATTCAATTAGAGCTGAGTTAGTAAAAACATGAATCAAATGCTCTATAGGTTTAATAAATTGGATTGGCTTTTGAAACACTGCTATATGTAGAGTTTGAACCTTCTATTGTTTCGTTGATATAATTGCATTCATTTTGAAATTAATATCCGTGTGAAAATTTCATTTTTAATATTTTGATACAATTTATTATTTTTATTAATAATCATGGAGGCGTCCTGTAATTTAAACTTTAACTAATGTTTCTAACGATTAGCACATTAAATAATAATAATAATAATAATAAATTTTAATTATAATTTTCTGTATAAAATTTCTAACAATAAAACAAAGTGATCTTTTAGTTATAAATAAAAAATAAAGTATTTTCTTTTCAAATTAAACTAACACAAACTCTCTTATTTTTCTTGTGTCAAAGGTAACAAAATAATCAATTCATGATGCCACTTACGTAAGAAAAAGGAGAATAACAATTTTAAATAGTTAATAAATTAATATTTCAATATATAAAACATTACATAAATAAAAACAAAACAAATAGACACATACGCTAATTATGACTACCTTTATCATAAAAGTTTTTTTTTTGGTGAACCACGAAAGTATCTAATTTAAAGAGAAAAAGAAATTGACAGAAAGGCCCAAGTAGTAAGGGCTTGGGCTTGGGCTTGTATGGCTCTGGACTGTTCTGTAAAGTTCTGTTCCGTTTATTATTGCCCTTTACGCACCATCCTTGCTTTCCCCTTTTTCGCTTCACCAAAACACAACGCTCGGGTTCTGTGTTCCGGCGAAGCGACACCGTTTAATACTTCGTCTTCTCAGCGCAGGTTAGCTTATTCCATTTTCTTCATCTTCTTCTCTGCTTTATTTATTGATTTTTCTTTTCTCATTTGTCATATACTGAGTAGTACACAATTTCACTTGTTTTTAATCCAATTCTATCTTCAATTTTTTGTTTAGGTTTGTTTCTGCTGCTCATCTCATGTGTTGTTACCCATTCCTTTTTAGTTTTATTTTTTCGTAGTTTGAATTTGTTTAGTGTTATTCTACATGTTTTGAAAGAAATTTTCGCTTGTATTTTGGGTACAATGGAATGTAACTTGTATTTGTATCAACTTGTGTAAAGTGTAAAATTAAGTTTTACAGCGAAAGGCTTGATTCTAGAAGCTATTAAGGAAATCATTGCTTCTAGTTTGTCCTTTTCAGTATTGATGTATTAAGAAATTGTAATCGAGTGATAGATCATAGAAATTTGGCGTTGATTTCTTGAAATCAAAGGGTGTGAAAATTTTCTTATATTCTTAATGTGGTGTATCAATGGGTTGGCTTGGCACGAGCTTGGCTGAACTTTTGGACCAACTATGTGGGAACCGGGGAGTACCTTTTTATAATATTCATGGTTGAATGCTTTATAGTTTTTACATTAATTAGTTACTCATGGGTCTAGAAAGTCATAGATTTATTATTTTATTATAATCAAAGGGTGGTAAGTTGCTTGTTAGCTTCGAATGCTAGATTGATTTATCTTATGTGAATATTCAGAGTTTAGTTGCTAAAATACAATCAAACTTAAATCTTTTATGGTTAGAGAATATTTGGAGTTTCTTCTGTAGCTTTATCACAATCTCTCACTCCTCACCATAGCCAAAACCTTCTCACAGGAAACACTTTAACATTCAGTAGGACATTGATTGTTTTTTGCATTCTATGCTGACATGTGTGAACAATTTAACTTTTTTTAAAAATTGTACAATGTATTTATCTGAAAAGATATGCTCTGAAGTAGGTCTGCTTATAACAAACCAGATTCAAAAAGATATCATTCATATATTTTTTAGTTAAGTACAGATAAATGTGTCTTGTTGTTTGTGCTTTCTGTTTGACATTCAAGTGATAGGCTATTCAATACAACTTAATCCATTTTTTCTGTGCAACTATCCGTCACTGATGCAGAAGCAGTGTTGTTCTTTTATCTGTTTTGCTGGTTGAGTGCTTTTCAATTTCCATGACTTTATGGATCCATATTAATGTATTCTGTTGTTTCAACTATGCTGTTGTTCTGTTGTAAGAATATTATTGGAAGTGGGACTCTTGATCCTTCATTTGCAGCCTTCCCATGTTGATAGTACTAATGCATCTCCCATGATTCCATATTTAATATTCAGGATTTAGTGTTGGTCATTGTGAAGATATACTTCAATGGAAGAGTCACTGAAGTTATATTGCATGATAATTTGCCTGTTCTTTTAATATATTGATTTTGACCTGTATAGATTATCCCTTCAGTGAAATCCTGTATTGGAGTCAATTCAACTCAATTGCAACTATTCAGATTATTTTTACTTATGAAACTGTGGATTTGTGGACTTCCACTGTAGGTTGGACTTCCTCAAGCTATTTGTTTGCTGCTCTGAACTAGTCTTCTTAGTTACGGTTATACATTATTAAGGAGCCTGATCAGTTTCATTTTATTTTGCTTTAATTTTAATATCATAGTTCCATCATTAAGATCATTAAGTGTCAATTTAATGAGATGGTTATATCCAGATTTAGAGATAGGATGATTTTACGTTTTCAGGCAGAATTACATGCTATAAAATATCAGTCAAGGGAAATCCATGTTAATTTATGCTTCTAGTTGCTGCCTGCTGTACTTGTATTTATAATCACAAGTATTCAAATGATGTTTTGGTTTACAAGACCACTAAATAAATGTCTTTTGATATCATCATAGCTTTCAAGAATTCTAAATAAAATGAAGTGATTGAGAGTAAGTAGAAAGGACAGTTAGGATTTGGCAACAATTTTTTTATCTGTCTCTATCTGACATAGGCATCTACTAATAATACCATTTTTAACAAGTTGATTATTAAGATTTAGTGCTCAATTTTATTGAAGAAGTAACAATAGACTCTGCCTTGCCCATATATTTGAGAATATGGTAGATGATTTATGCATTTGAATTTGAGTATATTGTTTCATTGTTATACGGTCAAGTAAGCATCTACCCTCTGCTACCTCACTTTTGGGTGCAGACCAATGCTGTGCACTGTGCGCCTTTAAATGTGTCCGCTGCTTGCTTGCTTCTTGAGTTAGGTATAATAACTTCTTGGTTTTCAGCAAGGAATAAAAATCATTTTGCTTAAAAGATTTTAATATTTTGGTTTTAGTTAAAAACTGGATATAAAACTAAATTTTGACCTAAAAAAAATTTTAAACTAGTTTTGATATAAAAAAAGGGATTTTAAACTAGTTTGGGCAATAAAAACGGGTTTTGATAAAAAAGTGGATTTGAATATAGTTTTGAACCAAATCTGGATTAAAACCGGTTTTGAACCAAAACCAGATTTATAAATTGGTTTTGAACCGATTTTAAGGGGAAAAAAGTGGATTGGTTTCAAATCCAAACTATATATAATTGGTTTCTAAATAGATTTAGTTTGGTTTTGAGCAAATCTAATTCACGCTCAACCCTATTGTGTATAATAAATTTATTATACACAACTTTTGTTGTTGTGCACCATTCATTCCTTTTGAGTCCTTCAGTGAATTATCACCTTACAAACAATGTGTAGGTATATGTAGTTATGGGGATAAGTAGCTGGTCTTAGTTTTTGTAGTGTTACCACGTGTAAGTTCTGTTATTAATGCACATGAACAATTATATATTAATTAGATAGAAAGACCGCCAAAAATAAGGATACATTAGCTGGTAAAATAGGTCCAATAGTGGGCACTCTACTGTGTAGTTAATTTTCAGAAAACCAATTAGAACTTAGTGGCATATTGAATAATTTGAATTGTGAATTTTTTGGATGTTTATTTGAGACCTGCTAATAATTTATTAGTTACAGCCTTACAGGCCCTTTCTTAAAGTGAATCAAAAGTTAAAAACTTCCTCTTCTCTTTTGTTCACTGTTCAGCAGCTGTTAGTTATTTTTTTCTATTTTTTTTCTACCTTTTGTTATGTTTTCTGATTTATTATATTTTTTATTTTAAATGTTCTGCCATTTTGTTATGGTGAGCCAACCCATTCCCATGGTGGGTTGAGCAAGGTTGGCTAAATTTTGGCTTGCTAGTTGCTACTACCAATGTGAACTGATAGTTTTAACAGCCTGTGGTCAGCACTAGGTTGAACTAGGGACCAGTAGTAGGTCCCACAGTTTGGAATTTTCTTTCCCAAATTAGTATTGTAACATGGATATGGCGTAACATAAAGCTGTTTGCTATTCAAACCCTTTTAAGAAGAGTCTTCAGTTTTCAACCCCCAAGGCCTATGGAGCTTGCCTTTGTTATTTCCTTTTAGTCTTATGAGTTATGACTTGCAGTTGCTTTTTTATAGATCACTTGATAATGCTATTCACCTATACCAAAGTGTTTTAAAATGTGGGATAGTTCAGTGGGATGAGTAAGTTCTCTAGGGTGAAGTTTTGACTTCAAGTTCAAACATGCTGTGTTGCAGTTAATTTAGCTATAAACATTTCATATTAGTTTTGGGCTCATACTATAGAATCAAAACTGTGAATGGTTGAGAATATTAAAGAAATCAGTTCTTGAAGCTAGAGCATTTTGAAGGTGTGAAAGTTTTTGGTAGGAGTCAGTAATATCAGGCTATTTTGAGGTTCCTGTAGCGTTGGAGTTATGTGACAAACAATGAAAAGAGTAGGAAATCAGTGTCATCAATTAAACTGGTGAACTTATAGCTTGCATGTAAGACATATTTCAAATTCTAGTTACAGAAAGAGCAAGTAAATGTTTTATTAAGCTTTGCGGTCATCCTCTGGGTGACATATATGGTGTAAGCAATAATTTTTAACTATTTTATTGTTGTTGCGAAGCTTGATCGAACAGTTCATGGGTGTTGGAGTTCAAGTTTTCCCATCGTGCTAGGACTGCAACATTAGTCATTACTTGTTACCCTTATCATTTCCTATAGTTTTTGTACTTTTACGATATTGTCCAAGGATGATAGACAAACCAAGATTCTAGAGCCTATAATGGAGATGATATATTTGTCACTTTTGATCAGCCTTGTGTGGGCATTTTGATAAGAAACAATATGATTCAATACCTGCGGTGCCACTTTATTATGCAGTGCGACCTCAACTGAAAAAATTGAAGGTTCTGTAATTCTTTATGATTTGGGTGCAGTCAGTTGTCTGTTGTGATTATAGGCTACCAGAATCCGTATTCTTATGGAAAGCTCAAGATTATGTTTTAGCTAGTGTGAGGAAGAGACTATTTGATACTGTGGTTAAAAGAGGAATGCTAAAAAACACCTTCTGAATACACTTCTTAACTCATTTCATGTGATTAGTCTTTTTTTTTTTTTTTTAAATAGTAATTTTTAAAACGTGATCAATTTTCAAGGTAAGTACTTCAACTTTTATCAAATGGACCCAACACATAATATGTTTATTTTAATAGTGTATTTAAATATAATGTGTTACTAATATTTCTCATGGTTAAAACAACTTTCACTTCCTTGTGCATTTTACTTGGCTGCGATGAAATATTAGTTATTATGCTTACAATGAAGCTATCCCGATATTTTGTTGCAAAATTTTGTTTTATACCTTGTTTTGCTAGAATTAGTTTTTTACTGATCTAATTTATATTTTGTTCAACTTTCAAATGTATACAGTACTTAATGCTTGGGTATATATATATTTGTTCAGCATCTAGCAGGTTGTTGAAAACATGGCCAAGCATCATCCTGATTTGATTATGTGCCGCAAGCAGCCAGGGATTGCCATTGGACGATTGTGTGAGAAATGTGACGGCAAGTGTGTGATCTGTGACTCTTATGTGCGTCCTTGTACACTTGTCCGAGTATGTGATGAATGCAACTACGGATCATTTCAGGGTCGATGTGTCATATGCGGAGGAGTAGGAATATCTGATGCCTACTATTGCAAGGAATGCACACAGCAGGAGAAAGATAGGGATGGTTGCCCCAAAATTGTTAATTTAGGGAGCGCCAAAACTGATTTATTTTATGAACGCAAAAAGTATGGTTTTAAGAAAAGATGATAAGGATAGATTCCTGAGATGTTTGTATTTCTCTCGTCCTCTGTGTTTTGCTCGGATATAAGAACCATAGTATTTGAGACCTTGTGCTTGTAAACTTCTATATGATACAATTGTTGAGGATAGGAAGGCAGGACTAATTTCTAAATCATTGTGGATGCATCGACATGAATCACAATGGCCATTATTGTTTGTTTAGTTAGAAGTTAGAACATAATTTAATCACTTTCCCTTAATGTTATTTCAGTAACACCGACTCACAATATTGTCCGTTACTTTCTCTTTCCACATGGTGCAATATGAATCACCCTATATTCCTATTTCAGAATCAGTTAAGAGCAAAGATTCAAATAAGAAAGTACTCTTTCAGTCTCATGTTTCTAATGCACACATCCTACCAACATGTTTAATTTTATTAATTATTATGATTAAAAAACTAGTTTCATTAAAATATCACTATTAAAATTGTTGAAATTATTACAATAGTTAAGTGATGAACAATTTTAAAGTTATTTTAGTTATTTATTTACAAAAAAAATTATTCTTAATAAATAAGGATATTTTAAAAAATAATGAATTCTTTATTGATATTTTAAAGTGATAAATAATTTGAGACAAATAAAGTGTTTAAATAACAACTAATATGAAAAGTAGGAATAATTTATTATCTTAATGTACAATAGTTTTGGAATTTTTTTTTCTCGTTGAGTATTACTATAATTCGTGTACGAAATATTAGTAATATAATCTTGTCTAATAAATTCTTGTTGGCAAAAATTATTAAAAATTATGTCTTGCTTTTTCTAATTCATAATTTTTTTATTTATTAACCATCGGGAGTATTAATGACAAATTTAGATTATACTTTTAAGTGTAATATATATATATATATATATATATATATATATATATGTATATATATAGTGTTCATAATTTTTAATCTGAATGTGATAAGTATAAATATGGATTACTTATGAATGAGTGAGCATGATTAAAATTTAGCCACTAGTCATATGACCATTTAAAAATTTATTAATCATTCAAATAGTATTTAATGATTTGTATTCAATATTTTTATCTCTCATATAATATTATATATATGGAAATTAATTTATTTTAAGAATAATTCTTATGACTTGTTATATTTATTGTGCTTAATAACTCTATAAATATTAAATTTTGTTATTCTTACCATTAAATTGAAAATGCTTGAGTATATTAAGTTTATAAAAATAAAAATAAAAAGCTTTTAAAATTTTTTAATACCTATAATTTAATTTTAACTTATAAAATATTTAATTTCTTCTTTTTTAAATGTGCCAAATAAATCTTAAAATCTTTAAATTTAAAAGTTAATATAGAATGCTAATTTTTTATACTAGAATAATTATATGACATTTTTGTCTTAATTTCTATATTTTAATAAATACCGACTATTTAAATCCATTAATAATCAATCAATCGAGGTAGCCGTTTGAAATGACGAACCCACTTTGAGGCAATGGATTAGGAAAGATTCATGAATCAGTAAATACTGGGAAACTCGTAAAGTATTGATAATGCAATTAAATAACAATAATAAATGTAATAACTAATATTTTGTTTTATAAACTGTTGAAGAAATTTGTGGTTTTCCACAGTTGAACTTGGGATTGTTCTGTTTTAGAGAAATGGCTTTGATCTCACGGACTTGCTCTCCCTTTTGCTCATGTCTGCAGTCATGGGTTTGGATATGAGCTTGCCTCAAGGTATTTCTAATATCTAACATTACTTTCTTTTCTTCTTTACATAAACAACTATAGTAATAATTAGCTCTTTTATTTTTTTTCTGTAATGAAAAATATATTGGTTTTATGCATTTTCTTATCTCTTATATTGTTAAGAAATCATTTTCCCTTCCACTTAATTAGAATAATTTATTTTTTATTTTCATTATTAAAATGGAATAGACTGGTGCATAGATCAACTATGGGTTGGTGCAGTTCATACAAAAAAATAATAAAAAATAAAAAGAGAAACATTTGTGTTCATGGGGGGATAAAAATGAAAGGAATTTTTTATTGGCAGTAATTGGACAGTTTTATTATTTAATCCGATTTTTATTTGACACAAAACAGCTTTGTCTTCTTTGTTGGGAGGATATTTTTTGAGATGTGTGTGTATTTAACTTAAAAAAAAAAGTTTAAGAGTTTAATTTTTCTGTATTATCATTATAAATATTTTTATACTGACAATTAATTAGAATACACTATAAATGTTATTTTTATATTAATTATAACTGAAATTAATGATTCTTATTGATATAATAATTTATGATTGGATGAAATTAATGCATTTAAATTAAATTTAAATGATTATATATAATGTTAGTGTTGATTTTTAAACATTTTAAAAACACAAATAGATGATAAAATTATATAAAAATACATTTGTAATGTGATTAATTGAAGTCATTGCATTGCCTGCTAATTTAGCAAGATTAAGAAAAGAAAAAAGAGAACCCTAAACTTCATCGTTGCATCTACTTCCAATGATTTATGTGCTTCTGGTCTTATGAACATAAATTTGAAGCTCAAATTGAGATGTGAAATGATTTTAATTTTAAACAGGGAACCTAAATAGCGATGGCAATACACAGTATTATGAGTAATTACTAATTACTTTTATCTTTTAATTTCTTTTAATGTGTATCCAAGACATATATTTAAAAGTATTAAATATACTTTATATTATCATAAAAATATTTTTTATGCATTTAAGATAATTAGTTTTTTATTTTTAACTTTTTAATATGTACTTTTAGATTCAAGTAACGTAGTTATATTTTACATTTGACCATACTTCATGTTGAATTATTTTTATGGAAGATCATTGAACAAGGTAATATAAATGTGGTGTGTAATTTGGGTGTTCCATTTACATATATAGAGCAGTGAGAACGACTACGAAGAAACAAAGCCTAACCCTAAACATGATCCAAGCTCTCCTCCTCATCTTTGATGGGTTAAGACATGGTTGATGGAGTGATGGTGAAGTTTAATTATTGGCATCATAAAAAAGATAGAGTTAATCATGCATTTAGATGAGTGTGTAATAAATTGAAATTTGGAGTAATCTGCATAAATATTAAAATTAAATAAATTTAAAGAATATATGTTATTAGAGATGAGAAAGAGACTACCTAATTAACACATACCTATACTTATAAATGGCAAAACCAAACCTCCATAAATAAATTATTCTTGGTAGAGTAACTCTACTGTATTTCATTAATTTTAATATTAAAGTATGATTTTTTTTTATATGTGCAACATTTTATGAGGTAAAAAGTTATAAGATAAATTTTTATAAATTATTAATGCATTAAATAACATTGAATGATATATTTTTTTAACAAAAAATTATTATATTTAACTTTATATTTTTTTCAATGTTGTTGGAGGTTAAAAAAAAAGTCCTTAACTTGTACCATACCTTAAATGGCTTTTATACATTAAAGTTTCCTTTACATATTATAGATGGAAAACTGTTGATAAAGATCCATAATTCAAATATTTCATGAACTTTGCTTCATTATAAAATAATCACCTAATTTTTTAATATTTTTTAAAAAAATCCTTAATTTTAAAATACTTGTTAGTATTTTTTTTTTTTTGAAAATTAACAATCTTATGTTATGATATACAAAGTAAAAAAAAAATAAAAATCAATTAAGTCCCTTAAAATATAAAGTTTAAATTTTAAATTTAAATTAATATAAAAATTTCTATCCACTTTATTCAATTTTATTAATTTGAATCAATCTAATATATTTAGTATAGAATATAAAATCATATCAAACTTAATTTTTTTATTCTAAATATTTTTTAAAATATAATTTAATAGAATCTAAAGTCTAAATAAATAGCTTATTTTGTCATCTCTACCCTAACACGATTAATGCGTTTACTAATTTTATGGAGATCAATGTTTTTATATTTGTAACTACCTTCATCCCAATCTACTTGTAATATTTGCTGTCCCAAATTGATAATAGAATCATTTAAAAGTTATCAAGTAAATTAGTTTTATAATATTTCAGATTGATTAATTTAATATTATATAAAAAATTATTAAATGTCTAAATGTTTAAGTTTTATATATATATATATATATATATATATATTACGTTATTAATAAATGATAATATTTTAAAAAAATACAAATTTATGATAATTAAAATAAATTGTTAAAAAATAATATCTACTTGTTGATTTATTCAATAATTTTAGTTAATAAATACCCCAATGTTATTATTCATTTAAGCATCCCTTATTCTTTTATTTCTATCATATTATATTGATATTACACATTCACTTCTGTTTCTTCCTAATCTCATAAGGTGACGCCAAACATTTTCCTTTATCCTACTTACTGGATTTGATTTTAAATATAATTAAAATCTTTCAATTGAACCGACTAAATATATGTTTATATTGATCAGCCAGTTGGACCCAGCTGTATAAGTGAAAGTCATCAAAATAATCAAAGTTTAATTAGTGGAAATCCGAAAGTTCTTACACTATGTAGAATAATTTATTTTCTTTAATATCGTTTAGTATATATGTATGATTTTGGTTATGTGGATTATAAACTTTTGTTATTTAATTTGATAATTTTTCTATTTTTCATTTTTAAAATATTTTTATTTATTTTAATAATAATTTTTTATTTTCAAATAATTAAAAAATTTATTCAATTAAAATTTTAATAATTCTCTATTTCCTTTCAATATCTTTCTTTAAATTAAATATTCTTACTCATCAAAATGAAAAGGTGTTAAACATTTTTATATTTTAAGACATTAAATGTGTTTATTGTTGTTTAATATTTTTACAAAATATTAAAATAATTAGTAAGAATGTTATTAAATACAATCTCTTAAAATTTAAAAATATTTAATATGCATTCAATACTTAATAATAGAGAATACATGTTTTTGTTTATATTTATAACAGAGAATAAAGTGGAAGCAAGAAAGCACCCAAGTCCTCACTACTTACGTGGGCTTCCGCTGACCTTCCGCGAACGTCCCGTGACTGTGATGTTTGGCCTTTGATGATCTCAATGTCCCAATCCAACCCCAACTTGTACAATTTTTTAATATATATATATATTTTTATTATTAATTAAATTTACAGAAAATTTTTAAAAAATAAAAAAATATTAATTTAAAAATAAAAAAGAATGACTTACATAATTTTTTTTATTTTTCAATAAATTTAATTAATAATAAAATGTGTTAAAATAATGCTAATAACATATTTTTTAACACACATTTTGTAATATTTTTTTTATTAACTAAAATTTATCAAAAATTAAAAAATTACGTGAGTTTTACTTTTTTTTATTTTAAATATTTTTTAGTTACTAGGTTTCTCTAATTTTCCTTATGTTTAGAAGGGTCAACTTCCTTCTCCAATTGTGGTTGCCCACGTGTAACAGAGACTTTTGGCATAGTCCTCTCTCCTCTATTAATACTACATTCACCTAAATGTCCCCAGTTGACCTACATAACAATATAGAGAGCAACAAAAATGGCATTTGGAGCTCGCACTTGTTTATTATTCTTCTTCTTCTTTTTGTTAACTTCGTTGCTACTATGCTCTTCCACTGCTCCCAACCCTCTTTTCTTTCCAAGTGAGTTTTCCTTTCATATCATTTTCTTTTTGTATCTGTTTTATCAATATAGATGTAAAACGAACAATTCATTTTTGTTGATTTTTTCAATGTATTTTTAATATAATAAAAAAATAATATTTTAATAAATTTATATTATTTTTAAACATTTAAGATCAGTTTTAAAAACCAATAGTAATATTTCTTAATTTTTATACATCTCTTTGTAAGTTAAATGTAGAAGCTGGGTAGGTGAAAGTGTAATGGTGATTAAGAAAAAGACTTTGATTTATGGTTCAAGATCCCTTCCGTTGGTTGTTAATCAGTTTGAAGAATTCAAAGTCCCATTGGAACATTTTTTCAAAAGATCGATCTAAAGGAAAGAAATTAACCAAAAAACCCAAAAATCTCTTGTTATGGTTGTCTTCCTCACCTTTCTCTAACAATTTTAGTTGCCTTCTCTCAATTAATACAATACAACAATAATCTCTTGTTATGGATGAATTAAGTCACAGGAATGCTTTTGTTTTAAATTTGGTATGGAGAAAATGAGAAAAATTCAAAGGAACTTCTTATTAAGATTTACGTTTATTATTATATATGAAGTTTTTGTTAACTAGTGTCTGAAGATTTCATTTAAAGTATATCAAATTATAATGTTAATGTATTAATAATATTTTAAAGGCACTGGTTAATATTTACTTTTACCTTATTATAATCATGTTCATGGATAAATGCTATATATCTCGAAAGCTGGACAGGCTTATAAACTAGGTCTTTTTGCCAAGCGACAACCAATAGCATATTAATCTTAATTGTGTTTATTTAGTTACTTTTAATTTATTAAATTTTAGTATATTATCTTTCTTTTACTGTGGCAACAATAACATCTGGTTAATTTTGACATTGATTATCAAAAATAATAAATATCATGAAGCTTCGAGCACGGTGGGGAAGTCATTGAAGGTAATAAACCTTGAAGACTATGGTAAAACAACTGCAAATCCTGTGCACGATCCATGGAACAGTGGTGGGGGAGGTAATTAATTTAGGGAGAAAATGTTGAGATTATTGGAAATGTGATAGATCAGATTATTCTCATTGAATGCAATATTATGGATGAAATTTGAAGAAAAAGAAAGCTTTATATAGCTTGATCGTTAATAAATAAAAGTCACATGCAGTGTTCATTTTATTTGTATTGAAAGAAACCAGAGACATTAATAATACAATTCAATAAGGGATCATATAAGAAGAATGTATTTAATTACTACTATCCATACGCGTCTCTTTGTCTGCATGTCACGTGAATGCACGATTAGAAACATTATATCATGGACTAAGTACTAACCATATCCTTAATTAGTAATTACACATAATAATAACAAAATTTGCATGAAATTAATGAGCTGTTCAGCTAGTTGTATCCCTGCAATTTCTGGTGTTACTTGCTAGTATGAACTGGTAATAATTTATGGACAAAACAATGAACGTCTACCACATCACAAAAGTGATTAAACACCTTTTGTACAAAATAATAATTTGACATTTGATACATAAATATAGAACACATTTGTTGTACAATTTATCTTCACAAGTTCTATCCACAAATCATTAATTTCAAACTAAAATGTGTTAATTTTTGTCATAAAAAAGCAATACAAATTAATTATTTTTTATTTAATTAATCTAACCATTGAATTATTTTATATTTTTATGGCTACACTGCCACAGTCCCACAAACATGCGATATTCATCTCTCATTCATTGTTGAAATGAATTGAAATATGTTGTGGATTTAGGATTTCAATCTGAATTTACTCTCATACAAAACGAGATGAGTAGGAGTGTTTATCATAAGTTACAAGTTTAAGCTATTAATAAAAGTGCAAATTTATACGCAAAACTGCAATTAATTAAAGCCGTTAAGAAATAAGACTTGGTTTGATAATATTTTTCTTAATTTTATACTAAATTAGCTAAATACAAGAATGATATACAACTTAATTAAGGCACAAATTTTTTTAAAGAGCAAACCTCTTTTTTTTTTTTAAAGCAAAAATCAGCAAACCTTTAATAATTAGTATATTTTGTCAGTTGAAATGAATAAAAACAGTGGAGAACTCATTATAATGATAGATTTTATTTTAAAAATATTTTTTTAGTAAGAATTTAAGAAGATTCTTAAAGCAATAATAGTTACAAAATAAAGGGTATTCACAATTTTTTTAATTTGTTGTATTTTGGCAGCCAATTTGCTGTATTTAATTTAGCAATAATATCAGTTTAAGAAACGAAAAAATATTATCCAAAAATGAAATCTCTTTTGTGTAAGTATATATAAAAGTTCAAAATTAATCTTTTATTTATTATTTTATTCCATCAGTGGTAAGCAGCAAAAGGTAAATCGTCCTTCGAGGAGAAGCACAAATCTAAGTGAATACTACCCATTAGGTGCAATACTAAATCCACACACATTCTTTAATATTCATTTGAAAAGGAAAAAAAATCAATTTTCGAGTAGAAAATCCTTATTATCCTTTATGAAAAATCATATGAAAGACATTTGTGGCAGCCACCTTGCTGCTACAACCAAATCCAAATATCAGCACACAAAGATGGCCCACGGTACTCACATCACATCATCTTAATAAACTTAATACAAAGCTCACATATTTGAATATGATGAAGCTTTTATTTTATAAATGGTTCACTTCCGACCCCAATCTAAATTTTGTGATGCATATATGCTTACATACTCTTACAAAATCCATTAAAACCCATTTCAAGTTGAGACCAAACTACACGGAGCATCATGTCTTGGTTAAGAAATCTCGCCAAGTTTTCCACCGTTAAAGCATCATCAAGAAGACCCAAAAACACTGACCCATTTTGTCTTTTAGCCCCCTTCACTTTTCTCTCCCATTTCAGCACCAACGCCATTGAAGAAAAGCCTTCCATTAAGCCTGTTGAGTATTCGGGTTTGGAACCAACAAGGCCTCATGAGAAACCACGTGTGGTGGTGTTGGGTTCAGGATGGGCTGGGTGTAGGCTCATGAAGGGCTTGGACGCTCATGTTTATGACATTGTTTGTGTCTCACCCCGCAACCACATGGTCTTCACCCCTTTATTGGCCTCAACTTGCGTTGGAACTCTCGAGTTTAGATCCGTTGCTGAACCCATTGGAAGGATCCAACCAGCTATTTCTAGAGAGCCCGGTTCTTATTTCTTCCTAGCCAATTGTACTGACATTGATGCACATAACCACATGGTGTGTGTTAACTTGTTTTGTTTCATTATAAGTATTTTCTGGTACTTAAGTATAATTTCAATTTCTAAGTTTATACATGCATACTCCTCGTTAGAAAATTTTATCATGTGGTTTAATTATAATTATTATTAGATTTCCAAAAAAATCTAGTTTTTTTTGGAGGGGGGGGGGGAGGCTTTGAGGAATGATTTAGTAAAAGAAAACTCATGATGCGTGGAAAACTTCATCATTTTTGTCATTTAGAAATTTAGAAAAAGAAAACCTTAGGATGTATGGAATTTGGAATGTGTGGACTACATTAAGTGATGAATATGCTATTTACTTTATTGAATGTTTTTGTTCCATTCATATTGGAATTTGGAACTCAAACTTTCCAAGCCGGTGTCTCTAAGCCCGAATGAAAATACAATTTGAACTCTGTTTCTTTCTCTTTATCTTTGAAAGAAAAGGTATGACCCTATTATTGGTTGAACTTGGTAGATTGGTACTATAACAGTGATACTTAGTTAAGCAGAATTTGATGGTTGGTTTTGAAGGTGCACTGTGAGACTGTAAATGAAGGAGTAGAGACAATGGCTCCTTGGAAATTCACTATCTCATATGATAAGCTAGTAATTGCATTAGGATCACAGCCTTCGACTTTTGGAATTCAAGGAGTCAAAGAACATGCCATTTTTCTACGTGAAGTTCACCATGCACAGGAAATTCGCAGGAAGTTGCTCCTGAATTTGATGCTGTCGGATGTTCCAGGTTTGCTAAACAAGAGTTTTATTACGATACGCAAATATTGAGTCATCAACTTTTTATTTTTATTTTCGGTTTTTTTAATGTGTTCAAGGGCACAGAATAAAAATCTATGTATAATAAAATTTTATTAGAAATCAGGTGATATTACTGAATCTAATGCATTAAACATTAAATGCCATATTTTTAATTAAAAAACTAACAATTTATTGATTTCTTATTGTTCATTTTATTGTTTATCTGTATTAGTTGTGCATCACTTTTGTGCTTTATTCCTATGCAGGGATTACACAAGAGGAAAAACAAAGGCTTTTGCACTGTGTGGTTGTGGGGGGTGGTCCTACTGGAGTTGAATTCAGTGGTGAGCTTAGTGATTTCATCATGCGAGATGTTCGTCAAAGATATGCTCATGTGAAGGATTACATCCATGTTACTTTAATTGAGGTATGGTCACAGCATAAGATGTGTAATATAATTACAAACTTATGCAAGAAAGTAGTATGTAAATTACCAGTTAATTTATGTTGTTAACCAATTTACTCATGCCTTATTAGGCAAATGAGATTTTGTCTTCCTTTGATGACCGACTTAGGCGCTATGCTACCAAGCAATTGACAAAGGTGAGCTATGTATTGATGTAAAGGAATTTCATCATTAATACGGAATCTTTCATATACTAAATGACACCCTCCATCATTGTAGTACTGCCTAAAATTGGTTGACAAGCTAGTTGTTAAAATTTTTCCTTGTTAGTTTCATTATATTTTGCCAATATTGTAGTTTCTCTCAGTCAGGAGTTCGTCTTGTTCGTGGCGTTGTGAAAGATGTTAAACCTCAGAAGATTATCCTTAATGATGGTTCTGAGGTTCCATATGGGTTGTTGGTATGGTCTACTGGTGTTGGTCCATCACCTATAATTCAATCTTTGGATCTTCCAAAAGCTCCTGGTGGAAGGTTAGTCTCATTTTCAATTCTGTTGCATTCACTTCCTAGTGACAACCATAGCAAAGTTACGAATTTGTAGCATATTTGTGGATAGATTTAGAATTTTTTGTTTGTCATGTAAGGAAAGCAGGATCAGGTATATGTAGTGAGTCTAGTGACCATAATTTTTCTGTTTAGTTTATAATCCTAAAGCAAATTCTAAAAGTTTTTTCTTTACAGAATTGGTGTTGATGAGTGGCTTCGTGTTCCTTCAGTACAAGATGTGTTCTCAATAGGTGACTGTAGTGGATTTGTTGAAAGTACTGGAAGGCAAACTCTTCCAGCATTAGCCCAAGTAAGTGATATTAGGTTCATTATATTCTACTGCAAACCCGTTTAATCCTTAAATTCTTGCAATTTGTTGTTTTGGTTTTAGGCTGAGGTCTGATATGATACATTTCATTGTGACTATGTTTGTTTTATTCTTATTTTAATAGTTCATTTGTGAAGTAGTGTTGCTACTTGCTAGAGCTCATTTCTTAGTTGGCCATCTGATACATTGCCATTTGAATTCCACAGGTGGCAGAGAGGCAAGGTAAATATTTAGCAGCTCTATTAAACAAAATTGGTAAAGCAGGTGCAGGCCATGCAAACAGTGCAAAGGAAATAGAATTTGGTGATCCATTTGTTTACAAGCACCTAGGAAGCATGGCATCTATTGGTAGATACAAGGCCCTTGTGGACCTTAGACAGGGCAAGGTATAATAATATTTATCATTCTTGAGATATTGTTAGTGCTTAAAAAACTTAGTGTGATTCACTTAACCAAGTTCTTGTAGGAAGCAAAAGGGTTAGCTCTAGCAGGATTTTTCAGTTTCTTTATTTGGCGCTCCGCGTATATCACACGTGTTGTTAGCTGGAGAAACAGATTCTATGTATTTGTCAACTGGGTTACAACTATTATATTTGGCCGTGACATAAGCAGAATATGATAATCTTTTAAGGTAATCACTTTTAGCATGATTAGGAGTTGTTCCCTAAGGTTTTATATTATTTTATTGGGGCTTGTAATTGCTGGTAGAGGCTTTTTGTATGATACTTTTTTGGCTTGGTTGCATTGCAGGTTCTTTATAAAAGCCAGTAACTATCAAAGAGTTGAGTTTATTTCAGTTTGGACGAATGTGAAGCATGGAACTGCACTAGTTCATGACATTTGCCCCATGTTCCATTTCATAAAAACAGTGGCAAATAAAAGAGGACATTGAGGAAACATGCTTGAAGGACAAGGCAATGAAACTTACATCTTGAAACCAATGCAGATTATTCTGTTCACGCATTTTTCTCTCTCATTAATCAGAAATCTAGCCATCCCAAGTCTTTTTGTACATATTGAAAACCAATTAATCAAATTTTATTTTCATATATATATATATATATATATATAGTGTTCATGAAATCTGTGGTCACAATAATATCAAGTCAATTACCTAAATGTCCATGATCTATTTTCCATCAGTAGATGATTGCGGTGGAAAAATAACTTGTTACAAGTCATTCTTGCAATTAGTAATAGTTCCTCCAAGTGCAAGTGACTTCTTGAGTTCTTGGTTGTAGTATTGTAATAACACTAGGAGAGACTTGGTATAATAGTGGACTTGATTTAACTCAATATATGACAACATAATGGTTTGGTTCTACCGTAATAACACTTGAAAAAAAAAAAATTTTTTATTAACAATAATATCACAACATGATCTAAAACGTAAGAAATGTTTGTATAAGAATTAAACTATAATCTTTTTAATATAAAAATTTATTCGTAAATAAGTATCATTTATTAAATTTTAGATTCTCTCCATTTTTGGCAAGAACGGAATATTCAGTTTCATTTTTGCTTAAGCAAAAATATAAAAAACGATAAATTTTTTTTACGCAAAATAGGTTTAAGCAAATTTTTTTGCCTTAAGCGAATTTTTGTAGATTCGCTTAAGCGAATTATTTTGGTTTAAGTGAGTTTTACGTCTCCTCTTTTAATTTTTCCTTCTCCTTCCTCTCATGCCTAATACTCAATTCTCAACTTCTATATTCAACTTTCTTTAGCTTTTATATTCAATTTTTTTCTTTTTCTCATACTTAACTCTTCTCTTCTTTTTTCAACTCCCTCTTCACTTCACCCCATGCCCAATTCCTTTCTTCTTGTTTCCACTTTCATCCTACCCAATATCTACCTCTTCCTCTTTCTTTCATACTCAACTCTCTACCCTCCTCTTCCTTTATCATCATTTTTGTACCATCCGTTCTTCATATCTCCATTCATTTTTAGTCTTTTCTTTTCTTTATACCTAACTTTCATATTCTCAAATGTACAAAATTTGCTTAAGAAAAAATAATTAGCTTAAGTGAATCTGTAAAATTTTTTTTATTGTTTTCTGCATTTTTGCTAAATCGAATCCAATTCGCTTAAGTGAAAATAGAACTGAATGTCTAATTTTCACTAAAATTAGAGAGAATCTAGATCATATTGGGACTAAATGTGTACGTAAACTTAAAATTGGAACTTCTTAATTTTCACTTTTAAAAGGACAAGATCTAAATCATACATCGCATCCTCTCTTTATGCCACTATTTTTACCACTCAAGGCCCATGACCATACGAATCATGAAATTGTTCTTTAGTTTCCTTTATTTATTTGCTTGCAAAATAGTGAGAGGGCAAAAACATTGGTGTAGCAAATGAAAATATATTAAGTCAAAGCAAACCTTAAGAGTAAGAAATCAACACTAACATTCTGCTTGATATTACAACAAATTTTACTATTAGTTATAGCACATTTACCAAACATTATTTAGACAGTATACAAGTAATCGTGTTATAATTTAATACAAGTAATTGTATTAAAATTAAAATAGTTTGAAGAAGGATGACTTTGAAGTTTTGTGACTTCCCAGCCAGTGTTGCATGTGGACCCCAATTGCATCCAAGTACATGCTACTCTTCCCATGCAAACCTACCACCTTGCCCTCTGTAGTGGTTGAAGTGAAAAATTTTCCAACTTCATCACCAAATGGACCATACTGTCCTCGACTAGTGTAGAAAGTCAGTGACTTTATGATTATTGGCCTTTCATCCGCAGTGATTGAACCATAATAGCCAGATATGCAATTTAGTACCTCATTTGGGTACTCCAATTTTATCTAAAATCACAATAGGCCCGAGTGAGAATGAGAAATTAGTTATAAGAATGATTGAAGGGCATATCTATCACTCTCATTTAAGTAGTTTTTGTTTAAAATAATATTTTTCCCCCTCTTATAATCATTCTAATAGTAAGATATTTCACTTAAAAAAAATAAAATTAAAGTGACAAAAGATGAGAGTGATAATAGATACCAAGAATGAATAGTCAAGTCTTTTTTTTTTTTGTGACTGTTAGCAATAATGATAAATATGAAATAAATGGTGTGTCTTTAAACAAAGTGATAAAATGAGAATCATGTTCATACCCTATGCATGGTATTTCCTCCGTTACCACCATGTTTTACAGACCATACAGATTGCTTATGTCGATCATACTCAATTTGAATTGAGCAAATTCCTTCAGGTGCTCTAGTCAAATAAATTTGCTTAATCCCTGAAAAGACTCCATCATCCCAAGGTCTACCTCCATCCCCACCCCATGGACCTGGTCCACATGGAGCTGGTTCTTTAATCACACCACTAGAAACCTGTGATGTGAAACAGGGGGCAAAAGGTAATAGAATATCCTTTGTACTTCAATATATATACTAAATGGTGATGTGTTAAAAAATAAAAGACAAATGTAAATCAATATCCTAAAGGCAATGAGTGCTTGTTTGGTTAAAGTTGAAGAAAATTGATTTTAATAAAATTAATTTCAGTCATTAACTAAAATATGTGCATAAATTAATCTGAACTACATAATTTTATTAAAATCTGGAACTTTTATTGAAAAATGCAATATTAATTATTTACAGTAAAATAAACAAGTCTTGAATTAGAAATTAAAATTGATTTTTTTAATAGAAAGTGTAACAATACACTTTCTGCAGAATTTCTAATACATTTCTAACGTAATTTTTAATTTTTTTAAAAAAATTTATCCAGAGTAAAATATAAAATGATTCAACGAATACCTGTTCAATTGGTGCTGATTTGGCAGCTAAAAGTTTGGCTGGCCATTGAACAGTATCTTTTTCAGAAATACTTGGTTCTCTTGAAGCGTTTGTCATGGAAGGAGGTGTTGCCACTGGCACTGTTACTTTTCCTTCTATCACATGTACACCAAGAGCATCAAGAAATAAGCCACTTCTACCATGAATACCAGCAACCTTCCCTTCTTTCAGCTTTGTTGTGAAATAAGTTCCTTGTTCATCTCCAAATGGTCCATATACCCTTTTGGTGGTGTGGAATGTAAGTGATTTTATAACAGATAGCCCCATATACATCAAGGATCCATGGTATCCAGATATATGTGTTAGGACTTCATATGGAAAATTGAAGACTATCTGCAAAATGATGCATAAAATATGGTAAAAATATCAATCTTATTGACTAGTTTATATGGTAAAAATAAATTACAGAGACTTGTTAACTTGAGTTCACCTTTTCATGTTTGAATCCTCCTGCCCCACCATGTTTGTGTCCCCATACAGCTTCCCCTTCCAAATCATACAAAACTCTAATCCATACAATTCCAACATTGCGTGACAAGTCAATTTGCCTAACTCCTGTGTAGGGTCCATCATCAAATACATATCCACCAGTACCACCCCAAGGCCCATATGTCACTACACCACCAGATTGATCTATCTGAAGTGAATCAAGTCAATATCATTTGGTGCAATCATGAAATGTTTAAGCTATGATTGAATTCATGAAAAGACAGAATCATGGGTGGAATGTTATGAAATCATACTAGGTTCCATTGTTTGGATTATTTATATTTTATAGGACAAATTACATTCACACTCTATGAGATTCAAAAGAAATTCACTCGATATCTTTCCTTTTTTTTTTATACTACACAGATTTCTTTTAATTTATGTAATAACGTAACATTGTGTATCCTTTTTATTACACAAACTACTCTAATTACTTATGCAGTCATATGAATAAGGAAATGTTAAATTAAAATAATGTGAAAAAAAGAAGCTATCAAGCAAAAAATAATTAAACTTTAGAAGTGTGAATATATTATAAAATAGGATGGAATGAAATAGAACCTTAATTATGAAATGCATCACTTTGAATCATTTCACTTCAATTCACTCCATTTCATTTCATCTTCATTGTATACATTTTAAGGAGAGAGATTATTCAGGAAGGTTCATTTTCTCTTGCTTACCTTTTCATTTGGTTCAATATTATTTGTCTCTTTGAAGCTAGAAATCATCCCACTTGGTTCAACATTGTCTGGTTCTTTGAAGCTAGAAATCTTTCCAGTTGGTTCAACATTAGTGTTTGGATCCGTGAAGCTAGAAATCGTCCAAGTTGGTTCAATATTGTTAGGTTCTTGGTAGCTAGGAATCTTCCCAATTGTTGGAGGTTTGGCAAAGTCATCTTTCTGTCTTAAAGCAAGAACAATATCAAAGCCTTGGCCAACACTTCCATGTATTACAGAATAACCAACATTCTCAGGAGTGTTAGTAATGTGGTTCTGTGAATAAGACAAAGTTTTGGATGGACTTGGTTGCTGAGAGGACTTCAAATAGACTCCAATGGCATCTAGATGCCAACCATACCTACCATGGAACCCAACAATCTTGCCACCAGTCATTGGTAATGAAAAATATGTACCTTGTTCAACTCCAAATGGTCCATAAATTTTCTTGTTACTCTCAAAACTTAGTGACCGAATGAAGGTTACTCCCCATTGACTTAAGCTACCAAAGTATCCATCAATTGATTTTAGGAACTCATTTGGGTAATCAAGCTTGATCTGCACCACAATCATAAATATTTAATAGGATATGCACGAGTTTGATTAGTAGCAACCAACCACCGACATTCCATCATCTAATACTTCTATTGTAGTATCAATTTTTTTTTATCAACACTTCTATGAATAACTTCAATTATGAAAATAAATTATCATCAATATCAAACTTTTCATTAAAACTTCAAAATATTTCATGATTAATATGATAATTTTTCAATTACTACTCGTCTAAAATTTTAAATTTTTGAGATTCAAATAAAGTACTGAAAAGGTATAATATTCTAAAAATTATTCGAATTAAATCTTAACAGAAAAACAGATTGATCTAATGTGTAAAAATATTAAATAAAAAAAAATTCTTCAATTGAATGTGAAATATTATCACTAACATTTTTTTATTAAAATATCTTTTTCTGCTTTTCACAATATTTAAGTTTATACTTATTTTAAGGGTTTTGTTAAACTCGGCCCTTAGAGTTAATGATAAACAATCAATAATAATAAAATTTTATTAAAAAAATATTTATTATATTTTTATAACTTCAATACAATAATTATGTATTTTTTTTATAAAATTTTTTTATTTGTTAATACTTAAATTTAACTCTTAACATTAACAAAGCTTTTATTTTAATAACCATTTTAAGTGAAAGGCCAAAATAAAATGCAAAGTCATTTTTTAACTTTTAAAATAAGAAATTAAGATTCTAAAATGATCTATAATAACATCTACACACACTTGTGTGTGTATATAAGTCTTATGTTAATACTTATTATTATAACCATGTGGAGTCTTATAATTTCTGAAGTTTGTATCACGTTTCATATCCATAATTTTTTAGGAACCAAATATCTAACTTCTACCATCAATAAGATGAACAATATAGGAGCATGGAATTTTTACCTTGTCAATTTTATGGCCTCCACTTCCACCATACTTTTTTGACCAGACAGAACTTCCTCTCCTATCATATTCAATCTGGATGGAGTCAATTCCTTCCCCATGGACTATCACCAATTGCCTCACTGTTGAATACACACCATCATCCCAATGGTAACCTCCATTGCCTCCCCATGGTCCTATTGATACAGGTTTCTCCTCAAAACTCTACACTCAAACCATCATTCAATTTCAAAGGTGTTAAAAAAGGAAAAGATAAGAAAAAATAAAAAATAAAGTTGAACACATACTTAGCAACAAAAAAATAAAAATGTTGATTCATAAGTAACATGAGTTGCTTGATCATGCAGTACCATGTGCTAGGTGTAAGAGAGTGATAGAACTCGGATGGAGAAAAGCTTCAAGTTTCAAGTGTTAAGGTGGGTAACTTGTTAGATGAAGGGAATTAAGAGGAATTTGTGGCAAACGGCTGTGTTTATGTGAAGGCTTAAGAGGAGTTTATGGAAGAAAAAAGTGTGTTTTATGCGTGACAGTGGACTATGTTGATAAAGCTAATTGGAATCCACAATGGAGGGAAAGGGTTGAAAGGCAAAGGAATTAGGTTCCCCATAGAAATCAGTCTCATGTTTCTAGACACATAGTTTCATACATTCTTGACACCCATAACAAATAGTGATTTCCCATAATCTTATTCTCCATTTTCACTACAAAATTCTATGTGAAATGGATGGAAGTTTCCATGTCACACTAAATTCCAAAATTGGAATATGGGAATGTGCTCTCCAACTGTGATAGTATGTTTACTTTCCAAGAGTATTTATTGTGATTTTTTTTGTTGATTTAAGAAAATTTTATATAAAATATCTCTAATATTAATATAGTCACATCAGTAAAAAAAAATTTAAATAATCATTTTCCTTTTAAAAAAACTATATAAAATATCTTTATTATTAATATAATGATAAAAGTAAAACAAAATGCTTTAAATTAATAATAATTACTTAAATGGGATTAAAAAAAAAACATGCCTCTTACCCAATGATGTCCAATGACAATTGCATATTCTGCAGTGTTCATTCTTAGTCGTTCAAGAATCTAGTACGCTTTGTCTTCAAATTCACGATGATCATGTTGATCATTGATGAAAAACCAATCGATTGTTTTAGAAAATAAAAGAATTTGAAAAGAAATGAATACTTTCAAAAGTTTAATTTATCATCATTTCTTGTTCGAAAATTCTTAGTCACTTCTGTATAAAGAAGCTTGTCACAGAAATTGTTTTAGATTTTCATTTAAAAGGTGGAATATTTGCAGAAATTGCTAATCAATAACAGAAGCTTGACAGTTGGAAAGTAATGTAGAGTATATATCTATTGAATAATCATTGGAAACTATTAGTTTAAGGCATCTAATTTGTACGCTGATAAATCCCGTGCTTGTGTAGCTTCTCATCATCTGTTTTTTATAATAATAATATTTTTTTAAATTATAAAAAATATTTATTTTTAATAATAATAATAATACTACGGATGCATAAATATAATCATAAAATTGATTAAACTATTCTTATAAACTCTATTAAAAATACTCCAATTACAGCATTAAAAAATAGGATAAGTTTATTTTTATATTTCCTGTACCTGCTAGTAGTCCAAGATCCTGGTGTTACGTAGCTGCTAAAACTCCAGTTAAAAAAAATATTATCTACGTTTTTAATATACATTTGATCAATTATATTAATTTTTTGTGTCATATAACAATGCTCTTTATTTAAAGAACTGATGTACCTGTGGTCCTAAGTTGTAGTTACTAGTTACAAGATAAGGATAAGAAAATATTGAAAATCTAAACTTTGATGTTAGTCCAATATTAGTTGAACTTTCGAGTGAGAATGTAAGTTATTTTCACCTTATTAGACAAATTATTTATGTTAACTTTATTAAAAAAATATTATAATTTTATATTTTTAATTTCTGTAATTTTTTTCTATTTTAGTCTCTAAATAACATAAAATGTTCAAAATTAATTTATATCATTAGTCGTTTTCCCTTTACCATCGTTGACATACAAAATATTTCAAACTTTTCATTACATATGTTTTACAGTATCGTCTGAAACTTCACATCATTCGCTTCATCTTATCTCTGTCACTGTCATATATATATATATATATATAATAAAAAATATAAAAAATTAAAATAAATTTCATTCGAAAAATTAAAATAAATATTTTTGGTAAATAAATGGAAACAGACACGTGTGGTAATGGTATAAAAATATTAGAAGTAGAGTGGAAGAACAGTCAAATGCAGAACATTCAACGCAAAAGGTGGAGTGAGTCTAAGTCTTGGTTCTTCGAAGTCGTCTTCTTCATCTTCAAGTCCTTTGTACCTTCCACCTTCACACAACAATGACACAATGCCAATCAACCATTCCCCGCCACCGCCCTCCACTGTCTACTCCATCCGCCGCTCCCTCTCCGACATCCGCACTCCGCCGCCCGACCACCGCCCCTTTGACAACCCCCGCCGCTTCACTGCCTTCGCCCACCGCCTCTCCCACCTCCTCCTCCTCCCGCTTCCGCACTCTCCGCCCGTTAACACCGCCCTCACGGGAATCTCCGGCGAGCTCTCCAAGGCCTCCGAAACCGTCTCCGTCTACAACAATGGTAGCAAAATTCTGGTTCTCATTAACTGCAAATCACTCTGTTCCTCTCTCCAAGATCGCTCCGTCTCCATCGGCGGCTGGCTCTCCCTCCTCGCCTCCGCTCTCCCCGATGCCGACGACGACGACCTCCGCAAGAAGGTTTCCGATCTCTCCAGAGACATGAAGCTCGTGCAGTTCAGAGTAACTTTCGCTTTCTCTCTCTTTTTTCTCCAATAATAATATACTATTTTAGTCTAAAAGAAGTTGATTTAATTTTCAAAATTATATTTTAATGTATAAAATTATAAGATTTTGTGAATCAGTATTATAAGGAATGAAATTGAGATTGAATGTTTTTTTTTTATTAGAAACTAACTTCAACTATATTGAAAATTACGAGGAAAGGTAAATTAATAATATTTTTAAATAAAATTGTTTTAGTTTTGATTCCTTTGTCACTGCTGCACTTGAACTGGTTAGCATTTGCTAGATTATAAAATGAGACTTATTTTATCTAGATATTATTAAACATGAATAGGTTAGCTTTTAAAATTATAAATATTATTAGACTAAATCCTTGTTTTTATAATTAAGATAGTTAAAGAATGATTGATTTCTATTTTAAAAATAATTTTTAGTTTTTAAAAATAAAATGTAGTATAAATTTGTATTATATTTTATTTTTAAAAACTAAAAAGTTGTTTTTAAAATGAAAATTAAACATGCTCTTAGTGTAAGGTATTGTAATTATCACGCTAGTTTTTTGACTTTTATTTTTGTCAAACATTTTAGTCTTTAAATCTAAACATGGTTATCATATAGTAATAGAATGCATGTTGATATGTCACATTAACATGTTGGAAGATTGAGTTGGCATGCATGATGCCGTTTTATTCATAAGTGAAAGTTTCCTCTTTTCTCTCACAAGAACCTTAAATTTTTCCTCAAATCCTCATACCTAATTCACAAATGTTGCTCTTGCAAATGAGTTCTTCAAGGAGAGAAGCACTTGTTTTATGGGAATTAAATAATCTGTTCAAAGATTCTTTATATCGTTATCAAATACCATATATCATGTTCAATTAACACTTAAATTAGCTTGTCTATTAAAACAACTAATATGTAAGTGACAATATGGACTAAAATGATTGATAATTATATATGTTAGATACTAAAATAATTAATAATACATTTTGCTTGAACTAAAAAGACATTTTCCTTAATTTAGGGACTATTCTGATGTATTGATAAACGATTTGGCAACCAAATCACAATGTAGTAACAAAAATATCGTCCACTGGATTAATGATTTAAGTACCACATTGTAAGAATTTTGCTAGTTGAGTGTGAAACAGAATATGGAAATCAATTTGCTTGTAGTCCAGAGATTAATGATCTAATTCAATTAATACAGCGGGGTAATAACAATGTGCAAGGATTTGATTAAGAAGCTGTGCTAAGTTGAACAAAAAGAAAGCAGTAAATGAATACTGAGTTGAGATTTGATTGAAAATATAAGTTGAGTCCAGAGTCACTTAATCCTTCTTCTTGCATAAATTCACTTACAATCCATAATTTAATTCCAAGTTAATGATTGAATTTTCTGAAATTATCCAATATTAATTCTTTGGTTGATTGGTTCTAAACTAACTTCTAAATTCCTAATTCCTTAGATAACTAAGAAGAGAGTTAGCATTAAGTGTAGAAATTAGAGTGATCACACATTCATAAATTTTTATTCCTAAATAAATTGTAAATATGCAATTCCATCCAAGTCCAGGAATAATTGCAATCTTCCAATTAAATGATTATTTTCTTAATCCTTGAATATGTAGCATCAAAGAAGATTGAAGTGCAAGATGAAAAACATTAATTGGAGTTGAAAATTTGGATTGGATTCAAGTTGTTTAGTTCATTATAGAGGGTAGGGGATTAAGTTCATCGTCCCTCCTCCTAAATAAAACTAGCAGTGCATTGAAACATTATAATGGGAAAGGAAACTGAAATTGAATACAGACTTTAGATTCATTACTAAAGAATTAAGTTTACCAAAAAAATATAAGTTGTAAAAATTTAGTTATTCCATAATGTAAAGAGATGAGAGGAATATTACCATAACCTCTCATCAAGGAGAAGAAAGACTAGAATAATAGAAAAGCAGAGAGAATGGACAACAGATGCAAAAAAAAAAAAAAAAAAATCTTCCAAAAGAAGAACCCTTTTTCACTTGGAGACTTCTTTTTGTACAGGGGTTGTCCAACTCGTGTCCTCACACTTAGATTGAACATTGTGTTCTACAAAATTTCACTTTCTTTCCATAAGATCCAATTGTACTATTTTTTCACAAAAACTTTCAAACTAATTAAATAACATTAGTAATTGGCTGTTCAATGCAACTTTACGGAATTAATTTTTTTTATTAAATTCTCTATTTAATTTCATACAAATTAGATTGATTATCCCATGAAAGTAACTCAAAATTTCCCATTCATTTCATGAGTTCAGAGTCTTATTATGTATCTTAAAAATAATAGAGACAAAAATGATAATTGAGTCTAATATTAGTTGATAATTAAATTAATTTGTGTTCCTAATTTTGATGACTGATTTAATTTATTATTTTAGTTTGAATTGTGTTTTAGTGACCAAGGTGTTTGATGTTAGGTCACAGAGAACGAAGAGAGAGTTTGGTGCACGCTGGAGAAGGAAGGGGAAGGGAGAGAGACTAGTAAAGTGGTGCAGAGTGGCATTGTCATGGATTTGGCTCGTGCTTTGGGGTTTGACCCTGGTGATCATGCTGAGTTTTGTAACCAGGTGAAGTTCTTCAAGGATGATCCTTTTAGATCCAATTCGGTGTCAGAGAGAAGGATTTTGTTGTTCTTAGAGAGGATTCTTAGTAACTGGTCTGCGGAGCCTGCCACTGTGACCCCCAATTGGGACTTTGAAATTGTTGAAGATGATGTTGTTGCTCCTGTTTTTCCATTTAAGAGTTTCCTCTGCCCCTTGACCAAGGAAGTCATGAGGGACCCTGTGGTTGTTATGGAATCCTTTCAGAGCTATGAAAGGACTGCCATTGAATACTGGTTTGATCAGTGTATCCAGGATGGCCGAGATCCCACTTGTCCGGTTACCGGAGCTGTTCTTAAGTCCTTGGAGCTGAAGCCCAACATTGGGTTGGCTGGGGCAATTGAAGAGTGGGTTGGCAGGGTTGTTGAGCATCAAATCAAATCTGCAGTGGTGTATCTGAGTGAGGAACCCTTGTCTGTTGATCATGTTGAGTGTGCTCTGGATCATGTTTATAAGGTTTCTGAAGAGCACCCCAGTAGCAGATATGTAATCAGGAATGCTGGTGTTGTGCTGTTAATAGTGACTGTGCTCAGTAATAATTCTAAAACTATTGGATCGCGTTTGAGAAGCAAAGCTCTAATGACGTTACTTAGTATGGCCAAAGATGAAGAAAGCAGGGTCAGTTTTGTTTACCTTTGTATGCTTATTTTCTAGTTTCTAGTCTCTTCAGTTTTCTTAACAAATGAACAAAACACAACTATACAAATTTCACCAACCAATATGTCAAAATGCCATTGAGGTCTTGGAAGGAACACAGGACTAGAGAACTATGGCTAGAGAATTGAACTGGATATGAAAACAGTAAATTAATGGGTTTGTTTAGATAATACAGAAAAAAGAAAGTGTACTGCAGTTTATTTTCCTTACAAGAGACTATGATTCATTCAAAATTATGCCAAGGGTTGAAGCAAACAAGTTTGTTTCACTTGGAAAAGTATTTCCATTTTTCTCTCAAATTCTCATATTCATATCAAGTTCTCTAAAACAGACACAGTCTACAACTCTTCTAAACCGTGTCTTGCTATAAATTGTTGTTACCATCTACAACTAATTTTGAAGTACAACCATGCATTGTCAATGAAATCTAGAGTAAATTATACTTCCGTCCCTCAATAGATGCTTAAATTATACTTTCCTCCCTTCAAACTTTGAAATATGCTCTTGCGTCCCTTGGGAAATTACTGCATTACTTTAGTCTATTGTAATGTGAACAAACCTTTTAATAATGATGAATAACTATGAATGTGCCTCCCAATGATATTTTGTCTTTCTACATGGACAACCAGTTTTGAATACCTTTTTTTATTAATATTAATATTTTTATAATATTTTATAAGGTCAAAAGAATTTTAAAAACATTGTTATCTACTTTAAAATCTTATCTAATTTTTTTTTTAATTTTTCAAAACTAGCTGTCAATTATGTCAAGAATTACAAGAGGAAAAAAAAAAAAAAAAACTCTAAAGAGCTCATTTACATTAAAATGGACTCAAATGTAACAGAGGGGAGGGAAGTGTGATTTAAGCATTCTTAAGGAAGAGGAAATGTCTTAAAGCTAACTATGGTCAATAGTATATGATGGATGACTGCACGAACTGAGAAGAAAACCTTAACAGATAGCTGTTCTTCTGAGTTCTAATTTCCGTTTTCAGATGTTCTTCTGAACTATACCTCCTGTAATATTGCCTGTTTTCACCTTCTCTATTTTCGTATTATAAATGACAAAGACAGATTATCTAAAAACAAAAATAGAGGGAAGGAATTATTTGCATTGATGTTGGTGCTAATATATCATTTTCCATTGGTTTCTAGCACATATACTTTTTTTGGGTACATACTGCGGCTCATATACTACTGCTGTTTCTGATGCAAATTTTTACTTATTGCTAGAAAATAATGCTTGCACGAGGCATCACTAAATTGGCTGTAAATAGTCTTATTGGGAGCTCTGAGAAGGAGAGAGAATATGCTGTCAAGTTATTACTAGAATTCTGCAGTGACGAAGATTGTTGCATAAGAATTGCATCAGAAAAAGGTGCATTAGTTCTTCTCTCAAGCATAGCAGGAAATCTGGAGTATCCATCCTTGTCCAATTTAGCTGAGGAAGTCTTAAGGCAGATGGAGAGGGTAGAGGATAATGTTCATTGTTTGGCAGCAGCTGGAAGATTTGAACCATTAATTTCACGGTTACATGATAGTATGTATTACTACTGCTTCTTTTCATGGAGTATATATTGACGATTATAAATTACATAAAGGAAAAACAAATCAGTTGAATAACACTGTAGACATTTATCTTTTTCTACTGGTTAGCCCCAGAATAGAACGTTGGAGATGTTTGAACATGGTTTTGGGGTAAGCATATAAAGTTAAATTTGTTAAATTGGAATTTGGCTGAATTCTGGAGCAGGTTCTGATAGTGTAAAGATAGAGATGGCTTCTCTGGTGGGAAGGATGACCTTGACAAATAGTTGTAAAGAACAAATTGCAAGGCAAGGTGCCAGAGTATTTGTTGAACTTCTGTCTAAACCAGAAGGAAGGGAACCAAGTTTGCAAGCATTATATAACTTGTCAGGACTGGATGACAATGCAACCGTCCTTGTTGAGTCTTCAGTCCTTCCATCTCTCGTAGAGGTTCTATTTGATGATCAGGATCCTTCATATGAGCTAAAGTCATTAGCTGCTTCAACAATTGCAAATATTGTATCTAAGCCAGGGCGTTGGGAATTAGCATCTGCGGACAAGAATGGGAACCTAATGCAGTCAGAAAATATTGTTTTCAAACTTTTGGAGCTTTTAAATTGCTTGTCTTCTCAGTGTCAAGTGACCGTTCTTCGCATTCTTTGTGGCATTACATCATCTCCTCAGGCATCAGGTAATTTCTATCAACTAGCTTTAAGTTAATAGTGTGATTGTGATCTCTGCTATTTCTTTGAAAATTCATTTATCTTTTTCTTGTGTTCTATGTCAAGCTGACTTCACAAGTTATTTAATTATGTATTAGGATTTAGTTTCTCTATTGAACTTGACAAATATGAAGGAGGTGGATGATATTGCATTGTTATTAAGTGACGGTGACTGCAGCACTTGGTATTTATACTAAAATTTTATTTCTTATGGCTTTACAATCAATAAATATACGCACTATTTCGTGCACGGCCTTAGAAGTTTGCTTTCAGAGATTATATCATTGAAAAGAAACCAGTGTCCTCTTCCAAATAGTGGCTTTTTTTTTTCATGTTCCCTTCCTTTCTTTTTCTAGATGCTGATTTAATAATTTCTCACATTTTTTTTTAACTCAGGCAAAATAGTTTTAGATGAGAATAGTTGAACAAAATGGTATAAGTTGTGGCTGTCCTGCTTTTGTGGTGGGAAATTGCTTGTATTGTCGTAGCGATGTGGAATAGAATGATTCATCTTCCCACTGACATCGTGTATGTTGTTTTACGTTTTGTTATCTTATTCAGAGTTAGTAGCAAGTCTTATCATGTCTGAGGGTGGCTTTAGAGTGATTATACCATTTCTTCAACACCCAGAAGTTGAACACAGAGTATTTGCTTTTAAGCTTACAAGATTACTATCTGAATGGTTTAGTCAAGATATTGCAAATGAGCTAAGACTTTCAAACAAACTTATGATGCTTCAAGAAAAAATGTTCGATAACCAATCTACAAATGATGAGAGATCAGATGCCGCACAGATACTAGCCAATCTTTCCCTCTCAGAAGGTGAAGTACAGACACTTTTAGGAGATGATTTTGTGGCATGGACTGCTAACACTCTTAAGAACCAGCGGCGTGTTTCCAATGCAAGGTTTTCACATACTGCATCAGGCATGCAGGAAGGTCTTATTGGTCTCTTGCTTCACATCACTAGGAATCTTGATCAACAAACTCTTAACATAGTTAGAGAAAATCGTCTTATGACCATTTTCTGTGAGCAGCTGGATTATACTTCGAAACCAAAAGTAAAACGACTTGCTGCCATTGGATTGAAAAACTTATCAGAATTTGGAAGATCAGTTACTGCTAGGGACTCTGAATCACCCTCTTCTAGTAGATTCTGTTCTTCCCTTGTGCTCATGTGTGGGAGAGCCTCTAGTCAACCTTCCACATGTCCCATTCACAACAGACCCTGCGAGGAAGATAGTCAGTTGTGCCTGCTCAAGAGCAACTGTGTCAAGCCCCTGGTTGATACCCTTAATGGCAATGACACTGATGTTCAACTTGCTGCAGTGGATGCACTATCTACTCTAGTATCAGATTACACATCTCACAGTTTCAAAAGAGTTGTTGATGAGTTTGAGAAACTGGGTGCAATTGATTCTCTGATCACTCTTTCTACAGAGGCTAGATCTGAGAAGCTTCAGGAGAAGACAATTTGGATAATAGAAAAGATACTGAGAGTGGAAAACCTCAGCAACCGGCATGCACTCAATCAGTCTCTCGTGAGAGGTTTGGTTGAGGCGTTTAAGCATGGGAATACCAACACAAGGAAACATGCTCAAGATGCTCTGACCCTCCTAAAGCAGTTATCAGCGGTTAGTGGAAAGACATCAAGTCAAACTCGAGCTCAGAGATAAAAAAAAAAAATTATACTCATTCTAATATTGTATAATTAAATAACAGTAACTTCTTGTTTGTATAGAGTCAGATGAGTTAATTGGCAAGAATAATTGTACACATCAACCATTTAGTGTCATTATAAGGTCACAATACACCTTTGTGTAAACATTCGTTTTGCAAGAAGATACCGTAGCAAGGAAGAATAATTTTAATTTTTCTAATGTAGTGGCAAGGAAGAAATTGAACAAGATGTGTTTGCCATGACACACAACCGCGTAAGATCATGATAAATGTGGTACTCTTGTGTACAAAGCAATTCAAGCAATTAAGTTGATTAGATCGTCTTGAGTAAATGTTGCAAACCTAGCATAGAACTTTTAGAATATTGTTGTGATTCAATGATTGATAATGTGGCTACTGAATAGAATTGTTTATCTTGCAGATTAGTTAAGATCAGTGTTAGTAGTAATTAGCAGAGTGAAAAACTGAATTGATACATTTTCCTTGCCGAGCATAAGCCTTAACCATGTGCACCGTAGGTCAGTAATCTATTATCTATGCATTGTGAATCTGTGATGTGTATTTTTGCGCTATTATATTGTCATATCAAGACTTTTGGTAAGCATTGTTTTCATCATGTCTTATATTTACTGTGTTATTACTCTCATATTTCAATCAAACAAAATCTTTTTCTTACTCATCATGCTTTTATTCATTTGTTTTTGTTACATCTTATTCAATTTTTTTACTTGAAATAATACAAAAAACCTTCAATTTTTTTTCCTTTTCTTTCTCTACGAAATTACACATGACACTCTCGTATTACTACCAGAGTTTTGTTCCATTCAATCAAGATAAATTTATCATTTTCTTTTATTAAATAAAAAATTCTTCAATAAAAACACATTTTCCTTGCATTTAAAAAAAAACTTAAAAAACTACCACAATATAATTTATATTGTGCAAATTATTGCATTATCGTATCAGAGTTTTAATTGGCATTGTTTTAATTATGTTCACATTTTTAAATTGCTTACTTCAATCAAACATTTTTTTTTCTTTATTCGTTATTTTCATTCTATTTCAAATAGTGAAAAAGTATGTTTGGAGTCGAGTTTTGAAAGGAAAAATAACAAATATCTTATTTCAAATTTAAAGAACTGTATAATATTTATAATAAATAACTAAAATATTAATACATTAAATTTATATTAATATATTTTTTATTTCAAAAAATTATGAAATTAGAAAATATTAATTAAAAATAAAAATTTACTGTCCCCTCCACAATTGATTCCCAAGTATACCCTAAAACCTTTTTCTTTCTTTTGTGTGAAACAGGAACATGACATTTTTTTTTCATATCACTGCCAAAATTTTGTTCTATTCTAGAAAAGGATACCCATCATTTCATTTTTATCTAAAAATCTCCTTGAAAAGAAAACATTTTTTCTTATATTTAAAATAACTAAAAAAATACCGTCTCTAAAAATTTAAATCCAATTATAACTTTCGCTTTATTAACAAAAAAATACCCTTCCAAAAAAAAAACTCTACTTTTAATGTCTTACAATATTTATTATCTATTTGGTTTGTTTATCATTGAAAAATGTTTAAATATTTAGGGTTTGTCTATTCTAAGGAAATTATTTTTTATTACTAATCATAAAAATATAATCTTATTTTTACTTTTTTTATTTGAAAAAATTGTACATGAAATAGTAAAATATCCAGGACCCTCGTTCTTTCCCCCTTGGAAACAACTGTTATTGGTGAAACATATACCTAATGAAAACTATTTACAATTATTACAGTCTAGTGAAAGTTAAAAATCACATAGAGAAGGTAAAAGCTACAAAAGTAACACAAAAAGGAAATGTGAAAGGTGCAAAAGATGATTGCTTTATCATGATTATCTTCCCCCATAAACAAGTGAGCAATGAGGCTGAATTGATATGATTACAAAAAGTGAGGGGAAAATTAGAAAACAAGAAAAGGAAGAAGCATTAAGCATATACAACCGTCCAAAGAGCAAAGTCATAGAGTGAAAATCCAAATAGCTTTGGTCTGTTAATTTCCCCACAAAATTTGGCATTAGACCATTATATTGCTTCACTTTGAGAATGTCGGTTGCATGTGTGCACCTAAAAGAAGAAAGAAAGAAAGAATGAAAGAAAACACTGACACTGCTCTTCTAAGTTCTAAGTGGTAGGAGTCGCAGGACATGTTGCAAAAGAAACTTGTTCTACTTTATTGCTGCACCGATTAAATAAAGTGAGAGTACATGTTTAGGGCAGGTTCTAAAACACACTTTTTATTTTCCCAAAAGATACTGATTTTTATTCTTATATTTAAAATTGAATATACTTATATTCTTTAAAAATAAAAAATAATTTTAACATGTGATTTATATTAGACTAAGTTATTATTAATGCTGAAATTTAATATTTTTAACATTTTTATATTTAAGATGCATTTAATAACATTGTCTTTTGCATAAAAAAATGCTCAGTGAATAATTTTATATACTACTTTAAAATTCTATTCATATTGTATTTAATAAATTTTTATTTGTTTGCTAACAAAAAATAACTTAAAAAACTATTTCTTGTTCTCCATCACTTGTAGTATCACATATTTTAGCTTATTTTCTAAACTTTTGTTTATCATTGGAACCCCTTCAAGTTTGGTAATGTGCCTTTGAGCTATTTTAGAATGTTGCAAGCAATGAGGGTCCTGCAAAACTATGGTTGTGAAGGATAGAGAATAATGGATGAAAATGGTTGTGTATTAATTTTGTATATCAGCTTCTTGTCGATCTAGGAAGTAAATAAGACAATAAGTATTGATTGTTTTTCTTTTTCTTCTTTTCTTTGTATGAGTGTATATATATATATATATATATATATATGCACTCAAATGTAAACATACAAAAGCCTACTTGAACTGTACAATAAGGACCAAACTATATAAAAAAGTTTCAATTAACATTTTAGGAACCAAGCACTTATTGGCTTTGTTATCATCCGTATCCATGCATAGGCACATACTAAAAGATGGTTCAATTTTTCTGGAATTATGAATACCACTTGCGTTTGTATAATTATTATGTGCATGTGGGCCACTAAGTACTGATATCTTTCTGAACAATTCTGTGTACAACCAACAACTAGAAAAGGTAAAATCACAACTACACAAACTACAACATAAAAGACAGATACTAAAATATGACACTACACTGCAACAAAAACAATCTTGGAATGTCTCAATTTGGTCTGTCAATTCACAATTAGCATTGAACGATGTTCATAAAATTAATTATTTTAGAAGAATTAAGGTTTAGATTTAGGATTAAGTTTCGTTTCCGTGTTCATCCGTGCTAAAGCATGAGCTTAGCCAAAACCATACATGAAGAAAATGAATGGCCTGGATTTTGTTGTTGGTATGAATGGGACCGTGCCTTTTTTTCGTATGAATGTTGTTTCTGTCTTTTTTGAAGGATTTCCTTTTCGATTAATTATTTTAAATATGTAGTTAAATAATATATATACATACATACATATATGAAATCTTAAGGTTAATTTCGTACATAGAGTTTTAAAAATTGTCAATATCTAGAAATTCAGATATAAAATAGCTTGAAAATTATAAAAAAAAACCCAAAAAAATGCCAAACGATTGGTATTTAGCATATTTGAAGATCAAACTAATATTTAAAAAAATTAGTCATGTTTATAATAATTAAAGATATATTTAAGTATAATTTTAACTGTAAAGCTTACATAGATAGAAAAATATGTACTATAAAAAATTATTATTTATTAACAATTTAATTTTGTTTAACTTTTTTTAGTATAGATTTTTTAAATAAAAATTCAATTAACGTACATAAATATTTTAAAATTATACTAACAATATACTATAGAATATGTTTATTTAGTACAAATATATATATATATATATATATATATATAATACATCTTTTATTAGTGTAAGTCTTCAACTTCTTTGTAATTAATATCTTTTTTTGTTAGACAAAGTTTATATTTAGAAAAATTATTTTAAAATTTTAATTTAACGTAAATTGGTTATATTATTAATTAATTATAATATTTTTATATTAATTATTAATAAACAATGTTTAGTAATACAATGATTTATAATTAAATAAAAAAATATTTGTTTACATTATTATTATATTTAAATTAAATTATTGTTTTTATCCTTAATAATTGTTTATAGCAATGACTATACAAAGCAACTTTTTGTTAAATTATTTAATACAAAATTGTTATACATAAATTTGATTATATGTCATTAAACATATTAAAAATATATATTAATATTAATGTTGAGAATTTGCCACTTCGTGAGAATAATGATTTTCTATTAAATGTGAAGTCTCAGCCGAAAAGAAGAAGCATTAAAAACGATGCAAAAAAGCATAAAGAACCTAATCAAAGGCATAGTCATGTTATTATATCAAACTCTATCACTCTTCCTTTGGTGGTGGCAATTTAAGCTTCTAAGTATTTGGTTGCACTCTTCCTCACGTTTCAAACATGAAAGAAAATAAAACCCACTAAACTTTTAAGTGTTATGTTTTATTTTGTTTTCTTTTTTTAGTCTTATACTTGTACCAATTGGATATATAAGCAAGAGTATTACAAGTTAAATAGAATTTTCATATTTACAAGGAACATTTTTAGAAGTTAACACTTTCTTAATTATTAAATATTTCCTTAAAGAATAACTAGTGCATCAGTACAACTTGTACCAAAAATAAAGAATTAATTAGTCCAAATTATTTAGTCAAATTTTGATGAATTTTATTTAATAATAAAATATATTAAAAAATCATTTTAAAAGTATTTTATTAAGATTTATTAGTATTTATTAATATATTAATTTTTAAATAATTTTTAATAACGATTTTTGGTACTTTAATTTTTTTTTTTTAATTTATAAGTGTTCGATCTATGAAAATCTCTATTCCTACACCATTGACGATCATTTGAGGTTTCATATTTTAAGTAATTGAAAAAATTATGATAAATATCTTTTAAATAAAAAATTTATATTTTTAATTATTTAATACTTAAAATTAATAGCAACAAAATCATTAGAAAAAATATTTAATATTAAAGTGAAGTCCTTCGATCTTCATTTATATGCATGATAGCAACTAATGCCAAGGGCAAGTAAAATAAAAAAAGTATAACATTGTCTTAAGATTAATTTGTAAACTAATCATTTAATTGAAGGATTTGAGTAGAATTGTGAAAGTTAAGCTTATGTAAATAAAAAAATTTGTAAAATAAGATCAAAGTGAGTGTATGATGCATGAAATTTTCAACACGTAAAAAGATTTAGATTTGAATTTAGTTAACCTAATCTCAAATTTTATGAAGATCAAATTCTTTGAAGTAGTTAAAGCTTAACTAATTCTTTGACAAATCATTATTTTTAATTATAGATCTTAATTCTTTAGAAACTCAAATTAAAATAAGTATTATGTTTTACAAATTTTGATAATTCATAACTAGTAATTTTTATTTTTAAAATATCTCTTTACCTTATCACAAATTAACTAAGTTAATAAATTAAAAGAAGTTTAAAAATTCTTATATTCAGTATGATTTTTTTTTATAATTTATATATAACAGATTATAATTTATTATTTTATAAACAATTAAATATAAATAAAATAAAAAAATTTAAACTTATAAAGGAATAACATCCTTCCCCAAAGGTACCCTAAAATCTAACAGTCTACAATCATAATGGGTTAGGCCTATGGATGGTCTCTGTCACTAGTCGCCGCTACTCTTTTATTCGTACCGTTGTTTTTATTATTATTTTCCTCTTTCTGATGGGTTTGGGTTTAGGAAAAGTCGTAGGAATGGGAACAAGTGGCTGCGTTCAATGAAGAATGAAAAAGCTATGGCAATGGATGCGCAACACGTGAAACGTTTTAGGAATCTAATTCAAGAAAAAGTCTTTTTCTAGTTAAGAATAAATTGTCGAATTTATGTCTCATACTAATAAAGATGAACATTGTTGATGTTATTCCCCAACACATGAATTAACACACATAAACTAATCTTTGATATTAAGCTTAGTCTATGCAATTATCTCTAGGAATTTTATTGATATTTTTTATTTCTTTTTTCATTCCAAATGCATGTTCTAAAGTTCGCAACAATAAGCCTTTATACACGCATACATTTTACATTTAACAAAATGATGGAAACCAAATTAAATGCACGAATTTTGTAAGATTTTCGGTGACCAAATTTCACTCCTTGTTTATAGTACATACATCACGTGTGAATGAAATTTACCCATTTTCAAAATCATCTTTTTATATGGTTATAAGCTTCCTACAACTTTCGAACTCATTTTTCTTGGTTTTTATGTGTAAATAGACATGAATGGACTCTATTCACTCTATTTATTTCTTTGAGAAACATAGCATTATGTAATAAATGCAAAAACTTGTTCAAAAGCTAGAGTTTCTCCTACATCGTGATGGGTTCTTCTGTCCACTTTTAGAGACATCACAGCCAAAGATTTTTAACCCAATATATATTTTCTTGATTATTAAATTTTACACATTTATGTGATTATGAATTGTTGAACAAATAAGCATAATTAATTTTCATAATGATTAACATAGAAACCATATCTACCAAGTATTTAAATTTTTTGTCAAAGATACCAACATTAAAATTGATAAAATTTGAATAAAACATATAATAAGGCTTCAACGGTTCAAATAGATAAATTTTGAATCAAAATATTCATTTGCATGACTTTTAATTAGAATAAGGGTAAGGATAATGTTATCTTCCCTCTCCATTCTCCATTTCCTTACAAGTCTCTATGGACTCCCAAAATTGCAAAACAATAGATATTAAAAAAAATTATTCAACAAATGTAAATTTATGAAAGTATAAATTAAAGTACCAAGTTATATTTAAAAAAAAAGAAGAAGCTCAAAAGTACATTTATATGTTATTTATTAAGAAAAATACTAAAAAAATTATAAAACTCAATTTAGAAAGGGGTGAAGCATACCTACCCTACCTCATGTTCATATCATGCTTTGGATGCAAATGTGCATTGCGGGTGGTATCTAACCTTTTTAAAACCAGACCTCTCATTAAATCATTGAAAGCATTGATACATGAATACATGATTCATGAACCATTTGTTTCAATGTAACAAATTTTAGTCAAATTAACAATTCCTATTTATTTATTTTAATATTATAGAATATATAAAATAATGCACTAGTATAAATTTAAATTATAACAAATTTAGTTAGGTAAAATTTTAAATTAATATAAAAACATTATATCATATATCTTATTAGATATAAAATTATAATAAAGACCTAAATAATTAAAACAATCCTTACAGAGATATCATATACTAGTATTTATTAATTTAAAAATACTTCAGAACAAAAATTTAATTTTAATATATTGTTTATGGAGAAAAATTACTGTTAATTAATTATAAAATTTAATGTGATACATAACATACATGCCATAACTAAATATGCAGTAAATCATTGTTGGAGATAGTTACAAATACGAGTATTATTTTTAAAAAGTTCAAAAAGTAATTTTAATCGAGACTAATATTTTTTAAAAGAAATACTAATAATAATAATAATAATAATAATAATATACATCGCTTTAAAATAAATCTAATGGTTATATTGTCAAAATTTCATAGTATTTTAATCATACGTAATAGGAAAAAAAAAACAGCAATACAAAATTTTCAAACCGAAAGAGCCACTGAAACAAATTAAGTAACATAAAATTTTCAATTTTATTATCATTAAATTTATTTATTTTAACTACGTGAGTATTTATCAATATAACTCTTAATTGATTGTGGCATCATGCTCCTAGCGTGAAAACTTTTTGCTGCCCATCATAACTCTATCCTTTAATCTAATACTAGTTTAATTTTAAAATTTTTTATAATTGATTTGAATATTTTATTTAACTTATATTTAAATAATTATAATTTATTACTTCACTTATAACTTATATCTTTTTATTGAAGACAAAATTTATTAATCTTTAAATCATATAATACTATCTTCATAATTATAATCTCAATTTTATATAAAAAAAGTATTAGTATGTGTTTTAACCAACGTTTATAAGCTTGATTCATAATTAACTTTATAATGTAAAATTAATTTTGTTTAAAAATAAATTTAAAGTAATGAGATTTATGTTTAAAAAATTATCTCTTAAAAATAAATATTTAATAAAATTTTAATTCGACACAAATGTTTTTACAAAACTTCATCTAAAATGCACTTAAACGATAGAATTATGCAAATTTAAGGTATCAACCAACACTGGAAGTTACCAAAAAAATCTTCATAAACATGCATTAAACACTGAATAGAACTTGCGATATTGTTTAAGGATAGTTCATCTTTGTTTAAGGATGAACTTAATCCCATTCTTAACATCACTATCAAAAATCTCAAACACGCAACCCATAAAGTTAGGAAAAAAAGTACTAAACACATGGATTGTGATTTTGACGAAATTTAATATCTTAATATCTCATAATATAGTGAAATCATATTTTAAAGTCGAATCCAAATAATCTTAGATCATCTTAATGCTATGGCACATCAGTGTTATGCCTAAATGATAGCTATCTTTGTTGATTTAGCTAATCATATATTGCTAAATTAGATATGCCTATGAAGAGTTGTTTACATTGCAAGTTGTATTTTATTTCATTTTCTTCTTGCGTCCTTGTGACGAATCTAATTACCTCCCATCAACTCTTTTTGAAGCATATTTTACCATTTTATAAAAATGATTTATCTGGACAGTAGTTGTTGGCTATTGATTGTATATCATTCAAGCAAATAAAATCCACTTTGGAGTTTTATACCTATTTTCTATTATAAATTTATAAATGAGTAGCTTGAAATTTAATAATAAAAATGATAAAAACTCTCGTAAAGTAAGTTTCTAAAACATACAACTAACCATGTATTTATTGTTACTGAATTTAATTCCTTTAAGAAATAATATATTGACTCAGTTTGTGTAAATTTTTATAAGAGAAAAAATTTATATTAAAGATAAAAAAAATTCTTGTAAATAAAACTATTTTGTTTTTATATTTTTTTATTTAATTTTTTAAAATTTATGAAAATTAATTATTTTTAACTTATGAAAGAAATTTTATTTATTTTTTATTCTGATTTTTTCTTCTACGATGACTTCTTTAAAATTTACCTAAAATGAATCATTATTACTTGTATACTTTAAATTCTTTCTTATTTTAGAAAAGTCTTGTCCAAAAAATAAGCTAACTATTTTTACCTTTGTCTTGTATTAAAAAATAGCATCAAACGTCAGTACTCTGCAGAAGTTGTAGTCTTGTTGGATATTTTGAAATCATCACGACTTAAACAAAATACATATTCCTAAAAAAGTTTAAGCATCCAAAACAATTTCTTCCTCGTTTTCCATGTTTCTATAATTAAGATATTTACATCCCTGGTCGTTTGCCTACTCATCCTATCTAGCCATTGAGGTGTCATATTTCCGATGATTTTCATAGATTCATCATAGTCATGAAAGCAAATGAGTGTATTTATTATGCTTTTATATTTAATATTATTATGGTTACCTTTTTCTGTTATATACATGTGTGTGTGTGCATGTGATCCCATATATTCTTTGAAAGAATTCGCCAACATCTACCTCTATATATACTCATCATATCTATATAGCTGCAATCCCTCTCCAAACCTAGCATAACTTTGTGAGAGAAACATTAAGCAACAATGGTTAAAGCAGCACAACATCTACAATATGTTAGCAATGGAGAAGGGCAAGGACAGCATCAAACTTATTTTGATCCAAGTGCTCCTCCACCCTTTAAGATTGCCGAAATTAGAGCAGCAATTCCCAACCATTGTTGGGTCAAGAATCCATGGAGGTCTCTGAGTTATGTTCTAAGGGATGTTTTAGTAGTCACTGCATTGCTAGCTGCAGCAATTGGCTTCAATAACTGGTTCTTCTGGCCTCTCTATTGGGTTGCTCAAGGAACAATGTTTTGGGCTTTATTTGTTCTTGGACATGATTGGTAACTAATCATAAATTACAACACTATGCTCACTCATTGTTATTTTATTTTGTTATGCATTACCAATAATGCTTGGTCATTTCACTTGGTTATGATGCATGATTTTTAATTATCTGTTCTATGGTAAGTTTTGAACTTGTTGCATTGAACAGTGGGCATGGAAGTTTTTCAAACAGTCCCAGGTTGAATAGCGTAGTGGGCCACATCTTGCACTCATCAATTCTTGTACCATACCATGGATGGTTGGTTAACCTTTCTTGTTCATCTTGTCCTTAAAAGTTTTATTTTGTACACCAAATCTTTAATTTGACTTGACATCTAAACCATTTTGCCGTTTGTAGGAGAATTAGCCATAGAACTCACCATCAAAACCATGGACATGTTGAGAAGGATGAATCATGGGTTCCGGTATGTGTTTGCTTCCACGTTGTTCTCAATTTAAATCTGTAGAAAGATCCGGTTGGCCCTATAGAAGAAAAAGGGAAATCTAAGGAGCTGATTAGTTTTAAAAGAACGTTTTTTATTTTTATTTTCTCTTTTACTTATGAAGTTGTCATTTTTTCTTGTTCTTCGTTTCTAAAGATTTGTAAAAAGAACATACTAAAAACAAACTATTCTAAGTGTTTTCTATACAAAAATTAAAAACAAGTAGAATAAAAATAATGTGAAAGATTTCAATTAAAAACAATAAAAAATGTTCTCTAAAAGCATACAACCCTTTGAAGATGTGAACTTAATGATTTTGTCTCTCTTTTTTATGGGTCTTTATCTCAGCTGACAGAGAAGGTTTACAAGAGTCTAGACAACATGACAAGAACCATGAGATTCACTTTTCCTTTCCCCATCTTTGCATATCCCTTTTATTTGGTGAGAGCTTTTTTTAACAGAAAGACAACATTATTGTACTATAGCTCTAGAATCTCACTCTCTTTTTGATCTGAGCCATATTTCAGTGGAGCAGAAGCCCCGGAAAGGAAGGCTCTCACTTCAACCCCTATAGCAACTTGTTTTCCCCTAGTGAAAGAAAAGATGTGCTAACTTCAACACTCTGTTGGGTCATCATGCTTTCTGTGCTTCTCTCCCTGTCCTTCATAATGGGACCATTTTTTATGTTTAAGCTCTATGGAGTTCCCTATTTGGTAATCTCACTCTCACATTCTCAATTATAACTGAAATTTGAATTCACATTCGTTTAAGTGAATCTAAAGATGCTATTTTAAATTATTTAGTTAACACATGTCCAATAGTTATTCATTTATTTGAACATGTGCAGATCTTCATCATGTGGCTAGACTTGGTCACATACTTGCATCATCATGGTTACAAGCAGAAACTACCTTGGTACCGTGGCAAGGTAACATAAAATATCTTAATTACTGCTCTACCTGTTTAAGGAGCAATTGATAAAATAAATAATTATATTTAAAGGAACCTCTTCTCTTTTAATTATTAGCAACCGATGCTTTTATGTCATCGGTGCTTAAATGAGAAGGACCCACTTAAGAATATATAATGGGAAGCTCTGATATAAACGTTTTAACAAGTTTAATTTGTTCCATTAATTTTGTTTGGTATCTTGTTACTGGCCAAAAATGATACTGTGGCCAAAGGAACTAAAAATATTTCTACACTCATTATAAAGTCAAATTCATTATTACCGAATAAGTGTAATAAAAAATAAATATACAGTATAAATATTGAGAAGAGTAATTCAAATATCAAAACTCTTATTATATTATGAATATAGGCAAATGCTAAGCTGTTAATCGATATCTTTAGAATCATAAAAATTATTTATTAGTTGTTTGACACACATAACATAGTTATGGTGCATTTTTGGCGTCCCTTAAAAACAGTAGGAACTTTCTTCACTTGTTACTTGCTTCTACTTGTAATTTGACAGGAATGGACTTATCTAAGGGGTGGTCTTACAACTGTGGATCGTGACTATGGTTGGATTAACAACATTCACCATGACATTGGCACTCATGTTATCCATCATCTTTTTCCTCAAATCCCACATTATCATTTGCTTGAAGCGGTATCATCTGTTTCACACCCACAATCTCAAATTGCAAAAACATGAACTATCTTAAGTGCTTTCAATATTAATTTTTAAATAACATTAAAAAAAACAAATTAGTGGTCCTTGTTACTCATTTTTATTTTTCATTTTTTGTTACTACAGACGAAAGCTGCAAAACCAGTGCTAGGAAAGTATTATCGTGAGCCAGAGAAATCAGGGGCAGTGCCACTCCATCTAATAAAGTACTTGCTACACAGCATAAGTCAGGACCACTTTGTGAGTAACTATGGTGACATTGTGTACTACCAAACTGATCCTCGCCTGCAGAGAAATTCTTGGACCACGTCTAAGTAAAGTTTTGATGCTGAATTGATTCATCCCACTTCAATATATTTTCTATGTAACTTAGAATGTTGCCAGTTACCTACTCAAATCAATTAGGTAACATGTATAAGCTTTCATGAGCTAGCTATGCTAGGAATGCACTTACTTTTTCAAACCATGCTATGTTAGCAATGCATCTTTTTTTCAATGCGCTTTTCAATTATAGTTCACTGTTGTTGGCATGTAGAAGCTTTTACATGATTCATCTCTGGACCTTAATTAATGCAGCCGACTATAATTTGTCTACACTCTAAACTAGTGTTTTGGTTCTAAGTATTGAATGCGTTTTCACCAGTAAAATGTAGAATAATAATTATTAAAATTATGACAAATTCCACAGACAAATTATGAAATTATCAAAATTTTAGCTGTTACAAAATAACCATTGTTAGTCAGCACTTTAATATGTAAATTGTATGTTCTATCTTATTTTCCTAGTTGGATAAATAGGTTTGTTCACTTAAAAGTTAAAAGGGTTTTATATTTTCTAATAAAAATGCATATTTTAATTATGTATAATAATATCAAATTAATTTTATTAAAGTTATTTTTTATTATAGAAATAGTACTTGCTGACGTTGGACAATTGATAATCAATTTTTGAATTAGATAGAGATACACAATATTTTAGATACTAATGCAAGACACGTTATATGATATTGATAATTTATCAGTTCTATCATAATCGATTATAACTAATAAAAAGCCTGTTAACATAAGTTTTATTTGAATTTTAGCGTGTTTAATTCTGCCTTAAATTTTGTTGTATGAAATGAACAGTAACATTGCGTATACATTTTTTATTTTTGTTTTTAAATTTTAACAATATTAAAATAATTTAAAAATAAAAATAAAAAATCAACTCAATTTTAATTTTTTATAATTTTTTATCCAAACATCAAAATAGACCACTAATGACTAAAGTAACTGGCTAAAATAAAAATGTAGTTATTATTTATAAAGAATCCCATAATATAATTATTATCTATTTCACAATTTTTTATTATATATAAGTTTTAAAAAATTATTAATTTTTAAAAATGTTATTTTAATCTTTAACGAAAAACTAAAATTGCATAATTTTTCTAAAATATTAGAAGATTAAAGTTAAATAATTTTTTTATACAAATTAAAATGAAAAACATAATATTTTTAGAGACTAATAATTTATTTAAAATTAATTATATATAATGCAACATAAATAATAAACGTTAAAAATGGCCTTATAGTAATCATAGAATATTGCTGAGAAGGGCATATTTACGATTGAGGGCCATAAGTAATGTTAGCAGTGGTGACTGGTGCAGATCAACTACTATAACTAGCCCAATTTCATTAATTAATTTGTAATTTTTCCTTTTTTAATTTTTTCTTTCTTTCTGCATTAATGTCCTATGATTTCTTTAAAAGCTTTAGAATTCATATCCAACAAGGTCCTTAAAACAGTTACTAGATAATTTTTTAATTAAAAATGTTAGATATTTTAATTCTTGTATTCATTTGATACAAAAAAAAAACTAAAGTATCTTTACATACATACATATATATATATAAAACTCCTCTTAGAATCAAAGTCTATCAATATTTGTTAAGAGCAATTTAAATAACTAATTACATCATTGCAAATTTGGATGAAACAAATATCAAGAAGTGTTGCAACACATCGTAGGGATTGGAGAGGGTGTCTGTCTCTCCATGTTTAATTTTTATACCCAAATAATTTAAAAAGTACAAAGATGAATGTTGATAATTTGAATTAATGAATAAAGACAAAGCGTAAGTTGTTCTCCCATGAAAGAAGAGAAATGTAAGTAATATACTTTTTTCTTAAATTTATTAAAAAATATAAAAATATATTAATTTTTAAAAAAAGAGAGTAAAATTCACTTTTTTTTATAATTTTTAATAAATTTTACTTAATAATAAAATGTATATGAAAAAAAATTGTATTGCTAGCCTTATTCTTCTGAGAATCCTAAATTCCTAATACCTCTTACCTTTTTTTTCTTGTTACCTATAGTTAATGCTACTCTCACATGATGAAAAGAAATATAATATATAATTTTTTTAATGTGTACTTAACTATTCGTGTTAATAAATTAATAAATAATATTTTGTTATTAAAAGTTATAGTATTTAAAGTTATTAATGTACTTAATTCTATGATATCTTATTATTTTTTAAAAAATTACGATAAACAAATTCTTACTGTATGTTCTTAAATATACATGAAAAAATAGTTCAATGAATATTATTGCTAAAGCTATTTCCATTTTAATAAAAATTTAAAAAATATTAACTATTTTTCTAAAAAATTTAATTAAAAATTTTAAAATGTTTTTAATAAAAAAATATTAATTTATTAGTCAATGTTTTTAACAAGACCCAATACCAAGAGTTACTGGTAATAATTTAATTTCAAATGACAAAGTGACAAGGCTATTCCTAAAGATTGATGTCCAAGTATAAAGAATTTGAAGAACCATAAGCCTTGAAATTAAGGCCTAAAGTAGCATATTAGTAGAGTTGAGGTGCCCATAATTGTGAAAGAAACAAGCATTTTGTAATAAGAGCCAATTTTGTATTAATGTACTTGTGTGTAGATGTGATTTTTATTCTTCTGTTGTAGTAGCTATCTAATTAGATTAGGCTCCTTTTTCTCCTCTGGTTTGAATCACATTCTTGACCCAAAAGAAACTAATTTGATCAAGTTTACTTATGTTTATTGACCAAACAAAAAGCTCACCTATTTTTATACCTTTGTTGGTGTGCTAGTTTGATTGGACTTGGCTTAGCCATGGAGTTGTTAAGCCTTTTGGGCCTTGTCTTGAATTTAGGTTTTATTCACACTCCACCCTTACACAAAATAAAAACAAACACTCGATCCAAACTTTTTGCACCTTTCTTTGTTCTATATCACTTTCCTTTTTTCTTTTTCTAAAAAATAGTTAAAGTTGAAGCAAAAATACATTAAGACTTTACTTAGTAGATTAAAGAAAGAAAAAAAAAAATTTACAGGATAAGAGAAAAAAAAAGAAAAGAAAGAGAGTTAATATAAAATTTTTAATTTAAAAAAATTTAAAATTATAAGATTAAAAATGTTTTAAAAGTTTTATAAACTTTTTTTTCTCATTTAAAATTTTCAAACAAAAATAATTACTATCAAAGTCTTTCAATTTTTTAAAAGAAAATTAAATGATATTTGTTGTGGTATCTTTAAATTTAATAAGATATTTATTTTTTTTAAATTAACGATTATAATTTCTTGAATATCTTAAAGATAAAAGGGTATTAACGTCTTTTTAAATTATACTACTAATTTTATTATTTATTTATATAAAATTAGCAATTAAAATTATTCCACGTGTAAGAAAAATATCAAATCCTCTCACTTATCAGGGTACCATAAATTTACCAGACTAAATTTGTTTGGGAGTTAATTTTTAAAAAAATTAATTAATAATTATTATTATATAAAAGTTTTTAAACGAAGAGAAAGATTTTTATAAATTCTTTTAAATTGAGAATTTTTTATTAACTCTTCTTTTTTTGTATTTTTATAAATGATATATTTGATTCTATACAAATACTATAATATCAACAATAATACTAAAATAGGACCAATGAATCCGCATAACACATCCTTAGAATAAAAAAGTAACATATTTTTAAAAAAAAGTTTCAAAACTTGTTATATAGATATGCGTAATGTATGCATCTCCATTGCTTCTATCCTGTATCTGCATGTCATTTCAGGATAAATAATTGTAAATTATGTCTGTTATTTTCTTTTTCTGTCATTTACATAATTTGGAAGCAAAGCTAAAAAAATACAACTTATATCCTCTTAATATTTTTCTTTTATATTTTGTAAAGTAACTATTAACTAAAAGAATATCTGTATTTATTATAAAAAAAATATGCATTTAATAGTTGCTTTATCTAGTAATTAAAAAATATTATAGGCATAAAGTAGAAGAAATGTAAATTATTCATTAAAAATATCTTTAAGAAATAAAAGTATTTACGTTATAATTTGATTATTAATGTTAAATCATTAAATTATTTTATTTTTAAAATTTAATCAATTAAAAAATATATTTTAAAAAAATACTACTTCTATTTTTCTAATTTGATATTTCAGATTTTGAACAAGGATTAAGAAAGTTCCTAGTATTCTAAATTTGATAAAAAATTATTGTGTAATTTTTTATTATACCAATCATCTATTATATTTATTTATTTATTTATATCCTTTATTAAGTAAACATTAATTATTACAATAAAAATATTAAAAATAATAAATATCATAAATTTAATACATTAATATTAATATTTAATATTATAATTTTGAAAAAATTAAAATTTATTATTTTTTAACGTGTGTCATTAAACACATGCTAAAAAATTGTTAAAAAAAACAGAAGAACTATATTACTTAGTAATATTTTTTAATCCTTCAAACATTAACTAAGCTTATTCTAATCTGATTACACCACTAATTAACCCGGGGAACACATGGACGTGCTAACGTTATCAGTGTTATTTTGGGGGCAAACAATCAATTAATGCGTTAAGCTTTTAATTTTCGCAACTCTTAAGAAGACAACCTTACATTAACCCTCCTCCTTCCCTTAAGTATCACTATCTAATGACATCATATAAAATGGCATTAATGGATTATTGATTTTATGAAAGGTTTTTAAAGCATAAAAAAATGTTTAATTTAATTTTAAAAGTTGAGATTAAACAATTAAAACTAATAAATTTTTTATATTGAAAGTATAAAAATATAATAAATATCAAACTTTTCAATAAAAACATTATTTTTATATATTTGAACTTAATCTTAAGAACTAAGAATAAAAAATAAAAAATACTAATAATTTTTTTTATAAAAATTTAATTTAAAAAATTAAAATAAAACATTATATTACTAATACAAACTTTGTTACATATTTAGAAAAAATTTTGTCACAACAATTTTATCCAAGAATGTGAAGGTGGGTCACCCCTAATTCTACCTAACTTAAACAAAATTATATTATATAATAATTATCATTAATTAATGTTAAATACATTTTAACTAATGTGATCACATAATCAGGCTCATTATTTTAACCATTTCTAATATTATAAGTAAGGCAGTAAACATTTGATAAGCATTGATGAAACAAAATCATATTCTCTGTAGTAATGTTAAGTACATTTTCTCTAACACATTTACATTATTAATTAAAATTATGACTCTTAAATTAATGTTTTTTTTTTTAATGTTAATGTTTCCTCAATTCAAGGAAATACAGTGACTATGTTGTTGGAAGTTGGAACTCGGAACCACCACAGCAAAAAGAGAGTACCTTTGGGTGCAGAACCCAAAAGAATTTCCTCAGGCCACTGACATTATCAGTTACATATTCTGATATTACCAAAACAAAAGAAAACATATAATACAAATGACAATGTCTCACTCTCCACACAAAATGACAAATAATGATACATAATCAGTTCCTCGGTTTGTGTCAAAAGTAAAATGCTAGAAACCACATCCAAGTGGCAAGCCTCATTCCTCGTCATACATGCTTTTCCTTTTCTAGTGTTTGAACCACTTTGAACTTCAAACAATGTGGCAAAAGCGTTACCCTTAACGCGCCCCAAGAGCGTGACACTGTTTGCTTAAAACCGGGAAACAAACCACAAATTTAGCACAAAAAATGACTTTACAAAGCGCGTGGAGACAAGCCTCTAAAAATGTGCAAAAGCACAAAGATAGTGCAAGTTGATTAAATCATAAAAATAAATTTAAATTATTTTTTTCTTTATATAAATATTATTTAATATATAAAAAAATTTAATTGAAGTGATCCAAGTGCATTTTTTGAATATATGAAAATGAAATACAAAACTGTAGACTCTACTATTTTTTTTTTTATTCCATCCATCATTTATCATCTAATCAAACCATTCAAATAAGATATTTTTCTTCAATTTCACTTCATTTCTTTTTAGCTTTTTTCAATAAATATAAACACAAGCAAATACTTGAATAAAAAAAATAAACTTATATTTTTAAATAAAAAAATCATATATCGTTTAATAATTAATCAAGACCTTAAATACGCCATAATCTTGGATCATTTAATAATTTTTAGCAGTCCACGTATACTTATTCTAACTTGCTATTTCTCACATTCAAATGCAAAGCCCGCCACCCTTTTCTCCCTTATTGTAGCAAAATTCAAATCTCACTTTTGATTGTTCCCATTGCCTTTTTCTCTTTGGAAACTATGCCTTTATCATTGAACTGAATTGGAAGTTTGAGATTCCAACACCGCAATTCACCTTTTTCTTTTTAATTTGGTTTTCTTCCTTTTCTCTTTATTTACCAATTTCTTTTGATCATTCAAAACATGAAGGTCTCAATTTCTTCTCGTGCATCATCCCCATCATCCTCATCCACCAACAATTTAGACCCAACTATGTGCAACTCCAAAAGCACCACTTCAGGGTGTCTCACAGCCATCTTGCGCAAGATACTTTGCTCTGATGGCCTTCCAAGAGACCCATCTGACCAAAAAACAGAATTTGATTCATTAGATGCATTGGTGAGTAGCAAAGATCACCACTTGGAGGCTAAGCATAGTGTTGAAGGTGCGGCTACTACTACTATTACTACTACTCCTGGAATAGTAGCAAGGTTAATGGGTTTGGAATCAATAGAGATACCTTGTGTACCAAAACCAAGTTCACTTTCACGTAGCAGATCCATGAATTCTGTGGACTACTTGGGAGAATGCAATGGAATGGAGGGTCATAAGAAGGTTAAGTCGACCTTGTCATTTAGAGAAGCTCCAACTTTTCTTTTGCATGAAAATGACAACTTTTTGGTATTTAATTTTGAAAATGGAGGTCAGAGTAGAGAATTCAAATCCAATGGGAGAAAAAGAGAAACGGGTTGTGCAGAATTGAAGCAGAAGGTGCTAAAAGAAAGAGGTGAATTGAGAGAAAACAAGAGTGAAAAGGTGAATGATGAGAAGGGGAAACACAGCAAAAAAAGGGTGTCTCCAAAGCCTTGTAGAAATGATGGTAAACTTCAAGAAATCACCAACAGTTCACATCCTTTAAAGGCTTTAAATGAAAAGCAGAAGTGTTTTGATTCTGAAGCAGTGAAATTGTCACACATCATCAACCGCAAGGAAGTTGTGGTTGGTGAAAAGCAGAAGAGAAAGAAAAGAAGGAAGAAGAAAACAATTTGTCACCCTGAAAACAAGATAGAAATTGAATGCAAGTCAGAAGATTCAAGCCCAGTTTCTGTCCTTGATTTTGAGCGTGAACCATGTGGAACAGGTTTGTTTTCTTTGATAATTTGAGTTAAACTTTGTTTTGCTTTTGATATACATTATGTCATCTCAATAGATTATGTTCAAGTTTTGAAATTTCTATAAGAAATTGCAAATAAATTGTTTTGCAGTTGGTTTGAATTCAAGAAGAAAATTGTCACCAGAGCTTGAAAATGACCAGCACTTTCTTCAGCGTTCTGATGGTAACTTGATGATTGATGAGAGGAAGGTTAAGGCAATTGAGAACAACAAATATGAAGGATCAAAGAAAATAGCGAAGCATAGTCATGAGTACATAGGTGTTTGGGGTGAAGCTTGCGGAATAGTTGAAAATGAATTGGGTGCATCAAATCATGCATGGACTAATAAACAAGGTGATTTAGATGAAATTAGTGCAGATTTTGGGTCAGAAATTTTTGATCACTTGTTAAATGAGGTTGTGGAGCAACTTGTTTGCAGTCACTGATAACTTAGCAACTAAAATTTGTAAATTAAGCATATTGATAAAGTGTATAATATAAAGATTTAATTTCCTTCTGCTCTCACTGTTTCTGGTTTTTATTCTGTCATTTTCACATAGTGCATCCAGTAAGATTATTTGTCTTTTCTTTAGTTGAATTTTTAGTGCTGTGAGATATGTGTAAAAATTGATTGAGGGAGACAAGAAAAGCATATGCATTTGGGCCTAATGCTCATGTATGTACGTAACTTAATAATTATATAATAAATTACATTCCGTTTTTTTAGTGTAACAGTGATGAGTTCAAATCACAGCCAAATGACACTTGTAAAAAAACAGATCACAATAGAATAATTCTATGATGCAATAACATAAAGTATTACAAATTCAGAATGTTCGTTTAAAGACAATTAAATCAAATAAATTATACTAGTTAAGTGAAAAAAAGTTTATTGTGATAAATTATACTTAAAAGTTTATTAAAATAAATTAAATAAATTTATGAGACCGCTAATTTTTTTTATTTATAAATCCTTCTAAATATTCCTTAATTAACTTCAATTTCATCAAGCAACCTCAAAACGCATGCCATTACTTCAATAGCTATAAAAATTAATATAGTCACCAGTCTGTTTGCGTACAAAAACATTGTTTTTACCGTTTAACTTCTAAATCTTTGATGTTGCGTCATATCATGTTAAAAGTTATGTACAAATGTAGCACTTTTTTAGGCGAATTTTTCTTTTTTCTTTTTTAACTCTCTTATGATTGTCCACGTTGCATCTTTCTTAAAAAAAAGGGTCAAATATATGGCAACTCATTCAATCTAGTATTAAAAAACGATATAAAAATATGCATGCCAGCTGGAATAATAAAACTTTATCCTTTATCAACCAAAAGAAAAAGAAAACAGAGTTCACTCAAAAATTATGTGCTAACATGTCTAAAATGAGGTGTAAAATAAGCGAAAAGAGAGAGAGAGAGAAAAGCGAAAACGAAAAATATGATATGATATGATATGTGATATGAAAAGAGAAATAAAAAATACATATAGAAAAAGAGTGTAAAAATATAATTACTTTTACTAGTTTCTACACCTCACATTTGAATTCTTGAAACAGGATTTCAACAATTTTCAATGTGCACTAGAGGTAGCTACCAATTAGGACCAAAGAAACCATATTAAGATTTTCCACGGAAAAAAGGTTGATAAAAGTAAAAACCAATGAGTTGAGCTTTTGTGAGTGCTCCACAAACTTCCCATTCAGAGCCAAAGAACCAATTAATATAAACTTTTATGGCCGAAAGTGTTGCATGCAAAATCATCAAAAGTACGCATCGCAATGATATAAATAAGAGAGGGGTAAGGGGTAATACCAAGTGAATCCTGACTCTAAAATTTTCAAAACAGAGATGGTAAAACTTAACTATTTTTTTATTTACATTTAAGGATACACAATAATATATATATAATAATTTTTTATTAAAACTCACATTATATCACTAAATTCAATGCATTGATAACAGTAAAAAATTATTTATTCATTTTTTATCATGTGTTTAGAGTTGAAAATAAACAACTATAATACTAAAATTTTATTAAAAAAAAATAAACATTTATTATACTTTATAACTTTAATACAATAAATGTGTATTTTTTTTTATTTTCTATTCATGAAAGTTTAAACTTAACCCTAATGATTGAAGTAAACAAAAATCTTTTTAAAATTAAATAAATAATTAGCTACCAAAGGTAAGGGAACAAGAATCCCAAAGGCATCAAATATAGATACAAGTGATACACTTATCTTTCACACATCAAAATTTGCAATTTGTCTTCACTCATAGCTTTTACTCGTTTACTGGACCAACTTAAAGATTTTATGAGAATAGCTAAAGTGAAATAGGATAAAATCGCCAGAAGTTAAAATGAGTAATTGCATCAGCAACCATAGTTTGTAGCACATATATTGTCCAACCAAATAATGAGAACAAAATGAATAAGCCATAAACATAAACTAAACAAATTGAAAATTAACATTACTAAAATTATCAGCATCATTATCTTTAGTCTCACTGCATTTGTTCCACTCTTGGTTGCTGGAAAGTTACAACTCAATAGAGCAAAACAAATAACAGGTGTAAAAAAAATTAGGAAAGCAATGGAATCAAATACCCTAGTAGTTATAAGTAGCTACTGGAGCAGAAAACTTGAATTCTGCTCAGCTTCTACATTGTTGCCCTGGGAAACATTTAAACATAATTTCTACAAATTATCACCTACATATAATGAATATCTATAAAATTTAAAAATAATAATTAAATAAATAAACTAGTATAGAGTTGCATAGAGGACCCGGTCCCACTATTGACATTGCATTTATGCAACAATCTGCTCATGCTCCATGTACAATTGCTCCTGATTATCTGGCACCACATTTTTTCCATCGTTAAGATGGAATTGCAGTTGCTCTTCGACACAATTATACTGTTCAGATTCCATTGGTGCAGCATCCTTCACAAGTGAATGAACCCAAGACACATCTGGCTCATCAACACTTGGTGGCACAGTTGTTGAAGCCAATTTTAAAGGACTATTGCTGCTATGGAATCCAAAAGAAGAAGATTTCCTCAGCTTATTCAGTTCATCATCGCATATGGCCCAGTCCAACTTGCCGTCAGGGGAGCCCCAACTAGAGAAGCCATAAGGCTCAAAAGCAACAGAGGTATCAAGAGAAGGAAACTCAGAATTGCAATTCACATTACTATGGTCGATAAAGCTCTGGCTCCTATTTGAAAAGGCAGCATCTCTAGGATTCAAAGTCATTTTGGCTGTTGTCCCAGATGGATCGACACTGAACGATGGCGATCGAATCACTCTTGAAGTGGAAAAGTTGGAAGGGTAGTCTCTCAGTTGCTGTTTCACATGTTGATGCACCTGAATTCCAGTGGGAGATTGTATCTGCGACCCGAAAATGTCTTCAAAGTTAGTCGGTCTCACTCCTGCAAACCTATGTAACTCCCTGATTTGATTACAAAGACATGGAGGCATGGGACGTTTCCATTTAGAAGCGGATGAAAGACTAGAGACTGCAGCCATCTCTTCGATCTTCAGCTGCTGCATAAGTTGACGATTTTCATGTGCAAGCAATTCAATGTCTGAATCAGCATCTCTAGTATTTAATGCAGTTTTCAATCTGCTTCCAGACAACTGAAGGGTTGGAGCTGCAACATGAGACTGAGTCTGCCACATGGTTCCACTCACAGGAGAAGATGCTTGAGATGGAGTCAAGGGTGGTGTTAAAGCGTCCAATGAAGAAGCACTAGCTGAATATGAACTGGAAGAAGGCATAGCAGAACCAGTAGAAGCATACACAGGACGAAGCTCCTCCAGCTTGTGAGCAAAGAAGCAAACTCTTCTAGTGCATCCAATTTCATCCTTGCAAAGCCGTGTTCTATATTGAGCAGGGTGAAGCCAGCACTCAAAAATTCCATGCGCATACTCACAAGCATCCCCCTTGCTGCAAGATCCCTTCCGAAACTCAGGGCAAGGGACACAACTATATTGATATTTCCTTGGATCACGCCGCCTTGCATTTTCCCCAGGATGAACAAAGGGGCATTCAGTCCAATCATGAGAATAAGCTCTTGAACAAGGCTTCACTTTAAATGTATACATCCTAAACTCATCTGTGCTATATATCCCATTCTTTATGTCAGGAAGAGAGAGATCAACAGGATAATCTTTCTTCTCAGTCCCATCTTTTGAACTCCGAGGTGTATATACATATTGCTGTACAGCATCATCAAATCTAAGGTAAGCCTCATCAATACCATCCGCACCTTCTAATATGGCCTGTAGTATCCTCTTCCTTGAATTAAACACACCATTTGACACCGAAACAATCAAGTCACACGACCTATTACCATTAGCATCAACAGTACTAACATCCGCAGATGCATCAAGCAACAGCTTGATGACCTCAGGGGAGGCAGCAGAACCCCCAGCAACAGCACAATGAAGGGCAGTAGCTCCATCTGACCCACAAGCCTGATTAACATCAACATGGCCTGTTCCAAGGATATAAGATAACACACTTTTGCTTCCAAACATAGCAGCAATCATAAGAGGGGTCCTCTCTTCGAAACCCACTTCTTTTGAGCCAACCCTCCTCCCGTACCAGAAGCCCACCTCATCAACATCACAACCCTCTATTTCAACTGCATCTTTGAAAGCCATTACATCATCTGTGGCTGAAAACTCGAGCAAGGCAGAAATTTTAAGATGCGACCCTTCTTGTCGTCCATACTCAACCCCCTTAATCAAACCAGTTTGAGAAGGTTTCCTCTTATAACCACTACACATGGTTTTACAGAATCTATAAAGACACAAAGAAAAGAACAATTCAATATGCTATTGTACCATAAAGAATATCTCAATTTAAAGCCTACAAAAATAAATTCAAAATATATTCAGTTGAACCAAAAAAACCAAAAAAATAACAATCACATGAAGCAATGTAAGAGACAAAACTTCCCATTTTGTGGAGGTTGATGACATATAACGATTGGCATAGTTACAAAATCATATATCACCAAGAAATTTGCAACAAGCATTAGTTTCAGTTATAAACGTTCAATCTTTATTTATGCCCGATAACAAGTCTAAAAATAAACACAAAATACGGAAACCGAAAAAACGGAGAATTGTTGCAATCTTAACAAACAGCAAAAACAACCTGTCATATTTCCAGGATGAAAGAGAAAGCATATTATTGAACAAACACACCTCTCTCAAGAATTTTCTTGGCAACCAAGGAAAAGCGTTGCACTTTCACAAACTTAAAAAAAAAAATTGATCTTTTAGCTGAAATTCAAAGACCCATCAAGAGGAAAAAGAGATGAAGCAAGGAGCAAAGAAGCATACCTTATACAAAGCAAAGAAACAGCACCAAAGCTAGTGAAGTTGGGTGCTTTTCTGTTTTTGCTTTAAACTTCGACGTTTGCAAGAGAGAGAGTGAGAAAGAAGACTTTTGATGCAACAAGTCTTAATGGCTCATGAGTCAAAAAGGAAGGTCGAATCGGTCACTAGCGCTTGCTCCTCTTCCTTTTTAATTCCTTCCTCAAAGACTTTGTTGTTAATAGCAAATTTCACGTTAGAAATGTTTTAGGATAAATTAATTATCCTTCACACAGAGTACGCATAGTCTTAAACCAAAAAATATAGTTAATTTAGAGTTTTATGAAAGAATTTAATTTTAATATGCTATTTTTCAGTTCCGATTTATCACATAGGACTCATTTAATGGATATGATAATTAAATAAACTAATTTTTATACCTTATTTTTTACATTTATTTAACTAAGATTACGCTATTTTATATGTTTATAATATTTTTTAATGTAAATTTTATCGAAAGTTTAAGTTAGAAATAAGTAAAATAATCTAATGAAACATTGTGCAATAATGATGTATTTAAATCATGATAATGTCACCTTCTTGAAAGAATTTTTTCTCATATTTCTCAACCATTTATACTGAGAACACGAGATTATTGACATAAATCCTTAAATTTTCATTTATCAACACATGTATTTGAGTCCGTAGGTAAACTTTTACAAAATTCATGTCTTCAGGAAGTTATGTATCATCGTTTATGCACACAAAATCTCCAAATGCTGACATCATCTTTCGAAAGAATGACTCTGACCAAGCATATGAAGATGCTACTGATCAGTGGTATAAAACAACTTAGACAAACTATTTTTATACCTAGCTATAACCTCCTCTAAGATCCTCTGGACCATTTAATTCCAACAGAACCATATCGTCACCTATGGTGATGGCCTTGACATTCAGTGTAAATTCCTATAAAAGTAAGTCAGCCACACTATTGAGCTCATGTAACCTTTCTACTACCGCTTTGCAGCACCTCTCAATCGTATCTTGATCAACATGGAACTCGCTGTAACACTACTATTTTTCCTTAGGTGTAATACCTTCTTTTAATTATTTATTATTTGATAAATTATTTTAGTATGGAGTAATGTTGGAGTATGTTTTGAATTGAATGAAATGTTTAACAAAATTATAAAAATTACGTGAATCTCATTTCTAAATTAATATTTTTTTATACTTTTTTAGTTTATAATAAATTTTAATCAATAATAAAGAGTGTGTATTTAGTCAATAAACACCTTTATACATTCCTAAATTAAATTTGGTATTTAGGTTCAAAGAATTTCAAAATCATATATTTTAATATTTTTTTAATGTTAAACACTTAATAAGAGTTTATATATAATAATATTTTTATTAAAATTGATAAAAATATTATAAAATCTAATTTATTAATAATATTTAATAAAAAACTATTATTTTTTAACGTGCATCCTTAAATATAGATGAATATATATATATATATATATATATATATATATATACTAGTATGGATTCCGTGCAATGCACGGAATAATTTATAATATTAAATTTTAAAATTTTTATTATTAAAAAATTATAAAATAAATTTAAACTATTTAATAATTTAATTTATATATATAAAATTAAGTTAATATATAATTTAAACAAAGATTTTTCAAGTTGTGAAATAATAGAATTTAATAAAAAATTGTGTCTATTTTTTCATAAAATTAATTTTATTTAATTAGTAATATTCAAAAATTAATTTAAATTATCTTAATATATTAACTCGTCGTTAATCATATTTTTTACACAATTTATTAAAAAAATTTCATCTATTTAAATTTAAACTAAATTAAATAAAATTTTACACATTATAAGTTATAATTTATATTGAAATTTAATATATTTATTATTTTTTATTAGCTTAATTCAACAAAATAGAAGATACTAAATAACACTTTCATTATGATAAAAAAAATAACAATTTTTGTTAGATTAATGCACCAAAACTTTAAAAATACAAAATAAAACTTTACTTATAATAAAAAAATTAATAATTTTTGTCAATAACTTTATTAAAATATACATATTATATATATTATGTTAATTTTATTAAATAAATATTTATGTCGATTGAAATATTTCCTTCCTGTAATTGATATATATGTATATAGCTGCGTTCATTTCTTCGACTAATATAAATTTTTATAATATATTTTTTAAATTTTTATTTTATATAAAAGAGATTATTATAAATAAAATTTAAAAATATAATAATATTATTTAAAATAAAAAAATTATCATTAAAAAAGATAAAATAAGAAAGTTTAATAAATAAGTGTGTCAACTTTTTCATAAATTCAAACTAAATTATTTTAATATATTAAATTATTGTTAATCATATTTTTTACGTGATTTAGTTAGATTTTTCTTCTTATATTAAAAATTAAATCTTAGACAGTGGAAGATATAATTTATAATTAAATTAAATATATTTAACATTTTTTTATTAGCTTAATTAAACAAAATAGAAGATAATAAAAAACACTTTGATTATAATAAAAAAATTAAGTGTATTTTAATACGCTAACCTGTTGTTAATAATAAATTTTACGTTATTTAATTATATTTTTATTTTGATATTTAAAATTAAACTAACTTAATAAAATCTAAAGCGTAACAAGTTATAATTTGTAAATAAATTTAATATTATTAATATTTTTTATTAGCTTAATTCAACAACATAAAAAGTAATAAATAAAACTTAATATTTATATTAATATAAATTTTTTCTTCCTGTTATATTTCTTTGTATGTGTATTCATTTGTTGGAATATTATAAAATTTTATAATAAATTTATTAACATTTTATTTTGTGTAGAAGACATTATAAATGAAAAAATGATTTCAAATTTTCTATAAACTATTTGTTAGTAGGTTTTATTTATTTTTTTGAGTGTTTATTGGGTTTCCTTTTCTATGCAAGCTATTGGAATGAGTTCCGATACATCATGCTAAGATAATATGACAATATAGAAAATGACAAATAATAAGTGACATTGTCATGACATAATTATTACTTTTCATAATTTAAAATTTGAATTAGAATAAAGTTTCTAAAAATATAAGAGAATAAAGAAGAGTGTTCAAAAGTTTTTCATGAAGTGCTGACACCTCATTAAACTTTCCAAAAAATACTAAATAAAACTTTAATTGTGATAAAAAAAATTAATAATTTTTGTCAACAACTTTTTTAAAATATACATATTATATATATATATATATATAATATAATTTAATATAATATATTTGCATATCTACATTCGTTTGTTCGAGTAATGTAAATATTTATAATAAATTTTTTAACTTCTTATTTTATGTAAATGAGATTATTATAAATAAAATTTAAAAATTAAAATATACAATAATATTATTCAAAATAAAAAAATAATTACTACTAAAAAAGTAAAATAACAAAACTTAATAAATAAGTGTATCTGTTTTTTCATAAAATTAAGTTTATTTAATTAATAATATTAAAAACTCAAACTAAATTATTTTAATATACTAACATGTTGTTAATCATATTTTTTTATGTAATTTAGTTATATTTTCCTTCTTGTATTTAATATTAAATTAAATCTTATATAGTTTAAGTTAAAATTTATAATTAAAATTATTATATTTAATATTTTTTATTAACTTAATTCAACAAAATAGAAGATAATAAAAATACTTTGATTATGATAAAAAATTTAACAATTTTTGACATTAAATTTATTAAAATATATGTATTATATATATTATGCTAATTTTCTTAAATAAATATTTATATTAACATAAATATTTCTTCCCGTGGTATATATATATATATACACGTTTATTCGTTTATTTAAATAATGTAAATATTTATAAATAAAAATTTACAAATTACAATATATAATAATATTATTTATATTTTAAAAAATCTGTACATTTAAAAGATAAAATAGTATAACTTCATAAATGAGTGTGTTAGCTTTTCCATAAAATTAAGTGTATTTAATTAGTAGCATAAAAAAAATCGATCTAAATAATTTTAATATACTAACTTGTTGTTAATCATAATTTTTACGTAGTTTAATTCTATTTTTATTGTAGAATTTAAAATTAAATTAAACTTAATAAAATCTTACACATGGCACATTATAATTTATAATTAAATTTAATATTTAATATTTTTTATTAGCTTAATGCAACAACATAAAAAATGATAAATAAAATTTTAATTAAAATAAAAATATTAACACTTTTTATCATCAATTTTATTAAAATATGTATGTTATATATATTATGTTAATTTTATCAAATAAATATTTATATTAATAAATATATTTTCTTCCTACTATATTTCTTTGTATGTGTATTTGTGTGTTTAAGTAATGTAAATTTTTATAATAAATTTATCAAGATCTTATTTTGCATAAAAGAGATTATTAACAATACTAATATTCATTAAACCATATATAGAAAATTTTATTGTAGTTAATATTGATAGAAACTAAATGTATATGGAATTTATTTAAGAACAATATCGAAAAAAAAAATTACAATCATTATAATATTTACATGAGTTGTAAACTAAGATCTTGAAAAGAAACATTTAAAGTTGCATGTTTGAATCATCAAATACAAAAATACATTTGTCTCCCTATCTAAATTTGTTTAATGTGCAAAATTATTTTTATCTACTTCCAAATTTGATATTAGATTTACAATAAATTAAAATTTTGTACACAACTACTATTTGATTCAGACTGCGTTACTTTCAAGCTCCGTTCTCATCATTTACAAATTTTGCAATCATCTTTTTTGATATATTCTATAACATCAGAAAAATATAATTGTATATTCAAATAAAAACATAGATATCTAACAATCTGAAAATACTAATTGACTTCTAGTAGTATGATAATAAATTAATGCAATTGAATGAAAAAACTCTAAGAATTAAAAGTCTTAACTTCTATTTTAACTTTATCAATCGTATACTGATATCTATTTAAATATTAGTATATAAAATAATTTTTTAACTAATATTTCAAAAACATGTATAATAATCACTTCATATATTAGTATATAAAACATATGCTATAGAAAAAATAATTACTTTTATTTTCAAC